TCTCCCCACTGCTCACTGGCTGATGCTACCTGTCCGATGAGAATAGGCGCATGGTCCATAGGCTGTGCTGGCACTTCACCCAGCCAGAGCTGGGAGCGGAAGGAACTTTTGGAGACACTGCCGCCAGCTTTCTTCAGCACACAAAGCAACTTGGTCCTCCACGGAGATGAGCTCTTATGGGGAGGAAACAGGGGCGTAGCGCTTTCAGACATGAAAGCACTGGAAATAAGCAGTGACTTATTTCAACGCCAAGGTCAGGTCAGTACACAGGGCATCGGAGGAAGGCTCCTTAATAAACCAATAGTTTTCCAGAGTATCAAATTCTAGAATCTCTCTAGACTAGACATTACAACAAATGGCAGATCATCCAGGGACTGAAGAAGAGGGAAAATGTGTACGTATGTGAAGTACCAGACAAAGGTTTACACACACCTATTTATATGGGTTCATTTTTAATATTTTACACATTTTATAATAAATGTTTGAAATTTAGAAATTTAGCATGCCTTTATCTTTAAATACCATCCTCATTTTTTAATACCACCATCATTTTTACAAATCCAAGCCATCATACCAGTCAACCCTAGTGTGTATGTGTATTCAGTGTGTAATCTAAATCTAAATAATACCAAAGCTAAGATCATGAAAATAATTAAATATAATGAAACGTTAATAAAATTTGAGATTTCATGACACATTGAAATGTTTCTTAAAGAAATACATGTGTTATACTCACCTGCTCATCCCCTGTGTGCAGTGTGCCTCCTGGTCCAGTGAACAGTATAAGTCGCTGACCCCAGCTGAGGTCCAGGAAGTCCAGCAGAGCCCTCTGGTTCTCCTCAGCTCCAATAAAGCGGTTCCACTTGTCCGTTTTCAGGCGCAGAGCCATAAAGGCCTGCTCCCTCAGAAAGTCCACTCGCTCATCTGAAATTGCGCTGACCTTCAGCTGTTCAGAGGGAACACGAACACCTCCCTCAGCCATGCTTGGACACAGAGGGAGATTGTGTCAGAAATAGGGGTGTAAATCTCTGACCCTGATTATTTCGATTCGATTACAATTCTTTAGCACAGTCACCAATCCTGCTCCTGTTGATCTACCTTCCTGCAAAACACAGCTCCAGTCCAAATCTAAATCACCAGCTCCAACTAATTAAATGAACTGATGATCTGGATTAGTTGTGTTCAATCAGGGTCAAAAGTGAACTCTTCAGGAAGGCAGATGTCCAGTAGCACGATTGGTGACCTCTGCTTTACCAAATGATTCAATGCATCAATCTCAGTATGATTAGATTATTTCGATATGGCTGTATCTTGTTATTAAAATGTAGGCTTTTGAATTCACAAATATGACTGGAGGAACTATTTACACAATGTAAATGCAATATAACAATGTATTATAGCAACAGTAAATCAACATTTTGATGGTTCTTTTAAAAACAATTGTAAGAACAAAGGCTACTCTTAAAAAAAATTACAACAGCCTGTGTTTTAGGAAAAAATGGGTTGGCAAGGTAACTTCTAACACTGAAACCCACTGAAAACACAATTAGCTGGCTAGCAAGTGTCACAAAACAGCAAGTAAAGATAATGTGACTTTGTCAAAGCTTAAATTGTTAGCTAAATTACTAAAAATAAGAATATAATATGGTGTCAATTTCAAAGTAATGACGTGTTGTCTATATCTGTACAATGTGTGCAATAGTGCGTGTAGCAAGCCAACATTAAACATTTAAAATAAGTAACCTAGCTAGCTATGCTACTTACAACTGTTTTAGCTTACCAGCTAGCTAACCTAACGCTAGCTAAGTTATCCTGCTCCAGCTCCTTTCTGAGGGAACGCCGCCACAGCCCGAAACACAGAGGTCTTTCAACCACACAAAGTCTGAATACTTCATTACATTCACTAAAGTGTCAGAACGTTATTTTTTCTAATGCTGTTTCTTAGTGTTACTCGCGTACTGAGCGAATTCAACTAGAACAGCATAACGATTCAGAGCCAACGGTCAAAGTCTGTAGCTACGTAATTCAAAATGTGTCTCGCGCTGTTTGATTATCTGTAAAATACGGCAACCCTTTTCCGCCAGAGGAGGAAAAAATGTTTTTTTTTTTTTGTTTGTTTTTTTTTTAATCTTCGTCTCTGTTGCTACTAGTAACATTTAAAAAAAAATGTATTTAATATCTTGAAATAATGACTTATCTCAGAATGTTTGGATTTATAGCTTATGTTCTTAAGAGTCACTAAATGTAAAAATGAAATAAAAATGTAATAACTATTTACTTAAAACTCAAAATTTAGGTAATTATTTCAAGATAGCAAGTCATTTCAGACGTACATATTTAGAAAAAAAATTCACTATAAATAACAGGAAAATAGAAATAGGAAAAAACGTACTTTAGGATTTTTTTCTACTTCCTGGTGGTCATGGGCTCCCACGGTAAAATGTAACAGATTTTACTAATATGGTGATATATTGAATAACCTAATAGGTTATTTGAAGAAATTAATTAGCCTAAGAGTTTATTTAAGAGAATATTTAAGAACTGTTTATTTAAAAAAAAAATGCTTTTACATCCTTATAAACTTCTCTCTGTTTATGATCCCTTAAATGTTTTTTACTCTGAAATCTTTAATGAATCTGGACTCTGATGTTTAGCAGACTGAAAAGTCATCACTGAAATTGAGGGAAATGGCATGAACCCACATCAGCAGGATCAAACTAATGTACAAATATGTGCAATCTCTGATGGTATATATAGTAAACAGCCCGAAAAGTAGCCTACATAATTCTTTTTACCTTCTTATATATATATATATATATATATATATATATATATATATATATTATTATTATATAACTCAAGGCACATTCATTCGATGATCCTGCCATCGCAGTACGACAACTGTTTAAATGAACACTGGGCCTCATTTACCAATATCTTCCCAAGCTTTTTCTTACATTTGTTCTTGAGAAAGATCCTAAGAAAAAGTCTATGTCAGATCCATGACGTGTTCTTAAACCACAGAATTGTTCGCACCTTTGTGCTCTTGAGTGTGTAGATTCTGTTCTTACCTAAGAACAAATCCCAAATAAGGAAACACTGGTGAATGTCAGAATCTTAATGAAAACTGTGTAAGAGGGTTTTAAGAATAAATTTCTACTTAAGAACGGTTGGTGAATGAGGCCCATTAAATATTATTAGAATTACATAATGGACGCAGTTGAATTGCCACCCCTAAGTGTGCTTTTACACACTTGGTCAAAACATCTTCTCCTTTCTCTACATCAAAAACCCACAAAGCAATTATTCCTTTAGTTTTCAATTATTGAATATGGACCAAAACACTTACCTCCAGCTCCTCACTTGCTCACTTCTTTGAATTGTTTCTGTGCTGTCCCTTTACACATAAGGCTGCCTGCGAATGTTTAGTTGTGGAGCATCAGGCTTTGAGTGTCTCTCGTTCACTTAGACGAAAACTGAACCTCTGCTGGTGGGTCAGTTCACCATAGTGACAGAAGGCGCAGTGCCTTTGTGTCCCTATACCTGTGTGGTGTAGTGCGCATCTGGTGCCAATGAAACCTGAGCACCCAGGAAAAAGTCACCCAGAGTATCACATTAGCGCACACACTGCCACTAACACTCAGTGAACCACCGTACTGCAATATGTACTTGTGTGTTATCCTAATGGACAGAAAAAGACAGCACATCTAACTGTAAAACCACCTGGGAAAGAGTGGCCTTAAAAAAGTGACAACATAAATTTACTGTCCATTTTAGAAACCATTAAATGTTTCTGTTGATGTCCACTAGTCAGTAATGGTGTTTTGTGTTTTCCTGATGGATTGATATCACAGCATAAAGGACATTAATGGTTTAACAGGTGTTCTGGGACTGATTCCAGAAGCATTTGATAGTTTCCTAAAGGGATCGACTATATAAGCGTACAGACTGCAGCCCAATAGTTGATGCACAATTTAAAGGGCCTATATTATGAAAAATTTAATTTCTTGCCTTTTTAAGAGCTTGATGTAGCATGTAAACACTGCTAAAGTTTCAAAACATACCATTCACTCCCCAGACCATATATAGGCAGTGAGCTGCCAAAACAGCTTGAAGGTGCTGTTTTTGTGATTTCATGAAAACCAATGCTCTTTCATATATCTGCCTATTGAGTCTAAAGCACTTATAAGTAGTGTTATAAGAATTGTTTCAGCCTGGACTGTTTTCTGAATGAGACACACAATACAGGACAGCAAATCAAGACAAAGCTCATTAACATATTTAAGTATTAAAGGCAAAGTAATAACACAGTCTATTAAATTCTAAGGGATAAAGACAAGTTGGAAAGTGTTCATGTAAAAATAGTGATGATTCTTTGGAGTACATCAAACCACACAAAGTGGTGGACCTTAGAAAAAACAACAAAATACAAGCAAAAAATATAGGATTTGGCTTTTAAACAGCCACCCAAGGCCCCATTCCTCAATGGTCAGTTTCTGAGTACAGAACATTGAAATTCTTTGAGTGGTGGACTATTCTGAACCTAGAAGTGACAATGACATGGAAGTGGTACGAAAAGATATTCACCCAAGAACTGCTCTGTGGTCAAAAACTGACCACTGATGAAGGGTTGGGAGAATGTCTAACATAAATTTGAAAGGCAGCAGCTGGGCTACAGTCTCCTACTGTACACAAGCAATTTTGATCCATTTTGGTCATTTGTCTTCAACCCTACTGGTCAGATGTTCTTTGAACAATGAGTAATACCACTGAAGCTCAGAAGGGGGCAATACAGCACCAAACATCTTTCTACCCCCAAAAAAAATGCAGAACAAAAGTCATGTAGTAGTAATAATAATAATAATAATAATAATAATAATATCAATATCAAACACAATATTCATTAAGTCATGAGATAAACAGTTCTTCTGCATCTGCTCCGTTAAACATGCTCCACACAGTTTAGAAAGAATAAGCACACCAGTACTTCATAACAAGTGTTAAGTATCAAGAGTTATAGGAAGAATTCTGACTTTAATTGTGTTCCATTTGAAGAAAAAAAAAAAAGTTGTACAAAAGTAACATTAAATTTTACACATTTAAAAAGTAATTAAAATGCGGAGTCTTTGATACAACAGATCAGTTATAGACTAAAATAAATGGCGGCTATAAACAGCTTGGGGGCTGGTGGGAAAAAAAAATAAAAAGGAAAAAAAGGAACACATTATGAATGTTACAGGGTATAGATAGGAAAAAAAAAAACAATACAAAATAAAATAAGGTATAACACAACTGTTTGATTCTGTCGCCTGGAGAATTGTTCAAGTTGCATGTGGACGACAGAAGGGCAAAAAAATAAAAAAAATAATAAAACAAAATAAAGCAAAATAAAAGAATATCCCCAACCACGATACAATGGGCATGATAGAAGCAGAGCCAAAATACAACTACACAAAGCGAAATAAAAACGAAAGAGTGAAGACACATTTGGACCGAGGCCAGCAGCGTGAGAGAGGGATGAGGAGGAAGAGAGGAAGATAAAAATGGACAGATCATGAGCATCTCTCCCTCAGAGGACACGACTTCCCCTCTCTTGCTGCCAATTTCACACAAGCATAAACTACACACGCACACACACACACTGTACCATAACTTTCACACACACACACACACACACACTCACATTATCATCCCCTGAAAGATTAGATCAGTGAGAGTAAAAATACATGCAACTCCAGCATTGTATACTACAGAGTATGATACAAAATAAGGCATTTCTGTGTGTTAGTGTGTGTCTGTATATACTGTATATGCATGTACGAGAGAGAAAGTGTGTGTGAGGACTGGAACCACACTTAATGTCATTTTTTTTGCCCTGTTTGTACAAAAAGACTGCTACTGAACATAAATGGATAATTCATTTTTTAAAATATATATTTATATATATATATATTTATCATATATATAAAAATTGATAGTGAAAAGCCAGCGAGCTGTGAAAGTGGGCAGGATTTTGGTCACTCCAGGACCTCACTGGCAGACACAGTGACCAGTTGGAGTGGGAGGTCGGAGTTTGAGAGGAGGTCTTGGGTGCCAGCCTGCTGCAGATTGGTCAAGATAAGAGTGGCCCCGCCCCCGGCGATGATGCTGTCCGAGGGGGCGCTGGCCTCTGTCTGCCCCGCCGTGGAGGCAGCGTTAAGCCCTTTTTTGTTCAGGTGAGTTTTAATGTGTTTGGCCAAATGGTCGCTCCGCATAAAGCGCTTCGAACACTCCGGACATACAAACTTCTTCTCCCCTGTGAAAAAAAGAACACAGCACATAAAAAAAGAACAATGAAGGACAAAGCGATATTAATGGTGCCCTGTAAGTCATTCATAACGATGACATGATAGATCTTTTTGTTTGACAATCCCGATGCCAGTATTTAAACCTTGAGTTTCGACCAAAAATAATCTGATATTTCTTCTTTAAATCTACCAAGTTTTGAAGTGAGCCGTTTATAATTAAAGCACTTCACTTGAAGGAACAGTTTGGCAAAAACATCAAATTTACATGATTTTCCACTTACCCCAAATGCAGATCATCAGCCAAGGTATGTCTGGTGTCCAAATTTAGCTTCATTAGTTTAGAATTGGAGCTGCTAGGCTAGCAGTGCTTACGAACACTGCAAGACAATAGTCACCCAAACAGTTTCCACAAATACATGCCAAATTTTTTCTACTTTTTCTTCTAAATATTTGAGCTTTGTAAACTCATTTTAAAAAGGATTTAGTAAGACAGCATGACAAGACCTTTTATACATTTAAGCCAAAACCAGACCTGTTATTATCTGCATTACATCCTGCTGCATTACATCAGGACACAGGTACGTAGTGTTAGCATAGTAATACCTATGGCTCGCTTACTGTTAGAGTTAGAAGTTGTACGAATAAAGATAAACCTACGAAAATGAGGTGTTCTATTTTGCAACAACGTAAAGAAATCTATGGGCAGTCTGGTACGCAAAATGTGCAAATGAACCGCAAACTACCAAGACAGATATTTTGTAAAGTTACTGAACTTAAGTACAAAATATATGTTTATGTGGTGATTTTTCACCTGAAGATGACAAGGAATTTCTCCAGCAGGATATTCCAATAGCTACAGCTGTGCCAAATACATTTTTACAGATGACACCTCAAAGAAGTGAATACAAGGTAAGCACTGTTTAATGTTTCTCTCGCTATGCTGTGCTCAGTTACTGTCATGCCAGGTTTTGGGCTTGTGTTTACAGAAACTGTTGAGAGACTTTTGACTTTCTGACTGGGTGTTTGTTAGCAACGTTAGCCTAGCAGCTCAGGTTCTAAATTAAACAAGCAAAATTTGGACATCAAACATTTCTTGGTTGATTGACTGCATTTGAGTAAGTTTTAAGTAAAATCACATATTTTTGTTATTGCTTAACTATTCTTTTAAGATGAGCACCTAAAAGTAGGCCGTCATGCTCAAACTCCTTAAACTCTCCTCACTTGAAGAAAAATGCAGCTAACAACATCACATCACACTATGTGTGTGTGTGTGTGTGTGTGTGTGTGTGTGCTATTTCAGGATAGATTTGTTACAGGATTGGATCAGATTCATTCTTTTTGGCCTCCGATATCCAATCCAGCATTTTCTACAGATATTGGCCAAACACTGATACCTGATACTGGATCAGTGCCATCTCTAGTCATTACACCTAAAAGGTTTTTTCATCAGTATCAGATAATTTACAAGTTCATGCAGCTGTCAACAAAACATTTAGTGTATCAATGTATCAATAAAGGTTAACTAAACATGCTAAAACATGCTACTGTTGTAAACAACTGATTCAGAGGTGTGATTGTGTACATGGAATATTCCCCTACATCAGTGTGAGGAACTCCAGTCTTGGAGGGATGGATTCCTGCACAGTATGGCGATTTTCCTACTGAAGCACACCTGATTTAACTCATCGGCTACTTACCAGGTTTCACTGGCGTGCTAGAGCAGGAAAATCACTAGGGCTGTGCTGAATACCACTTTTTGGGCTCTGGAGCTTTAGCAGTGATCAACAGTGAATATTCAAAGCTTCACCCCACCGCCCAACACCCATGCTGAAAGAACATCCAGGGCTTCATTCTCCGTAAAATCGGAATCTCCAGGCCAGCTGGTTTCCTCATAGAGTGCTGCAGCGTTCACAGTGCAGCTTCACATTAACCAGGTCTGCTAGCCTCTCTTAGCAGCAGGCTAGGGGTAATAACAAGGTGCATGCACAGGTTAACCAGCGCTTCACAGAGGTGGTCTAACTCAAGGTACGAAGGGCGTACACTGGAGCCCTAGTAAGGCTCCAGTACGGCACTGTTTGAAGGCATGCTGGGCCATGCATAACCGCATACCTAGCCAAAGAACAAACATCTAAATCGTCAAATATTCGGGTCCATCCCTAGAATTCACAAAACTGTGCTGAACTCTAGCCTTTAGTTTCATACCCCTGTCCTACATATTTAACATTTTGACATCTAACATGGTTAACTCTAAAACTGAATGAACAGTTAGAAGTTTCCACATACACACAGATTTAAAAAGCAACTTTTGTGAGCAGCCATAACACTCATGAAGGTTAAATAAGGGTATATTCAGACGATGCTCGTCAATTTGTAAACTTGGAAAGTCACATCACCAAACTGTAACTACCAGTTGTTTCGGGTTAGTCATCAGGAATTTGTAAATACATCACACAAACAACATGCATATCTGCTGCAACTGAACTCATGCACAACCTCAGCTTGTCAGGTTTAGTGGGTGCGTTTGAGCAGAGAAACTACTAAATTGTGCTGGACTCCAGCACCAGGAAAAGGACTAATGAACTTTGATCTTCAGAAAATTTGTTCTGAGAATGTGAGAATGTACTGGCCGGTGATATTAAAATTTGTTAACTTGGATAACATTGAACTTGCCCAGGTTTACCACCCGCATTTACGACTTTGTCAGCCATCCAAATGCAACGCCTTTGGTAAACTAGAAAATCACCAAAAGGTTAAAGCTTGAGGAGCGCATGCAGTACCTGTGTGAGTCCTACGGTGGCGCTGCAGCTCATCGCTGCGTGTGAACCTCTTGCCACAGTAGCTCCAGGAGCAGATGAAGGGCCTCTCGCCTGAGTGCCAGCGCAGGTGAGCACGCAGGTGAGATGTCTTCCCATATACCTTTCCACAACCTGGGATGTGGCAAATATGCTGCTTCTTCTTGCCCATACTCGAGCCTCTGAACACACACACACACACACACACACACACACACAAAATCAACCTCCACATCCAGCAACTCTTCTACAGCTCTTCTCTTATGTATGTATGTATGTATGTATGTATGTATGTATGTGTGTATGTAAGTATGTATGTGTATTTACCTTCCCCCTGCTTCTTTGCAGTTAGGGCAAGTGCAGGCCACTCTACGCAACCTCTTCCCCTCTTGACCTGCACCCTCCATCTCCTCATCCACCATTCGAACACGAAGGTGTGACAGGTCATTGGTGTTCAGGGTAGAGTCTCCACTCAACTGCCAATCATCTGAATCTGGCTCCTCCTTGATATGAATATCTGAAAAGCAAAGAGATTCCTCAGATTTCTCATGTATTCAGGCACACTTAGGCAATGTTTGCACTTACTATCGGCATCTGTCTTAGGTGATCTGATCACAAGTGGACAACGAGACGTACAGTTGTTTACATCTGGCAACGCGTGTGTTTCGAAAGTGTCTTTAGTGAGCAGATGACTGGATTTCATAAGTGAAGGATGTGGTACAAAGCACATTTACTGCATCTCTCTCTTGTTGTGTTTGTTGTCAGACAAAAATGCCCTGTGAGTCCTTGTTTGGGCAAATGTTATGACCTGCTACAAGTGTTTAAAGCAACTCAAAACCAACCAAAACCAATTTTTGAATCAGCTGTGATGGCAGTTCATAAGCCAATAAACTGTTGCAGTAGATGACACATTGGGATGTTTTAGCATTTATACTACAAATCTTATGAGATCACATGAGTCCTTGACCCCCTCTGAAGGTGGTTTGAGAGATTGAGTCACAACACTTCTCTATAGTTAAAACAGCCAGGCATTCAAGTGCATTTCTTGCATATCTTGAGTATTTAGTAAGCGGATACATAGATAGTGAATAGCATACGTCAAAATTACATAACCTAGAAAACAAGTATCCTTATCAGACCAAGTGTGGAAAGTGCCCACAAATTCAAATACTGTAACTAATAAGCAAAACGCTGAAATATCACAAACTGACATTCGGTGGAGGAGTGTACAGCAGTGATTTCCAACCCTGATCTTAAACCATCCCTACCCTTCACATTTTAGTGTTCTCCCTGCTCTAACAGACCCATTTCAACTTAGGAAAGAATTAACCACTTAAATTCTAAGGACACGTCACCCAGACTTCCCTTCCTCCCTCTTACAACTACACACTCACTGTCATTAGTTTAGTTAGTTTCATAGTAGTTATTATGGTGAATTCATGGTAGTTACTGAATAACAATCCTTTAGACTATAAACTGAAGGGGTTAATTAGATGATTATTTAGATCAGGTGTTAGAGCAGACAAAACATCAAACAATGAAGGTCAACGGTGCTCCAGGATAGAGATGTGTACGGATACTTGAGTACTCAGTTAACTGTTCAAGGTGCCAGTATTTAAATATGAAAATGGCTATTCAGGTGCTTGTTCCGTTTCAGTAGAGCAAAACAGAGTACATACACAGACTGACAATTCAATAAAATGGAGCTTTTAAGTTTTAATAGGACTGTTTAACATAACAGTTTCGTTTGTATTTGTATGTGTATTACACTTTGGCACCCTGAAACACAAGTGATTAAATGTCAGCCTGCTGCCCAGGACATGTTGTTAAAGACATGACTGAGTAGACAGAGATAGCACAGCTTTACCACAAACTAGGTTAACTTGCTTAGCCTATTTAGGTCTAAAAACTATAAAAAATTAAACTATGGATCTCTGACAAACTAACATGCTGGCGCATCATTCACTAAGGAGAGAGGTCCTTGTGTAAGACGATAAGCCCTCATCAGAGTCTACCGTTGCACCAGTTACCTGTACTTCAACTCACATTTTAAGAGGCAGCCTCTGTTTCCTCCAACACGAAAAACCACCAATTTCCTTCAGCTTCCTTTTGAACAATAAAACATGCTTTAAAATGTTTTCCATTGCTGCTGCTAAATTTTTGTTTCCGATTTTATTTGCATCTTTCCACCAGAGCTATCACGTAAATAGTTTGGCTCAAAGTACATAATTTTGCCATTTTTTGTGTTTTTTCCTTCCCTAGAATTAACCACATATCTCTTCATTAACTTTTGCGGATGGTCGATTAACAAAATAAGTCGGAACGCACATCCCTACTCCAGGACCAGGGCTGGAAAGCACTGCTGAGCAATGTGTTTGCATGTACCTGAGGGGCTCTCTGTGTTATCGTCTTGCTGGTACTGTGCGACGGAGTTCACCGTGACAGTCTGCAGGTTGGGTGCCTGTCCAGTGGCGGTCACTGCGCTGGTACCTGGCTGCCCAAGAGACAGAGTCTGCACAGGAGCAAGGGTGATCTGTGGTGAGGCCACCCCACCGGCTGCCGGCAACTGCAGATTCTGCAGGTTCTGGACACCCTGTACTTGGAAGGTTTGCCACTGGATTTGACCTGTGGGTGAAACTGTCTGGGCCTGGATCAGAAAGGTGCCAGCATTGAGCAGCTGCACACTCTGCAATGCCTGCGCCGTGCCGTCCGTTGGCTGAGTGGAGAGGAGCTGCACCACGGGCTCGGTAGCAGGTGTGTGGTTCTGTTGCACAAAGGACGGGTCCTGCTGCCCAGCGGACACAGCCGTGGCTTGAGTAAGGACTCCCGTGCCATCTATTGTCTCGGGGAGCGACGTGGCTGAGGTGGAACTGGTCGTGGGCACAAAGGTATTAGCGTTAGCATTGCTAGCAGTCAGCGGCTCAGCGGACTTGTCTACTGCTCCCTCTCCAGCATTCTCGCCTGAGGTGATGGCTGGGCTAGACATAATGAGTTGGCCATCAGCTGTGACACCTGTGGCAATAGTCTGAGCACCGGCCAATCCCAGAGACTCCAGGTCCGCGTTGCTCAGGCTGTTGAGTGGCACAAAAGTGATGTTGCCAGGCAATCCCACGGGGACATTAGCCACCACCTGTCCCTGACCTCCAAACCCAGTTCCCGCCAATGAGACACTAGAAATATGCTGCACATGCCCAGTTTGGGCCAGCAGACTCTGGAGATCGTTAGCGTTTGTTGCTGTGGAAATACCCTGGGTCCCATCGGGCAGTATGGCAATGTCTGTGCCCAGCGCAGTTCCATCGGCAGAGGACGCAGCATAGCCCAATGATGCTGCATCTGCACTCTGGAGCTGGGGGATGACCTGATACTGGACGCCATTGGCACTGGTGCCGTCAGTCCCCGCCGTGACAAAAACGGGCTGAGTCTGTCCTGGCACAGTCTGCAGTGGGACCACATATTGCCCATTGGTGCCCACAAGTCCCCCGCTGGGTAAGTGTACTACGCCTGATTCATCTTTGCTTGTGGAAACTGGTGTCAGCACCTCCCACCGGTCAGCAGAGCCTGTGAGCTGGATGGACGTGAGGTCTGTTGTCTGCTGAGAAAAGGAAAAAGAAGGAAAATGCCTATATTCAATTCACAGCTTCCATTACATAAAAAGGCAGGTGTAAACAGAACAAAAAGTCTGTTACCAAAGTGCAACAAGTAAACATTAAAAATTCAGCACCTACAATATAGTGCTATAATGAGTAGCTTAGCAATAAAGAACAAACAGTATTACTCAGAACAGAAAAAAATTTAATATATAGTCACATAGGTTATTGCTATCACCACACAAAATCATATTCAACAACATGAACTTGTATGCCTAATTTGTAGAAGAGTGCTATCATATTACCATTTCTCAGAGAGAGACAGAGAGGGGGAGAAAATAGGAGAAAACCTTTAAGCAAAGAGTAGTATCACAAAGTTCAAAGAAAGAAGGCTTTCACTGATCTTTAAAAACATGAAAAATTCAGTTCTTAACCTATAAACAAAGTCATTGAAAATGGTTTGATGTGAAAGAGAAACAGAGACAGAAATACAGCACAGGAACCAGACATCCTACGTTTTTAATGACTCAAAGGTCACCCCACAAAGTTATGAAACAAAATGGTTAGATACTCTGCTTGACAGTGTTTTACAACAGTTTTGAGATCACGTTTTGGTCAAAAACATGCAGAGCATTGTAAAGCACATTGGTTTGAAAAGAAATATTTCTCACTTATTTACCATTATCAACAACACATACAAAACGTCAGAATATGATCAGTGGTCGTTTTAGATAGTAAATAAGCCATATTTGCATTGTCACCAATCAGTCTTTAAAATTCTCTAGCAAACTCCATTTCACATAAACACACCCTGGATTCGCTCGATTACATCTCAACAACAAAACTATGCAGAAATTTTGAAATATCGGTGGAATTATCCTTTAAATTATCACAACTGCAACTCGGGTTCGGCCTGTGTATTCTCAAATTTAAACACCAAATGCACAACAGGGACAGACAGCAGTTCTCAGTGACCACTTTTAAGACCTAGAAAGAAATCTCTCTTTACAATCTTATAGTACGCTTAAGTTTAACTGAGCATGTGGCTTCCATGTCCGTGTCTCTGTATTCACGGAGAACATATATTCTCTAACATCTCTGTACCTTTGAAATGACACCAACGCACCTTTTCAAACTTCTCTCACACCAACAACAGAGCACTGAACAGCCTCACAAAACAACCACCTGTCGAGTTTCAGAAGGGGAAACCCGCTTCAGAGCAAAAGCCCAACAAAAGAGGCGTTGGGAGTAACTTAGCTCTAGCGAACGAGCCTGTGCTGGTGGTTTGTTTCGACGGCCTGGGTCCTCCCTCCGGTGGGGTTGACCCGGGTCTAAGCGCAGGTAACGCGGGCAAAGGCGACGGCTGTCCGACCCACAATGGGCGGGTTTAAGAGGGTAAGCAAGTGGGTGGCCGTACAAGACTGAAGGCTCCACAGGAAGTGTTGGACTTTTTTTTTCAACCCCTACTTACGATATATTTTGTCCCCTCAATCCTCTCAAACTGTGAACTTCATCAAAACACAGAGAGAAGCGAAGGAGAGTCGAGCTACGGAGCTCGGCTGTAAGTTACCTGGTCTGAGGCGCCGCTGGCGGGCTGCAGAAACTCGCTCTGACTGCTGTCCACGTCCAAGGCAGCCATTTCCTGCTGTTTCGCTGGCTGTTCTGGGGCTGCGGGAAAGGAGACAAGAAAAAAACTGAGCGAACAAAAGCCAAAAAAACTCTCAAACTACTAACGCTTCCTCAGCCTTGCACAGCTGAAGAACGGGACTTAGCAACTCAGCTGCAATCGACATAAACCAAATTCTCGTCTTCGCCCTCACTCCAGACGACTTTGTTTTTTCTTTTTTCCTGTTTCCCGCTCGAATGCCAGTGTTTACTTTGTTTAAAGTGAAAGCTAACCGGCTAACCGTTAGCCTCGCAGCTGAAAAAAGGGGGGGAAAAGATTACAGACTTAAGCTAAAGCTAAAGCTAAGCTAAGCTAGCAGGCTAACGGAGCTCCAAACTCACCCCGGCCGTGTTGTGCTTCGATCGGCTTAAAGTGTTACGTACCAGTCATCGCGCGAAAAAAGGGGGTAAAAATCGAGCGGTTATCTGTTCATTTAAACTCCGAACATGATTTGTTTTAATCAAAGGCGGGCCGTGATCGGAGATTCGGGTCGTTTTTTTTCTTTTTTTTTCTATATTTTGATTGACGGTGCGGGAAAACACAAAAGGTGGGGCTTCCCAGCTCGACCGTGGAAACCGCCGTGTCTGTCGGAAGTCCCGCCGTCCTTCTCCAGCGCGATTGGCCGAGAGCTCCTGTCTCCCCGCCGGTGACTGGATAGCCAGGCTGTCCGTCACACTCACGCCGCCAGCGTTTTTCCTGTTTGTTTGTTCGCGTAGAGGAGAGACCGAAAAAAATGAGTTGGAATTCGCTTTCGCACGGCAGGAAGTTTCGCAGAAGTGAGACGTTCAAGTACAGCCGCCATTATTTTAATAAAATCCTCAGTCTGGTTTCCCAACACAGCATCACATCGACTTTATAACGGAGTTTGTCAGATTTGATCTTTTTTTCAAGTTTAAAGCGAACTCTATGAGGAAATCCCCAGAGGATTTCAACATTTAGTTTAAACGTAGCTGCGTGCTTATGGCTTCTTTTTTAACTGATGTCAAGGATAAATGGAGGTGGACTGTAATGTTCCTTAAATACACGCCTTGTGGCTCTGAAACCACTTGACTAAACAAAGTTTCGGGACCCGGATATGTCCACAGTACATGAACTGCCTTATAGGCGCTCAAAACTTTTCCCAAGCTGTTCAGTTTCTTTCCATTTAATTGTGGCAGGACGCGCTATTGTTCCATTACAATTGTGTGTCTGCTAGAAAGAAGCCATTATCTGGCAGTGGGTAATTTTCCAAGTTTACTGCCTAGTGAATACACATTACAACTCAAAGCCACTTATTTCTCTTGGGAACTCTATATTTAGGTTGTCTGAACAGAAGCTTTTGCCTTACGCGTTGGATAGAACACATCAATGGCTATATATAGTAGGATTCAATTCAGGATTTAAAAAGTTATCCAATAATTTTGTGACGGTTTGAGAGGGGTACCCCCTTCTTTACCCAAGATGTGTTGCCTCCCTCTGGTGGTTGAGTTTTGCAGGTACATGATTCCACAGTTAACAGTTGCTCCAGCAATATGTGCCATCACTATACAAAACTATAATCCATATTTCAGCATGCAGGGTCTGGTATGATGGTTCTAGCCTGCTTTGCATGTCTTTATAGCATCCAAAGCAGATAGGCAAACCATGACCACCTGTGAAACCACAGCACTGAGAGAGAGTGAATGTCCTTTCTCCACAATTTGTAACAGTACAAACCCAACAGCAACTGTCATGCTATATTCATCACGTTTTACTCCTTTAATGAGCCCCTGTGATTTTTCACCCCTCATTTCCACAACACAGATATACACATCTTCCATTTCGGCTAAGAAAAACTTTGGTGCAGTCACACAGTTCTGGTCTGGAGAAGTGTTTTATTAGATGTGGCCGTCTGGTTTTGCTGTGTGGCATGCAGCATTTGAGTGCGAGAGGACAAGGCATAAAGTACACCTCCGCTATGAGGCTCTCAAATAACAAACGGCGAAACAAAAAAAAAAAAAATACACACAAATTCTTTGTGTGGATACACTGAATGTTCCAAAGCCAAAGTGAAGAAAGCTCATGGGTAATTCCTCAGATCTGCAGAATAGTTCCCCCTCATCTCACATGGTACAGTCCACCCAATCTCTGAAGGTCTATATAATGACATCATTTCTTCTTGGGCTGATTGGGTGTGTTGAATTTGAAGAAAATGATGTCTCCATCCTCCACAACGTAGTTCCTTCCCTGTTGTCTGTACTTTCCTGCAGCCTGTTGACAATTGAAATATCAGTAAGTAAATGCGTAAATAATTATGTTAAAAAAGGCAAGGATTAAATCCTCTGTAAAACAAACACACATACACACAATTCCAAAGAAGCTGAGACAGCATGTGAAAAGCTAATAAAACAGAAAGCAGTGATTAGTACATTGTTAGACTTGTATTAAATCAAAAATGGTACAAAAATACAATATTTTGTTTTGTCTTATGAAGTATTTTATAAATATATATGCTCATTCCGATTTTGGTGCATGCAACACATTATAAAAAGGTTGTGACAGGAGCATGTTTACCACCATGTTACATCAGCTTTCCTTTTAACAACACGTAATAATCACTTGGGGACTGAAGACACAAACTGATTAAGATGAGAAAAGCAGATTTTTTTGCCATTTTTCATTTATACAGGTCTTCAGCTGTGCTTAATAATGCACCACATTTTCCATGGGAGACAGTTGTGGACTACAGGTAGGCCAGTTTAGCACCCGCAACCTCCGATTATACAGCCATGTAGAATGTGGCTTACTGTTGTCATGCTGAACCTGACCCTGACTTTTGAACTGCACACTGGTAACAGTCGGGATAGTCAGACCATAATACACATTTCCACTGTGCATCAGTCCATTTCATATGTGCTGAGCCCAGTGAAGTCGGCATCGTTTCTGGATTCTGTTGACATGTGACTTCCACTGTGCACAGTACAGTACAGTAATACAGTTTTTGAACATTGCACAATGTTGCCCCTGTCTCATTTGGAACATTTTGCAGGCATCAGTTTCAGAATGAGCACAAGTTTACAAAAAAATAATGAAGCTGATTAGGTAAAACTTTAAATATCTTGTCTTTGTATTGTTTTTGTTCAAATACAGGTCAAAGTAGATTTATAAATCACTGCTTTCTTTTTTATTTGCATTACCTACTGTTATACATACTTTTTTGGAATTGCGTTGGGTTATACATCAAAAAAAAATCTCTTTTTTATTTTCTACATGATTTGAGCACAGCTGTTGTCCTTCATATTTTGTGAAAATTTCATGATGAATGGAAACACTCCAAAACGGTATGGAAAAAATCTTTTCATTACCTTACACTAAAAGTATGTTTATATATATATATATATATATATATATATATATATATATATATATATATATATATATATATATATATAGTGCAGATACGGACCAGCAACTTCAGGTAATGTTCACATCAACCATCAAAATGGGGAAAAAGTGGACTCACTGGCTTTGACTGTGGCATGATATATGGTGATGTAATGGTGTGGGGAATGTTTTCAGTGTTGACTCATTACTACCAATCAAACAATGCTCAGCCTATTTGAGTATTTTTGTTGACCACATGCATCCCTTCAAGGCCATATTTTACCCATCTTCTAATGGCTACTTCCAGCATGACAATGTGACAATGTACCAGGTCACAAATCAAAAGTCAATTTCAAACTGGTTTTATGAACATGACAATGAGTTCAGTGTTCTTCAGTGGCCTTCCCAGTCACTGGATCTAAATCAAATAGGACACCTTTGGGATGTGGTAGAACAAGAGATTCACATCATGAAAGAGGACCTGAAAAGAAAACTGGAGGAACTGCTTGATGCAATTATGTCAACATGGACCAGAATTTCAAGGCAATGTTTCCAATATCTTGTGGAATCCATGCCGCGAATAATTGAGGCTGTTTTGAGAGCAAAGGGAGGCCCTACCTGGTGACTTTAAATGTGGCACTGTCATAAGATGCCATCTTTGCCACAAGTCAGTTCATGAAAGTTTTTCCCTGCTAGATCTGCCCCAGTCAACTGTAAGTGCTATTATTGTGCAATGGAAGTGTCTAGGAGCAACAACAGCTCAGTCTCAAAGCAGGACACCAGAGCGGGGCCGCTAAGTGCTGAAGCACACAGCACTAAAAAACTGCCTCCTCTTTTGCATCACTCACTACACAGTTTCAGATTGTCTCTGGAAGCAACATTAGCACAAGAAATGTACATCAAAAGGCTCATGAAATGGGTTTCCATAGCCAAGTATCTTCACACAAGCCTAAGATCACTATGCACAATGGCTGGAGTGGTGCAAAGCCCACTACACACTCTGTAGCAGTGAAAACGTGTTCTCTGGAGCGATGAAACTGGCAGACTTATGGACAAATCTGGATTTGGCAGATGCCAGGAGAACACCTATTTATCAGAATGCACAGATCCAACAGTAAAGTTCGGTGAAAGGATATTGGTCTGGGGCTGTTTTTTTTTAGGGTCCGGGCTCCAGTGAAGGGTAATGATAATGCTACAGCATAAAAAGACATTTGGGATAATTATATGCTTCCAACTTTGTGGCAACGGTTGGTTGAAGACCCTTTCCTTTTCCAGCATGACTGAGCCCCTGTGAACAAAGTGAGGTCCATAAAGACATGAGTTTGGTGTGGAGGAACTCCAGTGGCCTGCACAGAGCCCTGACCTCCACACCAACAAACACCTTTGGAATGAACTAAAACATTGATCGCAAGCCAGGCCTTCTCATCCCACGAGAGGTTGGACAACAATGCATTAATGCTCCACATCAAATCCTCACAGCAATGTTCCAACATCTAGTGTAAAGCCTACCCAGAGGAGTAGAGGCTGTTACTGTAGAGAGGGAACCTATCTCACAAGCCAGACTTCAGTAGTCAGAGAGTGATGCATTTTTTTGTTTAACCTGACAACAACATGGCTGTTTTAGTACAACATGTAGGGGTGGACGATTTTTCAAAACAAGGTAGAAATCTGTGGGAAATGTGTCTGCAAAATATTGAGGATATCTCGCTTAAAAGCTACTAAATGCTTCAAAGAAAACTTTTGAATAACTTGTAAAGATGTAATGCCGTAAATGCCACAAAATTCACTCAATCCAGCGACTTTCTCACCGTAAAATGCTCAGTTACAGAGTGAGCACTACTTAACGTGCAAAAAATACATGTGGGCGGAATGTCTGTGGCTGAGACTAATGGTGGGTCAACTTCCCTATTAATAACCTTGATTTTTACAAGAAATGTTGGATGAGGTGCCTACAAACATTTGGACACATAAGTCTCTATGGGCCGGTTAAGATTAGCTGTATGCTTACCTTAACAGCCACTTCAGTGCCCTCCTCTTTGAAATCCGTAAACTTCATAACCTCTGCCATGATGAAGCCTTTCTCAAAGTCTGTGTGGATCTTACCAGCTGCCTGCGGTGCCTTCGTGCCTTTCTGTAGGACAGAAACACCTGATCTTGATCTAGTGCACTTGATCTAATGCAGACGTACATGGCCGTTTGGCAGACATTGCTGGAATAATACTGTGTGTGCTTACCCTGATGGTCCATGCGCGTACTTCATCAGGTCCTGCTGTGAAGAAATACTCCAGCTGTAGTGCTGCATAGCCACTCTTTATGATCTTGGTCAACACACTGAAATGTAAACAGGCACACATTTACCATTAAGAACTATAACTCTAAAGTCAAACATGGAAATTCTCCTTCAAAGACAAGTTTCACTTCTCAAAACTCTCTCTCTCTCTGCTGTGTGTGTGTGTGTGTATGTATGCAATACTGTGCAAAAGTTTTAAGCACCAGAGAAAATGATATTTAAAATGCTATTTAAATAAACATTAAGCATTTATCTGCTAATAAAAACACATTATTATAAATACAAACAATACAAATACAATAAGCAGTGGTTTTATAAATGTCAATGTGTTCATTTAATCATTTTCAATCCCCTCCTCATGGCAGCTCAGTTCTATTTCATCGAATACCAGGTATGCATTTTCTTTTTTTTTCCCCAGATGTGCTAGTGATGAAATTAAAGCATGTAGCACATGGCATATAACACAGGTGATAAAAATTGAAAGACTGGAAACCACATTCACACTGCGAATCACCTGATGAAAATTTAAATACACAAACACACATGCGCATACACACATTCAGTGGTTCCAACTCCCCCCACGATTGTAGCCTTTTACTATCATTCATACAGCTCACAGATTCTTGTTTTGGATTAAAAATTCTTACTTTGCTGTTGCTTTTGTTAGTTAGCTGATCATTGACAGGTCTCACAAGCACTTCTCAGTATAGTCTGCCAAAGGTAGCTTTAAAAGCCATTTAAAAGCTTTCTTTGAATAAAAGGGCTACAATCATGGTTTCTATCATAGCAACATAGAGTGCATGAGCAGCTGGGTTTCTGTCTGGAACTATTAATGGTTTGAAAGGGTTAAACTATAAAAATGTAGTAATGTTAGTAATAGTGCTAAAAATGAGTGGGGTTAATTTGTTATGCATTAACATGTTATTAATATGTTAACTTTGACAGTGTATTTATTTGTGTATTGCTTCTATGCATGTATGGTGCTATTAGACACAACAATCAGAATACTGAAGGGAAATAGAGTTTCCCAGGGCACTAAATAAAGTATCTGCAAAAATTAGAACAAAGATTAACGTTCACTGCTTTGAATGAAGAGATACAGAGACATGCAGGGGGAGGGAAATGGAAGCTAGAGCTGTCCCTGACCTTAGGGTTTTATTTTCCTCACAGAACTTCTGTTTCTCCTCTTCGCTCATGTCCTGGTACTTGCTCTCAAATCCTCCACTGAAAGGGATGACCAGAGCGCCGGGGTCATGGGCATCTACCCACTCCTTAATCTTCACCAGCCTGCAGGGAAGAAGATTGAAGGGACATTGAAAGGAAAAGTAATTGAAGGAAAAAGTGATGATTTATTGTGGTAAGAGTAGCATGATAAACTGCATCTTGGACATATGAGCATTGTGGTAAATTGAAATAGCAAAACCCACCATTTGTTTTTTTTCCTGATGTAGTCTTTCTCTGAGAGATTTACCAAGTAGATCATGGGCTTGGATGTCAGGAACAGATATTTATTCAGCACCTCAATCTGGAGGGGAAAAGGTTAAAATGGTTCACCTGCAGTTTCAACAAGATCAATGACTGGGTGATGATTAATTCCACAGCCAAACACTAGATCCAGTTCATATCTGGATCTTTGTGCAATCTAAAAAAGCTTCTCCAAAATCTGTATTTCGGTTGTATAAAAAAGTATTTTCACCTCTTTGTCGTTCCATTCATGGTAGTAGCGCACATGTTTCTTCTCATCAACCACCCAAGACTTTATTTTACACATAATGTCCTGTTTCAGAGACAAAATGAGAGGTGTGGAAAGAAATGAGGATTGAGTGAGAGTTGTGGTTTGCACAGGTTATATGGTATGTGGGAATGTGGACAGATATGGGAAATATTTGCAGTAGACTCACATATTCGGGTTTGAGTTTCTTGTCACTGCCCCTTACGGCTGTTTTCTCCAGCTTGTCTATAATTGGCCCGATCATTTCCTCATCCTTCATCCTGAGCTCCTCATGAATAATCTCAATGTCCCGCACTGGGTCAACACATCCTTCCACATGGATGATGTCTTCATCCTCAAACGCTCCTGCAGATATATATATATATATACACTTAACATCTTTACTATCTTTCACTACTTCCCTATCTCATCTCCATTTTTAGACACACAGTTCATATACACAGTACGTTACAAAGTATATCACTGATACATTTACCGGCTTTTGTGGACATGGTATATATTGTGGAATGAGAATAAGTCAGTGTGAACGCTAAGCAAACTAGAACTAAAATGTACCTTTTTTTTTTGGTTTGAAACGAAAGGTAAACCAAACTACAAATGTAAATGCACCCAAAATCTGTATCTTTCTGAGCTTCACTAGTATATTAAGTACATGGTCTATGGTTCAAGTCAAGAATCAATAGAATTTAACACACAACATGTCAAAAATCAGAAAGTAAATTCATACTGAAGCTGAAAATGAGTATTTTTACCCCTAATTTGGACATTATTCTCTTAATTAGCTCCTATCCATAAACACACACACAAATGCATAAAGCATCTCTACTGCCTCTCTCACACACAGAAGTCTCACAAAATACTTCCAGGGTTGGATTATATAGGCACAGCAGTTACAGTACTAACTCACGTGTCATATGGAAAATGCCATCACAGGCACTGATGTGAGAGAGGAAAGCATTGCCCAATCCCTGCCCTGCGTGAGCTCCCTTCACCAGGCCAGCAATGTCCACCACATTCAGAAAGGCTGGGACCTTACTGTACAGAGACAGAGAGAGGAGTGAGCTGGTAGTTACTGTGCTGTGGTTGTGTAATTTAGAGAGATAAAACAATGTATGCATTGCAACTACAGTGGTAGCAGGAAATCCATCCATTTATAAAAGTGAAATGTGCCATTGTAGACACTTAAGAGTCAGAACTGTTTGCACTGGTGATGATACGAAGCAGACATCCAAAGTATTTAATGCTTCTTAAAGCTACATAGAAAATTATTGCAAAAAAATGAGTATGAATAGTTTGCCTTATGTCTGAGTTTTGCAATTAAGTTATTTTTTTAAATCAAGGCAGAGAGGTACATGAAGGGCATTCTAAAGCAACCCAAAGAAAACTTTCAGGTTTTACCAATATTTTATCAACATAACATATAAACAGTAAGAGAACATGCATAGGTTCACTGATAATTTTAAATATCAAATAAAATAGCTATAGACATTGTGATTATTCCTGATTTTTCTGCAATGCACCACTTCATGGCAAACACTTAGAATGACCCTATTTACATCGCAAATTTTGAAAAATCAAAACTGAATGGAATTCTCCTTTAATGCCTAGTTTAATGGCAAGTTTAATGTCAAGACCAGGAGCAGCTGATCTAGATTATTACTGCATGGCAAATGAACATATTCTGTGCTTTAGTCCGTCCATTTTTTTGCTATTCAAAATTTCTGCAGAGTATAATAAGCAGTGCCACCAGATGCAGTAATTCTTTGTTGATAAGACTGGGACTTAATGATTCTTGGCAGTGACTTTAAATGTGTTTCAGGTGTAGGTTAAGTGTAGATACCTGGCGGGCTTGTGGTACTGGCAGAGAAAGTCAAAGCGCTCGTCTGGAATGGGCACACGACTCTCGTTCGGGTCGATGGTGCAGAAGGGGAAATTCTCCGCCGCCGCCTGACTCTTCGTCAGCACGTTGAAGAACGTTGACTTACTGAAATCGCATTTATGCAAAACACTGATTTACACCTAAGGCAGGAGGTATGTTAACATGCAGTAACTTGAACTGAATTCTTCAGCATAAATTTACGATGAATTAACAGCAATTTGGCATCATAAGACAATACTTAATAATTTCCATGCAAACTTAAAAACAGCAAATCGCTAATCACATATGGGAATATATCTCCAGCAGATGAATCTCATATATCCCACAGCAGTAACACTTTACATGATTACATAACCTGACACTTGGCCATACTACAGCCATTACAGAGCAACTCAAACATATAGAAAATATGCAAAATCACAGAACATGCAGCACTTCCAAACATAAAATTATCACTGTATGCATTTAGAAACACACGTGATGACATTTCAGTCATTACAACTGACAAGACTGAAAGCAAAACATACCCCACATTTGGTAATCCCACAATTCCAATTTTCAGTGAGGTCCCAAAACGTCCGATCAGAGGGGGTGGCTTTGGTCCATCTCCTCCCTTCTTTGGAGGCATCTGTAACAGAATTCACATACCTGTCATTTTCTTTGTCACATGGCAGGCAGCATGACACAGCAACACAACCAGCTCAAACGTCCCCCAAGGCAACACCACACCTTTTTGGGAGCCATGACTGAATTATCTCAGCACTCTGTCATTCAGAAATGTGAACAGTAATTTTCACATAGACTGCTGTAAGAAAAGGCTGGGATCTCCTAACTGCAGTAATCCAGTCTGGTTGCCATTCCACCAGAGACTGGGCAGCGAGTGGCCGAGTCCCAGAATAGCAGCAGCATGAGTGAAGGGGTGTAAGCTGACCAGCCCGGCCTCATCACAGCTAAATATAACTCTCATTCCGTCCAGAAAACGAGAAGACGTTTCACATATGAACTGTAATGTCCCCGCAACACTACGCAGCCCCTGCTTTCTTAGAAGGAGGTTCTTCTGCTTCTCACATACTACTAAACCCGTCTCCACAGAGCTGCAACACCAGCTAGCTTTACACCCCATTCATTTCTCTACGGTTAGCATGTTAGCTTGCCGGACACTGATGCAATACACTACAAACAGCCCACATTTTTCAAAACAAATGTTCCATAAACAAACGGAGAATGAGTTTGCACACGTGTATGTTTATATCACCTTGAAACAACGCTCAATGTGACTGTGGTGTGATAATTTCACAGTGCTCGCACACCGCACGCTTCACACCGCTCAGACGACGGCACGAAAAGAAGAAACCAGGCGGAAGGGTGAGACGTTTCCGTGCTCCGATTGGACGAAACGACGGTGGACGGAACCACGCAAAGGAAAACGTCACGGCGTTCTGTGAGGTGACGTCGTCGACAACGTAGCAATAAATTGTAGGGTGGATTCATTTTAGATGTGGTGAGTTTTAAGCAAGAAAATTATATTATCACACAATTGTTTCTTATGTTAGGAGAGTTGCATATTCATTATGGTCTCTCCAAGCCTAATTTTACGTGCTTTTTGGAAGATTTTAAACGTGTCATCCTTGTACAATATTCAAAAAATAAGAAAGCACTGAAGATAATCAACGCATACAAATAATGTAATATGATGTGATGGAATTGTTTTCCTTTCTCTACGAACCCCTGGCAATGAATGTTTATGAATGAATATTTTGAGTACTTAAATGTTATTTGTACTTCTTGTTACTTTTTTGTGGTAATATAAAAAACTTGTGGCAAAAAAAGCTGAACAGAAAAAAACCCAAAGGATAGATAGATAGGTGGAAGGATGGATGGATGGATGGATGGATGAATAGATAGATAGATAGATAGATAGATAGATAGATAGATAGAGCTATATGCAAAAGTATTGAATACCCTTGCCCAATCATGCAATTATTTGATTTTCTAAGTCAAAACGTTTTAACACATTTTTTACATGGAATAAACTTAAATGCGACATTTTTCTGCAGTTCATTTAAATTTTTAGTATAGCTTAACATATTGGAAAAAAAATATAAAATGAGCCATAACTTTAGTACAGGCCACATTTTATGCTTTATTTTTTCCCTAGTAATTGTAATTGTGTATTAAAATGTGCATAAGTGTGTTCCCTGTAGAGGATGTGTGCTTTTTTCCAGAAAGTCTTTTGTATTCGACTGTATTTCATCTTGCATTATTGTGAAATTGATCCTATTCACCTCTGCCCACTCATCTCTTATGATGAGACAGAAACTCACACCCATCTTACATTTATGCATTTGGCAGACGCTCTTATCCAGAGTGACTTACTACTGAATTTTGTTACAGAGGCAGGCAAATGTAGCATTAGGAGTCTTGCCCAACAACACTTCGGATGTTTGTACATTTGGTTCTTTTGGTCCAAAAAAAAGTTTAAAAGGATGCATTGTTGCAAAACTCAGCAAAGACCAGCATAGCTGCTCAACAACAAAACCAGCACATGTTGTGTTTTGGATGCTGGTATGATGGTCAAACAGACTGACCATGACCAGCTAAACCAGCACTAGACCAGAATAAACCTCTATTCTCTCAGAATGAATATCTATGAAGGTTAATTCTGAGTTTGGTCAGTTAAGCCATCTTTGGTTAATTTTGTGTTCATATTTGAAACTGGCTCGAATGGCAGTGTCCACATTTGTACTAACTAGCAACACCAACAGGGTTTGTTTTAATTGAACAAAAGCAGTAAATACACCCTTACTGATGTAGTATTGAGAGTCTTGCCCATGGAAACCCTCATCTACCGTTTGGAGGGCAGTGTTATTACCATTATGAATATTAATATGCTACACCACCAATCTGTAGATAATTATGATACGCAGCAGTGACATAACTAGGCTCGTATGGGCCCCAGTGCAAAAAAAAAGAACCACATAAATAGCCACAGGGCATCAGCACTCAGCAAAGTGCTTCTGTTTTTGGAATCTGTGTTTAAAAAAAAAAAACACTGTCAGTGTCCACCAAATGTCATAGCAGAAATGTGCATGATCACCTAAGTATTTAAAACAAAAAACAATTAAACCAGGTTTCTGCAACAAGACATTTATTGCATATTTTCAGAAATATCTGGGTAAACACAAACAGATAAACGATAAATAAAGTCCATGTTCATGGCTGAAGCATTTGTTCCAGTTTTCCACAACAGCAAGATAATGTGCAGAAGACGCCCCACTCTTCTTATTTGGGTGCAAACAGATATCTTAAAATTGATATCACAATTTGTGTAGAACCAGCTTTTCGTACATGAAACAAAACATGCAAAAAATCAGGCACGCATAAGGGTAATACTGAACAGCAGGGTTGGATTCAGTGAATGAATAATTTCCAGTTCAGCTCAACAATCTGAATTAGAACTGGGAAAAAACCTTTCTAAACTAACACTACAGTACATCTCAGTCACTTCAAACACAGCTTGGCTTTTACAATCTACGTAGATGCAAGGAATTTGACAACAGTAACCAGAAAACAACTTTTAGTAATATAAATGCCATCATTAAATACCTGATTAGTGGATTCATCACAAAGTACCTGATAAGGAAATAAAAGTCCAAAAGTCAAAATGCATACCTTCTTAGTCATGTAAATAAACACACCATACTCATATCATACATCGTCACATGTAATATAACATCTCAAGTAATCACAATAAAAGTTCAAAGAGTGCAGTCACAGTCTGTGATGAACAGAGTCGAAGTACATGTCACCAATAACGGAGCACCATAGCAGACTTTTTGTTAAACAACTGTGAAATTTTCATACAATCATACACCCTTCATTTATTTAGTTTCAGTCAAAGTGGATATTCACTTCATTTTCAGGAGACATTTCTGAATCTCTGAATTTCACACAGCACTGCATATATCTGTACATTTTGTGTCTCATATGTTTTGCAAGGAGACTCTTACCTGCCTTAAACATGTACGTGCATTCAGTGTTAAATAATACAAGGTCTATTACTGAGGGAAATGGAAGCTGATTCAGAATTTGATTCTCAGTCAGGGCATAAAAGCTCTGTGTTGTGCACATCAGAGAGTCATTTTAGATTCAGTCTAAATGGAGAGTCATTTCAGATTCAGTCTAACAGTGTCAAACTTGTAGAAGAGTCATATGATCTTATGTGGCTAGCAGACTGTAGTGTTTTGCTAAGTGCAAACATTTATTATATTACAAATTCGAGACTTGAAAATGAAAGGTCAATTTTCAATTCCGATTTGAATTAATCCCAACCCTGCTACTCAGGAAATGCAGTGACTCCATTATATATTTTAAATATTAGATTGTCCTGACCATGAACTGAACTCTTGGCACAGGAAAGCTTATTTCTTTAAAAGTGGGGTCAATTCAGTAGTCATAGATAATACCTTTGTGCTGCTTAGTAACTAAAAATACAGTATATTATAAAGGGACTCTCTGACCAGACCGGGAACCCTGCCCTTCTCATGATATGTCTAAAAGGGAGGATTTTGGTGGGCAGGCTGTTTAAGCTCTTAAAAGGCCAGGAACCACCGGCAGGTTTTTCTACACACTTTTATAACCTAAGAATAGCTCAGGCAGTTTGCATTGTAGTCTATGTAGTTACTAAATAAAAAGGCTTATTATGTAATAAACCTGGGATTTTAGGGGGTTAAAATGTGTTTTCTAGCTTCCTAGCAATAACATTCACTACCAACAATCATATGCAAAAAGTTTAAACACCACTGGTCAAATATTTTGATGATGATTTTCTAATTGAAAATAAGTTAATACATCCTGTATGAGAAACAAATTTTAATTGGTGTTTTTAGCACACAATTTCTATTATGTTCCATTATGTTGAATTTAGCAAATAAACTTGTATGGTGCATTAAAATGTGCAGAAGTGTGTTCTCTATAGAGGATGTGTTAACTAACTTTTACTTAGACATGTTATGTGACCGCGATGCATATGGCTGTAGTATCCTGCTACAATTGATAGCTAGTGAAGGAACAGCCCACCCTCAAAAATCCACTCCAATACAAAAATTCCTCCCACCTGCAAGATATCATAAGAATCATCAAAAGGGGTTTTCCTAGTCTGTCCAGAGCGTCCCTTTAAGTGAAGATACTGTCACTCTCATAACAAAACCTCGTATCTCCTAACTTTGTAAGGGGAACGAAAAGAGGCTTTTAACTGTAATGTATGAAATTTTATTCCAGTTCCAGACAAATCTGTACCATTTTAATTGGTCCTTTGGTCATGAACTGTTCACACAAAGGGCACCTGACGTTTTTACATGGTGTAAAAACTGGAGTTACGAGGTTTTGGTTGACAGTATGTAACACTGTTAAATATTCATTCACATACATTCAATCCCATTCAGTCTGTGCTCTGCAGTAGCCCTCTGCACACTTGGTGAAAGGAGTTTTAATGAAAGAAGACACGGAGAGAGACCTGATTCCCCCTTAAGTTTGGCATGCCATGCGACAATTTCCAGTGGTAGACGAAACAGCTCAGTTTGATTCACAGTCGAGTTCTGCTCAGCGGGTTCGGGTTGGTCTGATCCCATCGTCCAAGAAGCAAAACCAATGGCTGTCATCACAGAAATCCAGCTGCGGTGTGACATGCTGGATAATTCCGCCCTGCTGCAGCTGAGTCTTACAGAGCAAGGCCACACCTCTATTTCTGACCACACCCACCCGCACCAGCCAATCAGTCAGCTTGCTATCCAGCAAAAAAAAAAACAGCACACCTGTCGATCAAAGCAAGGATTCACCCACTGGACCTGAGAGAGATTCAGCTGATCCACTGAGAGCGCGAGAGAAAGAGCAGAAAAGGGAAAAATGGAAACAAGATAGAGGGGAACAATGAGGAAAGAAGGAAAAGAGCACATAGGAGAGATGAGTTCAAGCCCATGCAAAGGGTGCAAGTGAAAGAAAAGAAATGCATTACCATTCAAGACATTGTTACAAAACGCTAAGTGCATGTCGTCCTTGTCATAAGAAAACCTTGTACCCCCGATTTTGATTCTACTCCTGACAATGTGTGAATAAACCAAAAATGTTTTTGAAAAGCAGACATTTCACATTGTATGAAGCAGAATCTTAATAAATACATAAACAAATGAAAAATCAATCAGTTTGCTCTGAGCAGACCTAATTTATTATGTGTTCATTCCTGTGTTCCAAGCTTATATTGTTCCTTAAACATTTTAAAACAGATTAATTCCACTCTTTTTATATAGGCTAAATGTTTAAAGGCTTTTGACCCAGCCTTGTTTATTGATATAGACAGGTTGACACACAGGTTAATGTATTCTACTGTTTGTAAGATGAAGCTATGAAATAGCCCACAATAATTCACCAGAGGTTATGATCATAGCAAGTTCAAAATACTACATTTTAATTGTTAAACACTGTAATCAGAGTTAGCAAAATTCCCTGTTTAAAATACCTGTATGTATGTAAATTTAATACATTGAATGAAATCACATGCATTCATGAGATCCTGCTGGTGTCTCCTCCCTTTCAGTAAAAACACTATTGAGTGCTAATGGCGGTCCCTTGTGGACAATCTGAATTATTGTTGAAAACAATTAATAATTACATTCAAACCTCTTACACAGTAATAAATAGTTTTAAAAAACAACTTACATAGGTTTAAATATTAAAGTAGTTACACTTAAATTTACTTTCGAAGCATCACTATGGATTTTTTAAAATCTAATGCTACAATGTTTAAATCTGTGCTACAACACTTTTCTAGCACCAGTGCTACAGGCTCAAACATTTTAGATACAGCCCTGTTGATCCAAAACCACTTAAGGCTGACCAAAAAACATTCATGTGTTTTTTAACTAAATATTTATTTATTTACATGTCAATTTTTCAAATTAACGTTTCTGTTTTGTAAAAGTTATAAAATCTTGTTAGATCCCGCTTCTAATTTTTGTTTCTTGAACCAGATAATGTTTCGTTATTCTACTCATGTTTTTACAGGGGAGTATTTTTTTCCTAAAACTAATTTTAATAGAGAAACACAATAATGCATTTCTGTGTTCCCATCAAAAGAGAGAATGTTGTGAGCCAGAAAGTGAAAAAGGCTGGAGATGTGAGACTAAATCTGGGAACCCAACAACTCAACCTCCAAACAAGTGTAAATCTATGTAAACATAAACTCACATTGTTTCACACAGTGTCTCCTAAAGCAAACACACACACACTCTCTCTGGTTAACCTGCATGTAAACACAGGCACACATGCATCTGCAAACAAACCTTCTCTTGCGCACAATGTCCTGCACACACTGATTTTTGTGGTAGCGGACAAACTGTGTGCAGGTCAGTCGGATCTCCTCAGGAACAGCAGCTGAACCACAGCTTTCCTCCTGACCGCCACCACAAAATGCAGCCAGCCTACACACACACACACACACACACAAGTATTCAATCACCAACGCCAAATAGACACACATGTGCACACAAAAATAGTAATAAGACAGATGCTCAGTGCACTATAAATTTAACGTTTTACACTCACCTCTTTTTAAATGGTAAAATGATGAGATGCTCATCCAGCCCAAATATGCCAAACGAAATGAAACCCTGAAAATGAGATAATATATTATTATTTAACAAATGTATTGTGGTCTATAAGGTATTTGTACATAAGTGTATATTTGTCTGTATTTGTATCTCTGCACCTGTCCGTAATTGGCCACAGCACAGAAGAACTGCAGCTCGAGATAAAGTCGTCCAGGATCAGTATTTAAAAGCCACCACAGACAGCTGGACAGGTTCTGACCATGACAAACACAAAGACATGACTCTGGGAGAAACGTACCATATACAGAAATGTGCAAAAGTTTAAGATCGCCCCTAATTTAATGTAAATAATTTAATTAATTAATTAAATTAATGAATTTAATTTCCAGTAAAACAGCTATTAAGTACAAGTTATTAATTTTGTAAAAAAGCAGAAAATATTATACATGTTTAACAGAAAAGCCTCACACAGAAGCCTCAGCAACTAAATATAACTTCAAAATTTTCAGGATTAAGTGTGTCCACTCTGCCTTTATTATAGCTTCCTTTCTTTTCAGGAGACTTGCTTTCATTTTTTTTAAGAAATTTGCAGAGATATTTTTCCACACCTCCAAAGTTCAGTCTTAGAAGTTGGTTCAGTTTCTGCTTCTCACAATCCAAGTAATACCAGTGATGTTGAGGTATGGTCTATCAAATGTTCTGAGAACACCTGCAGCATGTTTCATTTGCATTTTTTTTCTTTTCTCAGTAAGGGTTTCTTTATAGCTTTGGATCCTTTCAGACTTTGCATCCCTTCAGAAAGCGCTGAATCGTCTTCTCACAGTGGAAGGATGGACAGAAACACCTGTGGATGGTTTCAGATCTGAAGCAGCTTGATTTTCTCCTCTCTCTTAAAGATGAAAGTGCTGTTTATCTGATAGGGACAGTTTTGATGGTCTACAAGATCTTCATTTTTCACTTATGTTTCTTCTTTAGGCAAGTGGATTATTTTATATCTCTTCTCCTCAGAAATATCTCCTGAAAAATGAATAACTTTTACTTAACGGCTGTTTTAATTAGAAATAAATTAAGGGTGGTCTCTCACTTTTTTACAGTACTGAATATAATAATGAAAACACTACATAGAATAGTCATTTTATAAATAAGTACACCCACCATATAGGTTTACAATTACAGTTACGTTTAATGTACTGGGTTAGTACTGTATATTGTACTGGTTTTGGTTATTACGTATGTAATGTTAGTATTGTTTAGAATCACTCATCATGTTTGTTGTTTTAGACGTCAAAGCGTATTTTTAGATGTTTTATTTAATTATTTTAAGTATTTGGATACAAAGTTACTACATGATAAATGTCGTATCTCATGTATTTATTTATTTATTCACATTTATTTGTAAAATAATCAAACTGTCATTGGCCTTGAAATTTGATTAACAGTTTTAAAACATATCTAAAATATGCCTTTTTCCACTATACTGATCTATACTGATCTTTTGAGGTGAATATGTATGGTGCTGGTATAAGGTATAGGACCAGTGTTGCATGTATGTTTTCCGTTGATAGACTCACTGCTAGCAGGCTGACGATGAGCAGCAGACAGAGCAACACATGCCGAGCCACCTGCCTTTCCTCCTGCGCCCGCACACAGCTCGACGTTTCACAAAGAGCTACACCAACAGAAGAAAACACACTTACTACATACACAACTCAAAAACATCACACAACACCTGCAGCACAGACTACAGTTACTATACACACACATACACAACACATACCATACCAACCCACAAACCCCAGACTGAGACAACACCATGTGCTAATATGCACACATAAACACATTTCATTCAGCATAACATCTCTGAACAGCAACTGCAGGTGCATTTTTCTTGCCTGATGGTGGTGCTGGTGAGTCATTCAGACGGTCAGATATCATATCAGGCATGGGGTCACTATGATCTACGAACAACACAGATGAGAATTTTATCAGGTACACATAGCACCATTTTAAGACAACACATTAGACACAACACATTTAACAGTGCCAAGGTTTGGTGCTCAAAACATGCTTGCAGCAGTTAAAACAACAGTAGAGATGTGAGACTCGTCTCAATTTTCCTCCTACTCAAAATAACAAATAACAATCAGCCTTAGGGTCTAAATTTGATTCTTTACAAGGATAATGTAGATAACAAGTAAGCAATAATAATTATTAATTAATAAATGTTAACTGAAAGCCTATACTTTACCAATTAACATCATGCAAATGGACAAACTGGACAAAAGTATGTCGCTGTTGTCGGAAGAAAACCTCATATCTCCAAAATGATAACATTACAGGTGAAGGAAAAACCTACTTTACTTTTAAGTCAATGGAACCAGATTTTTTTCCATTTTTTGTCACTTCTTTAATTCCACTCATGAAATTTACACACAATGTAAAGGGTAACACGTATTTTCAAATTATGTCAAAAACAGAAATACATCAAAAATTGAAATTGAAAAGTTTTTCTTCCTGAAACAGCAATGTATAAAATTCAGGTTTTGTCATTAACGACAAATCTACATAATGAAACCATATGGTAGGTGATAAATTGGCCAATGAGTGTAGGTAAGTGTACCAGGCCCAGCATCATTTAGTCATTTAGTGGGGCAATGCCCCACCAACCAATCATTATGCCCTACTAAGTCCAGTACTTTGTACAAGCTTCTATAAGGGCTTCTAAAAAAGTGATGTTGTTTTACTCTCATTGAACTCCTTGACGTCTGAATTCCAACTGAAAATTGACACTGATCTGCTCATAGGTTAACTGGGCAGAGTAGAGGGATGGCTGATAAATTGTGAAGCAACAGATGGGCTACAGTCAGTAAATGTAAACCTACAATGTGCACCTATTTGGTGAAAGTATCTGCTACACTTGCCAAAGAGTGTGGATGTATCTAAACTGGCAATTTTATTGTTCATATTGTTCAAATATTTAAGTCTACATGCTTTCTGTTCAAGGTAGATTATTTTTATGCTTATGTCTACATTCAGTCAAAGTCAGACCTGATTTCACATCTCCCACATGCTTTCCTTCGAGGTGACAGAGACACACATACATTAAGGCTGAATACCTCTATTCAGACTGCCATGTGATGTTGCCCTCTCGGATGAGTTCTGGTTCTCTGGCTGTGGGGGGTCCCTCAGGTCCTCTGTGGTGCCAGACATGGAGCTCTGCTCCAAAGCCTGGTAACTCTGCTCCTCCTGAGTACTCTGACTCAGCCCCATGAGAGACACCCCACCCAACAATATACTACAGCTCAACACCCCCAAACTGCTCACAATCTAAGAGAGACAGAGGGAGAGAGAGGACACACAGCATGACATGCACATTAGTGTGGGGCAATTCTACTAAGCGAGCTGGATATATATCCTAGATGTTTATGTATTTTTAGATACAGTATGACGCAATTTGATCTGACTGGATTCAAAATGATTCAGAATACAGTCACACACCAATGTGACTGGAGGAACTATTTATACTGCAGAGAAGTATACAGTACTGCCATTTATTTAATTTCTAGTCAAAACGGCCATTAAGAACTGCTGGTTTTCTCAGAACAATGGACTGACCACCTAAGAGTCCAGACCTCAACATCACTGAAGGTGTTTGAGATTACTTGGAGTGTGAAAAAATGCAACCAACTTCCAAGACTGACTTTTGGAGGTGTGTAAAAATATTCCTGCAAATTTTTTTCGACAAACTGAAAGCAAGTCTCCTGAAAAGAATGGAAGCTGTAACAAAGGCAAAATTAACACACTAAATATTGAACAATCTGAAATGCGTTTATGTTAATAAATATGTTTTCTGCTTTTTTTTTACATAAAAATATATAACTTGTACTTAATGGCTGTTTTGACTGGAGATTGAATAAATGAAGGATGGTCTCTGACCTGCACAGTACTATAGATAAAAAAACACCAAGCTTATTTTAACATGACATATTTAACATACCAACACACTGCATCAAAAATTGAACAATGGAAACCTACTTGCCACTTGCCGTAGAAGAAGGCGGAGTCCGTTATGTTACTCTCTCTTTCACCCACAACAAGCAGCAATCCCACAATAAGAAATGGAACCCTGTAATATAGAGTTGGAATATATTATTTGACAAATTAACGTAATAATAATTACACATATTACACATAATTATATTATTCAATTAATCATAAAAGTTGATTTTTGCACTGCGATGTTATCAGAAATTTAAAGATGCTTTAGAGGTTGGACTAAATCAATGCATTTTGATGGAAGACTATGTGAAAACAAGAATTTTGACTTTTAAATAGTTCTATGCTTTTTATGATCAGGGACAAGAAATATCATGGTAAAAAAGGTCCATTTTTATTTCAGGGTGACTTCAAATGCAACACGATATGACAGTCTACAGTGTTATTCTGTGTCTCAGTTTCACACACTCTTACCCCCAGCCCAGGAGGATGAAGATGATGGGTCGAACTTTGAGCTTTTCATTCTTCTTCAGCAGAGCCAGAGCAAACGCTAACAGACCTACAACACAACACACGATCTACACAACTACACGACACAGCACAGACTAATCACAATTCCAGACAAAACAACATAATCAACAGTCATAATCCAGTGTGGTAGGAGTGTATACACACTGTATATATAATCTGTGTGTGTTGTACGGTACATATTAAATAAGTGCTCTATAGAGATATTCTTAGAATGTCAATCTGCATCAGATCACCAGATTTCAGAAAACTTTCTGATTGATCATTTCAGATTTGCTTAATATTTGTGATAATGTCATTGTCCCCAGTGTGATTAGTCTGAGACACAGAGGCTTTAAAAGCTACTAAGTTGAGCTATTTTTAACTGAAGCACTTCAATTAAAGTTGCACTATGTATGTTTATTGGTGACATCAAAAAAAGTAACATTACTGAGTCAGAAGGAAAAAACATGCTAAAATATGCTGCTGCGAGTCCCCCTGTAAAGTCTTTAACAGTTAGGGGTCGTGTTGGATGAGATGGAGAGAGATAGATAGAGATGTTTATTTTTGTAGAATGCATATAATAATGAGACTTAACTAAAATTCTCTATCAAAGACTTGAGCCTTGACAAAACTTGCACACCAGAAACTCCAGACTCGACTTGGATTTGAACCCCTCAAGACTTGGGAACATTTCTACAGTTCACTTTTGGCAAACAGATATTCATCTTACTGTAATAAATGTTTCTGATTTATAATCTATTCAAAAAATAAGAATAATCAATCTAGTATTTCTTGAATTTCCTGTATTAAGTGCATCTGAAATGGTCAGCTAGGGGGCCTTTAGGCATTTCCCTGAAGTGAACATGCTTGCACGTGTTACCTGTCCACAGATAGGTGCTGTAAAGAGATCCGTACAGCAGTGTGAAGGTGAGGATCTGTGCCAGCATGTTCTCCTGATGAACTACAAACCTCCACAGAATCATCGACACACACACCAACAGCTGGAAGAGAAAACACACCCATGCTGTGTATTAAAATGAGAGAGCACAGGAGATGAAAAAGCAGAGAGAGCATGCATAGCTGAGTGTAGCCACCTGAGCGAGGAAAAGGTTTGTTGCAAACATATGAGGCAGTCTCTTGAACTTCTTGCTGAGTAGCATGACAGCAATAGTCCACACCTGTTTATTGACACACAAAAACAAAACAGAAGACACAGTCTAACACAGTCTAGCGCCCATGTGTCAAACACAAGTCAGGCCTGCAAAATTATTTTAATTTTCTGTTCTTATTAGCCCGTTTCACTCTGAGATGCACTACAGTCCCCAGCATGCACTGCAACATAGTGTGCGTTCTGACCCTCTTCTCCCAGGATTAGATGCCTGGTGTCTCACTCTAGTCAGCTTTAAGTCAAGTCAGCTTGACTTAGCAAATAGGCAGTTTTAAAAAACTTCAAATTAAAATTCAAGCAAATCTAAAATAATTTATTTTTATTTAGAATTAATTTTGAATAAGTATCCAATGCCTATTTTGATGTTGTAGTTTTGGCATTTTTTAATAAATGTTAAGTAAAAATGAAATAAAAACACAACTGGCCAACGGATTTGCTGAGATTTTTAATAAGGCCCTTTTAGTGGTTGAGTTTGACACCCCTGGTCTAGAGCAATGGTCCAGAGGATAATCTCAAACTCAAAAAGAGCTTTTCATCATTAATTGATATTGTCTTCAATAGCCTATAATCTAGTTTAGATTTATATGACATGTATTGATGTCAAGGCTAACTTCTTAATAAAGTGTTAACACAATAAATGATTAGCATGCTCATTTTTTAAAAGCGTTTTTCTAGTTTGACCCTGCAAACCATCCATAGTTCTACCCTTTGATAAAGTTATTTCCAGCTACTGTAATGCTGTGAAACTGCTTTTCACTGAAGTACAAAGAGTCTGAAGTATAATTTACAAGCAAAGCTAATATGGCAATATCAGCACTTTCAGCAGACTGCATCTGACAGTCCTCACTGGAGAGAAACAGATGAAAGCACTAGCAAAGCTACGGTTCCCTTGCAAGAAGATGTAACATCATGGTATGAGAGTAAGAGGCTACAAATTATTAACACCACTATTTTTTTGATTCCGCTAATGCTTTTTCCTGGTTTGACTCTTCGAACCAGAGGTCTGTGGGAATGGCTCTGGTAAACCTTTATCATGTGAACAATCACATGAATCACATGATTTGCATTTATGTAGGCTACAGAAACAGCAGAGCCTTCAGACAGTCAGATGGCCACAGCTGTGAAAGCTGTGTGTGTCCTTTTAAGAGAGGAGAATCCACAACAACAAAGCCATCTAAAGGCAACCCTATCATGTGGCAGTCATTTTCAATGGGGGTGGGCACAGGACAAACTATTTAGCGACATGCAAACTAAAGCGACACGCCACAGGCCAAGGACGGTCTAAAGGCATGTTGCTTGATCACTATCAACAGTCAGTTCAGGCCACGATACCTCATGAGGCACATGTAGCAACAGTTTTCTAGCTACGCTAAAGACACCCTCTGTAGAAGCACGTGGTTTTTTGTTTACACAATTCCCACCCCAGTTTTGCTGCAGAAAATTCTACCCACCAATTGGTTCTCCCCTTTTCCACAATGCTACCACATTGGGAGGGTGAAGCCTAGTATGCGCTTCCTCTAAGAGACGTGAAGTGTCACTGCATTTTTTTGAACTTCTAATGCAACGCCATCAGACAGCTCAACACGCTTGGAGGAGAATATTAATTCTATTACATCATCTAACAGAAGCCTGTATTGGCTTGGTTTGCACTGAGTGATGGGGAGAGGGAGGGCCAACCTACTTACCAGGAGTAAATAAGGCCAATTATGCCATCTTAAACTCCTGGCTATGGATGGCTGTGGCATTGCTGGGGATCAAATTCATGACTTCCCAATAACAGGGCCAACACTGAGAGATTCCTTAGGCACAACAAGCACATCATTGCTGTTGTGATAAAATCTTGAATCTCCAAAATAGTAAATTTACAGAATAAGGAAAAAACTTTGAATGAAGGTTAATTGAACATGATTTTTCAGTAATTTGGAGCATTTCTACTGGTCCTTTCATCATGAAATTTTAACACAATGTAAAGGTCAGTTGGCATTTAAAAAAATAAATAAATTGGAGACACCAGGTTTTGTTCCAACAACAACAGTATGTCTTGCAATACCAGAATGTCCATGTGCACAGGCCAACACAGTCTAGAGTCTGGAATTCCAATATTACACAAGGCTTTCTTTATTTAACACCTTTGATCAGTAATCCTCTTATGTGTGTATGATTAGTTCATATAGCAGCACAAAATCTTGGCCCTCTATTTAATCTTCTTTAACTTTTCCCCCACACATTGTTTTCATCAGGGTCTCTTTTTCTCATTTTTTCTTAAAAATATCTTTCACAATGTTTTGATTCCCTTATTTCTTATTTCCAAGATGAAAGCAATGCATACACACTCACCAGGGCGATGAGGCTGATGATGCTGATGTTGAAGCTGACCTCCTGTAGCTCTGAGATTAGGTGTCTGGCCTCCATCCAGGGAATGGTCAGTAACCATGCCGACAGGTACATGATGGGCGCAGACAGTAAGGTGCTGATGACCATGCCGGAGGTCACCTATACGTGCACACACACACACACACACACACACACACACACACACACACAATACATACGTATCGCTGTCGTTGGAACAAAACCTTATCCTACCCAAAACCCTATCTCCAAAATGATAATGTTACAGGAAAAGGAAAAAACCTACTTTACTTTTAATATAAGTCAATGGAACCAGATTTTTTTCCGAGTCATTTTGGGCTCTTTCTTCTAGTCCATTCATCATGAAATTTACACATAATGAAAAGAGCAACAAGGCATTTGTAAAAACTGAAAAATAACAAAAATGGAGATACAAAACAAAAATTGAGATTTTCTTCCGACACCAGCAATATACACATATATAAATATTTGCATAAGTATAAGTATCCTCTTTCAAGTCATGTAAACATGGGAAGTAAATTATGATAAGATATGCTATCATGAACAGAGAAAAGGTATTTCTAATTACGGTTGGGTATAAAAGTTCAATACTTTTGTGATACTGAGTGGATTACTCAAGTACTGCATTCTACTGAAAAATTCTGTCAGTTGACACCAAATTTTAATACCTAAGTAGTTAGACTGAGCATCCATTAACCAATAAGCATGCTTGTTCCAAAATCTAGACTACTGATTGGTTGTGTAAACAACATCCTGTGTGCATGTTATTAATGCCAGCACTTCTTGATAAGTCTGTAACCCAGTGCAGTCCATAAAAATGGAGTACTGCTATCACAACAAGGGGATAAAACGTGTGAGCTTCAGAACTATTTCCAAGATAGTACAGTCACAAATAATGTCACAAATACTCACAAATATTATTGATATTATTTTCCAAATAAACTCAATATGTTACAATATTGCAAACTGAAAAATGCTCATTTGTAAAACCATGTTGAAAAGCGCCCCTAAAAATTCAATCACCAGTGTGTCCTCACTGAATCAACACACAAATGGACACATTTGTACCCTCTAGGATCAAAATCCATTCTCATAGTCTTAATCAGAGTCACTACAGTGGAACCCCAACACTGGTCTCAAGTCAGAGTGCACTCACCACCTCCAGCTGCATGTTGTACTGTCCAGCATAGATGGCCACGCTGGGAGCGGTGGGGAAGACCCCGTAGAGGAAGGCATAATCAGACAGACTGCTGTGGTTTGCAGATCTGTTTCCAGAGTTACCTGCGTCCAAAAGCTCCAACATGTCCTTACACATCAACGGCATCATCAACCTGCAGCACACACAAAAATTTGGAAATATAATCCATCATAATTCATTTTTATTCAAGCATTTACCAATTTACAACTTCTCTTCATCTCTTCATTAAACAGACACTGTTACTGTGCCTTTTAGACTGATACTTGTAAATGTGCTCTGTTCTGATTGGCTGCCCTGGACTATGTTATATTTATGTGTTATTCCATACCAACTTAACTAGCCCTCCCAGTTCAAGTCATGGATTTCCTTGGAAAGAAATAATGTGAAAACCTCTATTATATTCATGGCACCTTGCAAAATCATAACTCTTTACTCCAACTACTTTTTTTAATAATGAATTTAAGGTTTAGCTCTTTTCATTGTTTTGTGGTTCTGTATGTGCAGTCTAAAACTAACCAATTGCTTATTTTTTGCCGGACTGGGTTGAAATTTGTACTAAATATCCAAGAAACTGTAAGGATAATTTGCAATATGTATTCATGTGAATAGTTTTTGCTAAATGTTTCACAGTAATCAATTTATAAAAATAAATATTTTTACCCAAAATAAGTTTAATTTAAAAAAAAATATATCTCCACTGGTTTTCACTTTCTTGCAACCACATTTTGATTCTGTGAAGTACTGATATAGTTCTATCACATCTAGGAGCTATTTGGTCCTGCTTTAAAAACGCCACAGATCTTGCTAAAACTTAGCTTTAAAGCTGGAAACTTTTTAACATATTTTGATCATATAGTTCAAAAGAAGGATTATTTGAAATTGATTGAAAATGTTCATTCATTTCATTCATATTCATTTAACATATATAAAATATTTAAAGATGTTATGTTACTCCTTCATCATTTAATAATTTATTGAAAATAACCAATTTTTCATACTTTTCACCGGCTGTAATATTACATTCATTGGTTTTATTTCTTCTGGGTTTTCTATCGCTATGTGATACCTACTGAGCCTGTGTTTCATTGGGTTGAGGAAATAAATTCCTTGTGCAATTTGGTAGGGGACTTCCCACAGTGGCCAAACCTCCCACTGTCAGATGCACATACTCATACCTTACAACAGAGCCTAAGTGTAGCATAATAGGATGCACTAAGACCATTACACTGATTGTCAAGAAGGCACCTTGTCAGTGTCTTATGAAATTAAGCCCACAACACGTCCAGAAGGCTCAACGGTGGTGTTTGGCGTTCCCAGACCCATCCCCGCCCATACTCACGATGGGTTAGGGCCATACGTAAAGCCACCTAAATCTGTGGGGCATATGTATGGCTGAAGATGGCATACTTAGAGCCACTGGCAAATAGTCCTAAGTACCCAAATGTACTGGCATTCAAACAGCTTGCTGTGGGGAAGTCTCTCAGTAATGCTTGGGTGTATCTTGAGGTGTATCTGTTGTTGTCTCTGATACTGGCATGTGCCCAGGCCCATCATGAGTAAGGGCAGGGGTGGAACTGGGACGCCAGTCACCATGGTTGAGCCTTCTTGAGGTGTTGCGGGCTTAATTCTACAAGACACTGACAAAGAAAGGTGCTCACTTGACAACCCCTGTGAAATGCGCATGAAGGCATATTTGTTGTTGCTAGCTGTTGTTAGTATTGTTAAGTATTAGTGTAATGGTCATGTTCTATACTTAGGCTCAGCTGTAAGGAATGAGTATGTGCTTCTAACAGTGGGAGGTTTGGTCACTGTGGGAATACCCCACCAATAGCACAAGAAAATGTATCATCTTTTCCTGTATAACTAAAATTGGCCACACACACAAGGCAAGATGACATCATCTAGTATGCAACAAATCTAGCCATTACAAGCTGTAACTTGCACACTTCCTGAAACAATTGAAACACACAGCTATCACACAGAGATAGAAAACCTTGAAGTCAACATAGCACAAATATCTACCTATGAAATAAAACTACAGAATGTAATATTACAGCCAGTGAAAAGCATGAAAAATTATCATTTTTCAATATGTTATCTATTTTCATTGGAGATACATTTTTTATATATCTGCAAAGAATAATAAAAATAATACATTTTTCCCATAAAAAAATTACAAGCAAATTCAAAGAATCCTTCTTGGTATAATATACAGTCAAAACATCCTAAAAAAGTGGGTTTTCAGCTCTGAAACTATATTTCGTATTTAATTCTTTATTCAGGACCAAATACTATATTAATACAACACAGACTCATAATCTGATTGCAAAAAAAGTGAAAACTAGTGGAGATATTAAGTTTAATTAAAGATTCTTCGTTCAGGTAAATATTTATTTTTATAATTTGATTACTGTGAAACATTCAGCAACAGCTATTTGCATGTATGCATATTGCAAATTACCCTTAGGGTTTTTTGGATGTTCAGTATTAATTTCAACCCAATTCAGGGAAAAACAGGTAATTGGTGTGGCTTAGAGCTCACATACAAATAAACACAAAAGTGATGAAAAGGGACAAACTTAAAAAAAAGAATAAATGAAAAAGTACTTGGATAAAGCTATAGGATTTTGCAAGCTTTCATGAATTTAACAGAAGTTTTCACATTTTTTTTTAAGAAAGTCCATGACATGAACAGGGAGGGCTGGGTGAGTTGGTATGGAATGCTTGTGAGTATTAAGCACCGTGATAGGAACAGAATATATGAAGTGGGTGAAGGGGCATTCAGGCCCATCAAACATAGAGAAAGACAAAGAATGTTTCTTGAATAAGTTATTCTTATGGAAAAAAGAGTTTTTTTAATGCTTTTCCAGTTTGCTTAATAGCTTAAATGGACAGGTTGGTCCTGGTACACACTCACACACACGCATACACACGTTCTCACAGTTTAGCTGTGATGAGCAGTATGAGGGTGACTCCAGTGGAGCGTGTGAGTTTGTGCATCTGTCCCACCATCGTCAATCCCAGGTAAAAGAGCGCAGCCCCCCCGAATGAGTCAGCCAATCCATCCACAAACTCCCCTAGCAATGCAGGGACATGCCCACCGAACAGGAAGTGACAGATAATCCCAAACATAACCATAAAGACGATAGGATTCTTAATGACCTGTAGAGTAAGAGAAACAGAGATGCATTAAGATATCGCTGCTGTCAGAAGAAAACCTTGTATTTCCATTTTTGTTTTTCAGTTCTTGATATAATTTGAAAATACCTGTTGTCCTTTATATTATGTGTAAATTTAATGAAGAATGGACCAAAAGAAACAGCCCAAAATGACTTGGACAAAAATTCTGGTTCCATTGACTTACATTAATAGTAAAGTAGTTACCATTTTGGAGATATGAGGTTTTCTTCCAACACCAGTGGTATACAGGTTAAAACCCAGCTTTTGCAGGCATACACAATGATACTGGAATTGTGGTTATTGGCAGATAGGTGCTTTAAAAAATCAGCATTGGACAGATGTTTAGATTTTATCAATATTTTACATCTGCATTTGATTATCGATTCGTTTTAGTCCAGAAAAGTAGAATGTTTAAACGATGCTGGGCTAGCACGCTAAAATATCTGCATCTTATTCATATTTACAGCATTTTTAATTTAATTTTAATTTCTCATATAATGCGAATCCAGGTGGATCCAGTCTCAGTTCCTCCACAGTTGCATTATCAGTGCACCCCTAGTTTTTTTGTTTCAAAGCAAGTATTTTTGAGATTAACAGTTAATTAACAGCGTTAAGCAAGTATGTGATGCTTTAGGCATGCAGTTTGCATAATGCTAATTTGAATGCTAATTACTTGTTGCCAACATTAGCCCTGTAACAGTGCCATAGCACTGCCACTAAGCAAACCTCACAGTCACATAAGTCTATTTAAGATTACTTTTAAATTGATGCAGTTGAAGGAAAGTAGGTACTGATTTACACGTAGTTTGCATGATGCTAATTTGTGGCTATCTACTTCCATTACTTGACTGCTGCATTGTCCTTATAACTCCAGTGCAAAAACAAAAAATGTAAAAGTTCAGAAACCAAACATGTCTTGAACGATCAACTACAATTTGGATTTTAGAGAACACTTTAAATTTGAGTTTTCATCAAATATCCTAATATCCTAAAAAACATAATGTCGTGTGGGAGGATTATTCCTATATGTTCATACCTGTGGCAGGTTATAGAGTGCCTAAAAAATGTACCTTACATTAATGTTTCCATTTACACTTCATGAGTTCAACACTATAGAAGTACAATAAAGTAAAAGGACAAAAGCTGTGCTTGATAGTGTCTGGATCGAATGCTCTTGAAACAAGCTTATTTGTTATAGCCAAACAACACACTAGCCACAAGCTAACATGCTAGTCACGATACAACAATATGATACATTACAATATGTTGCAAAACCATTCACTACAATATGGTATGTTGTGTTTTTATGTCCCTAACACACACCCGTAGCAGAACGGTGGAGATGATGTGCAGTTTGCTGTGGTTGTGGTCAGGGCTTTGCCTCCAGCGCTGGAGCTCACACAGGGCAAAGCCCACTGGGTTCAGCAGCATTAGAGACACTGGAGCCACCAAATACAGGTACTGCCCATAGTCAGGGTGAGAACTGCGGTACAGAGCGTCCACTGAAAAGGGGGTGGAGGAAAATAGAGTTACCCATATGACTTAAGGAAACAGGCTTGTGCAAAAAGGCTATTTTCAAATGTAAAAATCCCACCTAAAAAAAGCCTGGTAGACTGTATGTGAGTCATCCTAACGTGTTCCAATGGAAGAAATATAAGGCTAAAAATATCTGACCTTTTTGTACAAATGTTTGAACATGGTCAATTTTGCAATTTGAATACTGACCTAAAAATAGTGTAGAATTTTGAATATTTCTTTACACACACACACACACACACACACACACACACATATATATATATATATATATATATATATATATATATATATATATATATATATATATATATATGTATAAAACCTTGGAAGAAAACCTTGTATCTCCATTTTTGTCGTTTTTGTCGAAAATGCCTGTTGCTGTTTACGTTGTGTGTAAATGTCATGAAGAATGGACCAAAAGAAACGGCCCAAAATGACTTGAAAAAAATTCTGGTGCAATTGACATTAAAAGTAGGTTTTTTCCTTCTCCTGTAAAGTTACTATTTTGGAGATACAAGGTTATATATTAGTTTGTCATTATTGCAATTGTGTAATGTAAACCTAGAAATTAAGATAAACAATGCAAGTCCAACTTTACCTTCAACCAACAAAATTCAAGAGAAAAACAAAGAGATAATTATTGGGAAAAAATGAAAATAAAAAATGTAATAGTCGGTTGCATAAATGTGCACACCCTCACAGCTAATACTTTACTGAAACACCTTCTGCACTTATTACAGCAGTAAATCTTCGTAAATAATCTTTACACTTCGGCCCTATTCTTATTAACTAATGAAAACGGCCAATTGATTCCTGTTTGTTGTGATATAAACTTGATTGTGAAAGCTAATAACCGTGGCAACAAATGTACAATAATCTTAAATAACTGTGATCAGGTGCTTATGTAATAATGTGATAAGTGTGACAGGCCTATTCTTTTGTAAAAATGTATAAAAATATTTAAACTGAACCATTTGCTAAGAAAGTAAAGAAGAAAATGCACTGAATACTGAATTTTCATTACTCCTAAATGAATTAAACCACTGTGAGTTCAGAGATTTACACCCAGAGTGATATTTCTGATGCTCAGTGTGTGTGGAGCCACACTCACCTATAGGATATCCCAGAGCGAAGTCATTACTCTGAGTGGCGAAGATGGCGAACAGCCCCGCTTTACTGTATTTGCTCTCCGGATCGGCCACCAGCAGCGTGAGAATACACACCAGCACAAACACACACACCTTCGCGATCAACACACTCCACAGGAAAGACCACACCACGTCCGCAAACTGGAGCTGCACCATGTTCTTAAAGAGGAGGGCAGGAAGAGCGAAGCAGGACACAAAACTACCCAGGCCTTTCACCTGACCGGCACCGATGACCCCAATTCGGCCGGCCACGTAACCACACAGGATGATGCCGAAACACTCCAGCAGAGCAGGAAAGAGCCTGTCGATGGACATAGCTGGGGTGGACAGAGGACTGTGGGTAACGTTAAGGCCGTGAATGGTGACATAATGGCCTTCCATGATGACATCAGATCAGCACGGAGAACTTCTCTAACTCTGAAGAGGAGAAATCTGCAGAGAAAAACAGACGGAATTACACACTTTACACAGATGAGTAAAGAGGGAAACAACAATTTGTCACTGTAAACAGAAACACAGAGAGGACGTTGTTCTTAATCTTAATCTTAATAGTTCAACAATGTTGAATTTGTAATTATTCTTTACATAATTTAATAATTAAAGCAGAGATAATTTACATAAATAAATAACAAACAGCCTGTTTAATTCTAAGGGAGGTAGGAAAATGATCATGTAAAAATGAATTATGATTGTGTTTGGTACATAAATGCAAACAATGAAATAAAACAAATAAAATAAACAAAGGAAAATGCAGGATATGGGCCCTTTAATATTCCCATGAAGACAGAATGACATAGAGAGAGAGAGAGAGAGAGAGAGAGAGAGAGAGAGACTTGCAGCAATTCAATATTTAATGCTTTCAGAAGTTTTCATGTCCAAATTTTTACAACCCCTCTAACGTTCAGTTTCTAATTTCATTTTTCCTTAATTATCTCAAACTTCGTAACCCAAACTTTGGCAATGCAAATGTATTTTTTTTTCCAGTAAACTAGTGAATTTAACTGAACTGAAACAAATTCAATTAAGAGTGAGAGAAAGAAAGAAAGAAAGAAAGAAAGAAAGAAAGAAAATACATAAAGAGATGATATAAAGTTCAACTGAAAATTATTCCTTAATTTTCACAAATTCCAGAGAGAGACATAGAAAGCAAGTGAGGTGGTGAGAGAGAGAGGGAATGAATGAGAGAGTGTGAGTATGAGAGAAGGATGTTACTGACTAGTTCTACTATTTAATTAATTAGAACTGATTATTAATTAGAACAAATTAGAAATTACTCATTAAGAGTAATTGGAGAGTGAGAGAGACTGAGAGAGAGTGGGAGAGAGAGAGAGAGTTAGACAAAGAGTAAGTGTGTGTAAGAGAGATGGAGAGAAAGAGGACGAGAGAGAGAGAGGGAGTCGGAGTGAAAAAGAAATACAGAGACAGAGAGAGTGAGTGTGTAACACAGAGACAGAGAGAGAGAGAGAGAGAGAGAGAGAGAGAGTTTAAGAGAGAGACAGAGTGAGTGAGAAAGACAGTGAGTGTGTGTAAGGTAGATGGAGAGAGAGGGAGAGGGAAAGAGAAAGAGAGTGAGCGTGAAAGAGAGAAATACAGAGACAGAGAAAGTGTGTGTGTAAGACAGAAAGGAGAGAGAGAGAGACAGAGTGAGTAAGTGTGACAGAGAGAGGAAGAGAGAGACTGAGAGAGTGTAAATGAGACAGGAAGAGAGTGAGAAATAGAGAGAGAGAGACAGAGAGAGAGAGATCACTTCCCAAACACTATTTCAGCATCCCACAGCGGTCTATGAGTACAGAGCAGCGTTCTTATCTTTACTGAGTATTTAATCAGATAAAGGAGGAAGAGAACCCGCTGTGTTTAAACGAATAAAGACCCTCACACACCAATGTTAGTGAGTACAGCCGGGTGAGGCCACACCACACTAGGTGGTCACACTACACTTGTGTGCTGCAGCCCAAACGCCCAGCTCAGCGTGGTCCATCCTCCCTCCACACCTGCAGAGAAAACCTCACCATCTCTCCCCATCCAAAACACGAGCGGTCAGTTCTGTAAAACTGCCCGCTGACCCGTAACGCGACCTGCCCTCAGCGCTAACGGAGTAACGGGCGGAGATGGTACTAGCTCGCCGATACTGTACCGTCATGAAGCGGAAACAAATCCTCATGACAGCCCGTTTTCCGTCGCGTACATGTTCTCACTCTCCCTCCTCATCATCAGCAGATACCGAAGCTCCCTGTCCGCCTTCTCCGTCTCTGAATGTCCGACTCGTGAACGAATCGCTCTTTCGAACCGGTTCTTTTCGAATTGATTCACAAGTCCAAATCAGTCGAACGCTTATGTGGATCTATTAATACCTATGAGTTTAAGGCTTCTTCTAATAAAACTCGAATACTAATATTTCCCAACTTTACCTCATTAAATCACAACATGAAATACTACACTGTAACATCATTGACAGGCTCTTTGAATCCCCTGTTTCGGTTCAGCTCAGTCTTCAGATGTGGTCCTTTGCCATCCTTCCTACGAAATAACCATGCACTGTAAAAGGGGAATTCCACTGATTTTTCAAAATCTCTGCATAATTAAATGATTAAGATGTAAACAAAGTCAGTCAAAGTGGTTTGATTTGAAATGCTCAGTTTTAGAGTAACGTCCTGAGGCAGAATTGTTTACAGTGGTGGTGATAGGAACCGGATGTCTAAAGCATTTAATGCCTGAAAACCTCTGTCCCAGAAAGTGTATACTAAACAAAAATATAAATGCAACACTTTTGATTTTGGTCCCATTTTGCAGAAGTTTGATAGAAAAAATTCAGGATTTTTTAAATATAAATGTGTCACACTCAGAAGCATAGCCAAAGGGTGGCCAGGGACACCCCGGAATGAAGCACAGCCACTCTTCTGGCCACTCCAGTTGTGGAATGTAAGGCAGTCAACCATCATAAGTGGACCAGCATCAATAAAGCATCAATTTTGTGGTGAAAATCAATCATCAAGGTTGTTACCAACCAGTTATGAGTCTGATGATACTTTATTTACTAATGTGTAATAATAGGTTAATGTGCTCAGCAAACAGGCCAGCAAAAGTGTGCTGGGTCCCTTGAGCAGTGATGCTGTGTGAGATACATTATGAAATAGGCTATGCGATGCAAAGATGAGCCAACTATCAAAAATGAGTCAGTTATAATTGTTTCAATGCTCTTTTACAGTTGAATGCATGCATGTGTCATAGGTTACCTTATACAGTGCTGTCTGGCTAGCTTTTCAATCATTAGACTCATGTGTAATTTGTAGAGAGCGCAGCCTAAAGGAACATCTTCTATGGCCTGTCTATATGAAATTATTTTCTTAATGTTGTGCACTAAAAATACTCATTTCCTCATGAAATGTTACATTTAAAAACAATTTTGTCTTTCAGTTTACTTTCAGCAATAGTTGTATTGATGTAATATTGTATTCATGTGGAAATGATGGACAGATTTAGTTATGTACAGAGAAAAAAATCAGCACATCAGTTTATGTGTCATTCTTATGTTCCAGTGTGCCCCCCAATAAAACCCCTGGCTCTTTTCTGGTCACTCCATTCTAGAAGTTCTAGCTATGCCACCGGTGGTGAAATCAGATACTAATTCTGTTTTACAAGCCACCTTATTTCTTACAGGGTACTGTAAAATCCTTTCAGTAAAAAATGTTGCATTTATATTTTGTTCAGTGTAATTTTTGAATACGTGCAGGGAGATCTAAGATAAAATATTAACCAGAGAAAATTTGATTTATCACTATTTTACCATTGTCAACACTGTGTACATTATACTATATATTGTGTCCCTGGTTCCTATCAACACCACTGTAAAGAAATCAGTCGGCAGGTTTCACAAAAATGCAGCATTTCACATCAAACCACTCTGAATTAATTTGTTTACATCTTACAATGTTCAGTTATTCTGAAAAATAAAAAAACAACTAATGAGATTCAGGTGTGTTGGCCGAGGGAAATAGCTGGATTCTGGCCTTTTAGGGTCAGAACTGATGATGACTCTGACGAATGCTGTACCTGTATTTCTTTTTCTCTTTTTTGCTTGTACATTCCCAGTTTGACTCTTCATAGAAATGATGTAAGAGATTTCATTCATTCATTTAACCAATCGAGTCCTTCTGCATATACAGGAATAATAACGTTGGCTTGACTTGTGAATCAGTATATCACTAAATTGGACGTTTGATTCATTCAAAGAATCGGTTCGGTGTTTTGAATCGCACTTCATCACTCTGAGACCGCGTAACTTTCCAACGTCCAGTCACGGCTTGACTGACACTCCGCATAGCCTATGAGACGAGTGTCTAACGGTTAGTCCCGCCCACTGGCTGCAAGTATTGGTCGGCGTTTTCAGAACGCGATGACGAATGCATGAGTTGCGTATGATTGGGCGAATTAGAGTGAAGGAAGCCTCGTAAACAAGGCCAAACCGCCACCACAGAGCACGATTTATCTCGTTTAAAATAATTGCACATGATGTGTTTTTCAAATCTGTATGAGTGTCAGAATGGATTTTAAGTAATTCACCCCATATATGAACACCGATCCTTCATTAAACTGTTACTCAGTAAATCGCAGGCCACTGCTGGGCCTAAACAGTGAAAAGTCAAAGCTGATGAAGCGCAACCCCAGAGTTAAGTCATACTGCATCACAGCTCCTGTGTAACAGACAGATAACAGTTCACTTTATCATTTATTTAGAAAACATTAACATATTTGCACACACAAAGAAAAACTTGTAATAAAGAAATTTACATTAAAAATAAAAACAAAAGATAAAAGTAAAAAAAGGAAAAACAAGAAATTTGGCTTCTTCTCTGGCTCCAGGCCCACAGAGAGAATCTTAAGTACCACCACAAGTGCCTCTGAAAAGTCTTCTGCATGCTCTAATACAATCCCCTCACTTTTTCAGTACTGTATGTTGAAGCTAGAGGTTTTTGTTTTTTGGTCACACATCTTCACCTCCTTCCTGTGTAACAAGTGCGTTTATGTAACATTGCACACAGATCTGAGCAGAAATGAGGATATTCAAATGAAATTCCTGAAGACGCTTCACATGCAAATCACGTAAATCACAGAGTTATTCAAATGTACCAAGTATAGAGAACAAAAAAGGCAGTACCCCATAACTGGTGACACAGGTTTATACTCCTGCTACGGTTGAGAGCAGACAGGTTTGCATATTATCAGGGAGTCTTTTATCTCACTCTTTCTTCCTCCTTTTCTCTTATACTTTTAAGAAATTAACCTTCATATAAAAGGGGAATTCCAACCGATTCCTCAGAATTTCTGCATAAGTAAATGGTTAAGATGTAAACAAAGTAATTCAACTCTGACAGTCATAATTGTTCACCATGGCAATGATAGGAGATGTACAAAGGGTTTAATGCCTTTTAAAGGTACCTCAGAGAAAGCTTTTACATGAAATGGTTTTTAAAACTTGTGGTGGAGAGGTATCTGCAAGGCACTGAAAGGCATAATTGGCATAAAGCCTATTTTTAAACCTATTTCTTAAATTTATCACGGTTGTTCACTAGTCATTTTGAAGTAAGTACATAATATGGCTGCATTTCCGTTGTAGACATAGCGACACCCACATCACCACCACTGTAAAGAAGTCAGACTGGGCGAGTTTCTCTACAGTGCATTGTTTCACATCAAACCACTGATTTCGCTTACATCTCAACTACTGAATTATGCAGAAAAAAACCCCAAAAAAAACACAGTGGAACTCACCTTTAATAGCCTGTAAACAAATGCAAAGAATCCTGTAAGCCTAATTCAAGCCAATGCATATCTCATTGGAGCTTTTTTTTGACTTGAAGTATAGAAACTAAGGCAACAAGGGTGAGATATATATTTGAGAAAACATATGTAAAATTGCATAAAAGGCAGAAAAGCGTGCACCTTTAAACAATACACAACATGTGAAATATACAAAACTCATAATACTGCACTTTACAAAAAGTAAACAAGAACATGTCATAAAATAAACACATCAAAACAACTTTTAGGCACTCTGTGGTCATGTCTTCTTCATTTCTTCTTCACAACCTGACCTCTCATTATACACCTATACATAAAGAAGCTAGTAAGGCACATCCTTCATTGATAATGATGTTTTTCACAACATAATAGGTCAAAACAATATGGCAGCAACATTTTAGGACTGTGTTTTACAGTCCAGTCCAAAGTGTTTACTAAAGCTAATAAGAAAATAAAAGTACATATTAGAAAATGCTGATTTGCAGCTTTGGTCTGTATACTTACTCTTTGGGGGTCCAAGCGAACACAGAAACTAGACTGACATTCACACAATTCTCTTTCATATACACTACAACTCTTGCACACTAGTGCATTTGTAAAGGCATCATGACTTCCCTCAGCAGCCACATTGCAAATAAAACAAACTTTGATGGGGTAAATTCAGTGGGAGAAGATATAATTAAATAATGAAAAGAAATAGTGACTGGATGAAGAATGATAAATGCTTTATGGAGACAGTAATGAAGTAACAGGACTATGTACAGGTGAGAGGCCTTATAACAGTTTAAAGGAGTCCTGAACAGAAAAGCCCTTTACTCCGAACACTTATAGCAGTAGGCAATGGGCAGCTGCTGAAGTCCATGAATAAACTTTTATGCAAAATATCGCTGCTATCGAGAAACAAAACCTTGTATCTCCATTTTTGTCAATTTTCAGTTTTTGACATAAATTGAAAATGTCCGCTGCCCTTTACATTGTGTGTAAATTTCATGAAGTATGGACCAAAAGTAATGGCCCAGAATGACTTGGTTCCATTGACTTACATTGAAAGTAAAGTATGTTTTTTTTCTTCTCCTGTAAAGTTACCATTTTGGAGATACGAGGTTTGTTCCGACAACAGCGATATGTTCTTGTAGACCACTTTTTTGAATTCATCAGCCAAAAATATTAGTAAATTAAGCCGCAAATCTGTATAAATTCATCCTTTTAGAGATGGTTTTCCAGGAGGAAGAATTAGTGATCATTCATTATCAGCATAGTAGTGTGGATAGCCTTTTTAACCAGAAAACTTTAGGTTTTGGTAAGAAATTCTTAAGTGTAAAAGCTGTAGTTGAATTTTTTTTTGGTCATGCATTTTAACACATCACTGCTGTCGGAACAAAACCTTGTATCTCCAAAAAGGTAACTTTACAGGAATTAATACTACTATTATTAAAACTTAATGGAAGTAAATGGAGAATTTTTTTTTCCCCAAGTAATTGTGGACAATTTCTGTTGGTTTACTCATCATGAAATTTTGACACAGCATAAAGGTCAACTGCCTTTTTCAAACTAGGTCAGAAAATGAAAAATGACAAAAATGGTGCGAGGTAGATGCGAGGTTTTGGTGCAATAGCAGCAACATGCTGCCCAATGCCTTCTGTTATAAGTGCATTTCAAATACAAGAGTTTTCTGTTCTTTTTCTTACTACAAGGACATGCATCGAAATTACTGTCCTTGGTAACCCTCTGTACAATACAGATGTGGCACACAGAGATTAGGTTTTAAACTGTAGGGTATTCCTTTAAGGGTAGGAGTTATTATTAAACTGTGTTTCAGTCCAGCCCCTTCAACAAAGAAAGCAAAGAAGGGTGTAGGGAATAAATATTGGCACAACATAACCTGAACGTGTAAGGCACTTCATTGGTGGTTGGTCACTGGTTTGCTATGTGACCTCATTGTAAGCCTTACAGAGTATATTGTTCAAAACCAGCATGGAAATGCCACATATGGAGAATACTGTTTTGAGGAGAAGAAAAAAAAAATGTAGAGGGAGTTTACAGTAACCCTGAGCATCCAAATCCATTTCTCTCATCTGGGAATGGGAGGCAAAGGGGGAGCACCTCTCTCCTTTTTCCCTGAACCTGAAACAAAAAAACACATTCACACACGCATAGAGTGAGGAATCACTGATGATAAAGGCATTTAAAACAAGGTCACTAGCAGAGCATAATTCTAAAAAGTTCTAAGTTAATTCAAACTTGGGCCCAAACAGTGTGAAAATTTTGTAGCTGATATAGATATTAATATTAGCAGGCTAAAAAGTCAGATAACAAGCAATGACGATCAATATCATTTTAGATTTATATTTCAAATTTTACTTTTACACTCTAATAGTTTTAGATAAAAGTGAGATTTTGTGACTTTTATATCCTACTCATTTAAATGACAAGGTTAGCAAGGTTTCTGTTTATCTCCTCTTATTTTTCACTACTTCTCTTCTCTATCAGGTCGATATTGCCAGAAAGTCCTGGATCCGATTTTAGAGGAAAAGAAAAGAAAGAAAAAGAAGAATCTGTTCCAATCCTTTAACAAATCTATCCTGAAAAAGCACATACTCACAATGTTGTTAGTTGTGTATTTCTTCAGGTGGTGTAGTTGAGTTGTTTTAGTAGTTTCAGCATAATAGTCTAGTTTTAGATACCCATCTTAAGAGTAGTGCTTCAGCATCTCACATGGTCATATGATCATAGAAAACTAACAGTTGATCTTATGAAAATAAAGCAAAGCAAAATCTTGCTTTCCTGATGGATTTTATTTTTTTCTCTTCTTGCTAGCGTTCTTCCAGGGTAAAAAGGATGAAAGCTCTACACCACTCAGACAAAGTAAATGACAGAGACTTTTCCAAAGCATTGGAAAGTGTATAATATGTATACGCTCGCTAGGAGACTAAATGCACCACATAGCAGTGTTAAAAAAAAAATTTTGCCCCAGTGTGTGGAGATATTTGCCGGAAAAAAATGACAGAGATGTGTATCTGTACGGAAACAAAATGATTAGACCACCGCTGATTTAGATGAAAATCTGGCCTATAATTTTCACAGGGAAGGAGGAAGGAAAACGCCAAAATGGCCACTACGGAGCGAAATAAAATTACTGAGTAGCACCTGTAAAGGAGAAAATGACCTCAGAACCCCATGTAAATTTGAAAAATTTAACAAATGTGTCTGAAAACGGCTTTAGATTTTACTTTTTCTTTTTTTACCAGTTTTCATCAACGAAATCTTTAAATTTCCTATGTTTAACTGTTTGTCTTGCATTTTAAACCCCTTTTTTAATGTTTAAGCTTGTTTAGAATGTTTATATTTTATATTTTATTGTACTGCACATTGTGTTGAATTTCAAATCTACACAATATGCAAGTGTTTGGTCCAACTGTAGGAATTGCAAAAGTCAAAATAAACAATAACAAGCTGCTCAGTACCTCTGCCATCACTCCTGGCCACTTTGCTGGGATAGGTCTTCTGACAGGGGATGTAGGGCTCTGGAGGCGGGAAATCCGACACAGGACGGAAACTGAAGCGCATTTCCCACTCATCTGGGTAAAAACACACACAAAGAGAAATATGTTACACTGGACCACACACACATCATCTAAGTAGTTAGAATCATTAAAACCAAGAGGGTAGGAGTAATTTGGAAACTGCAGAGATACTTATGTTGTGCGGTCTGGGGTTTACCCAAAAATGAAAAATGAACACATCTGACACGTGCATCACATTTATGTTCTGCTTTAATAACAGCACCAATTTAATAACAGGAATTTTTTTTTGTTATAAAGGCAACTTAGGACGACGGCATAAAAAATTAAGCAAACTACTGTGAACCATAATCATAATAGATTTTGGCACATTAATTATGGATAAAGTATTTTAACATAGAAATACACCCTGAGTAAAAACATGATTTCACACCTGCAAAATGTCCCTGACTGTGGTAACCATTGCCCATGGGCGGAGGTGGAGGGGGTGGCCCTCCAGTGGTGGGCCTGTCTGGTGGGAGGGGCGGTCTGTTGCCACCACGTGGAGGTTCTGATGCGAGTCTGTTTGGAGGAGTTGGAGCTGCTGGTGACCTTACACTGCCTCCCCCTGGGCGTCCAGGCGGTGGAGGTGGAAGGGGACCTGAACACACACATGAAAAACAACACAGAAAAGCATAAAATACTTGCTATCTCCAAAAATATAACTTTGCAGAAAAATGAAGAACGTTAACATTCATTTGCCTGTTTGGATCATGCATCAAACAGGTGTAGTAAGAGAAGAGACTGTATAACTGTAGGATGGGAGAGAACTCTGAGAACCTGGGCTGGAGTTCTGTGCAGCTTCTACTTTAAGCTATAAGGCTGGAACTTTTGATTAACAGCTTTAGGACTGAGGAAGAGGGAAACGTGATGCAGAGATGGGAAATTAATAAGACGCTTATAGAAGTGGAAAGAGGTGGACCTTCAGGCATGGTCCTCCTCCCAAACCTGTTTTGTTCCATTACTTTATTTAATGTAACAATGCATTCAAAAGAATTTTGGACCATTTCTATTTTGACAGTGACAACACAGCACCGATCAGGCATAACATTATGACCACCTCCTTGTTTCTACGCTCACTGTCCATTTTATCAGCTCCACTTACTATATAGGTGCACTTTGTAGTTCTACAATTACAGACTGTAGTCCATCTGTTTCTCTGCATACTTTGTTAGCCCACTTTCACCCTGTTCTTCAGTGGTCAGGACCCCCATGGACCCTGGACAGTGTCAATGCGGGACTGAGAATAGTCCACCAGCCAAAAATATCAAGTCAACAGCATCCTGTGGGCAGCACCCTGTGACCACTGATGAAGTACTAGAGGATGATTAGCTCATACTGTACAGCAAGAGATGAGCTATTGTTTCTGGTTTTACATCTACAGGGTGGACCAACAATGCAGGTGCATCTAATAGAGTGGACAGTGAGTGGACACAGTGTTTAAAAACTCCAGCAGCACTGCTGTGCCTGATCCACTCGTACCAGCACAACACACACACACACACACACACACAGACACATTATCATTGATCATCTTTATAGACTGACTCATTATGGATCCTAATGTCTGTGGGCGCGAATGACCTTACTTAAGACTTCTTGGCATAGCACATCTACACGTTATTCACATTTTCCTGCAGAAAGCCCCCACCTGTTCGTCCAGATGCATTTCGACCCAGAGGTGGCGGCCTCTCACTTGGAGGTGGAGGAAGGGGTCCTGACCGTCCAGGAGAAGGGGAGGGGGCATGTGAAGTAAGGGACAGGTGCCTCTGAGGAAGACGTGGCGTGTGCTCCTCGTTGGGTCTGCCTGGTCGCCCTGGTGGCAGAGGTGGGGCGGAGTTTACCGGTGTGCGAGAGGAGGATGGAGGAGGAGGTGGCTTGCTGTTGACAGAAGGGGGAGGGGGTGGGCCATCCCGTGGGAGGGGCAAAGATGGGCGGTTGCCAGGTGGGACAGGTGGTCGATCATCTAATCGGGCAGGGGCTGGGGGAAGAGGAGGCCGTCCAGAATGAGGAACAGGGGGAGGAGCTGCAGGAGATGAAGGTGGACGTCCACCTGGCACAGGTGGAGGCGCAGGCTGTCTTCCAGGAGGGTTTGGAGGAGGAGGGGCAGGTGAAGAGCTTGAGGGGCGGGGTCCCCCTGGTAGTGGGGGTGGTCCTCTACTTTGCAAGCTGCTCTGATTGGGGCGTGGAGTGCTAGGAACGGGCGGAGGTAGTCCTCCAGGTGTTTCAGGTCGAGGAGCGGTCATTCGAGGGCGTGGAGGGTCAGAGGAGCCATTACGGGACCCAGGCAAATGAGGGGCAGAGCCACCACCTCCCACAAAAGGCCGTGGACCAGAACTACGGGCACCTGGAGGAAGGCAGGGGGGTCTAACACCAACAGAGTCTGAAAAAGACAGAAGGGGAAATCAGCATAATTTACCTATTACCGAGGTGTCTCGTTCATGTCCTGGACAAACCAACAGTTTGATAATCCACCTGCCCAAAAACACCAGATTCAACTCACAAATTAGTTACCAGGATTAATAGTTGTGTACAAGCAAGAGAGTCAACAAACTGTGCTGAAATATTCAGGACAGAACTTTGACACCCCTGACCTAATAAATGTCTCTCAGTCACTTTATTTCAGTCAACACACCATTAAATATGGAAATGTAAACCAAATTTCTACCCCAAAAGGTATTCTACTTGAGCTGAACCTTTGCAAAAATGGGAATCTCTCAGGCTGATCAGCGCATTTAGCATATAATCAAACATTCTTATTAAATTATATATTTTAATTATTATTATTATTAGCTGTTCTTATTTAACCAACTGCAGAATGGAGCCCCAATATGACTGTTATCTAAGAAGCTCATCTGGCAACTAGGGAATGGTGTTCTGCCAAATAAGCAATGAAATTCATATTACTGGCAGTGTGGCAGAAAATGCTACAGAAAAATGTGTTAGTATTAAAATGAGCAGGCGAGGGAGTTTATAAACGTGTTTGTATGTGTGATTCTTACCGTCTCTGGTAGAGCGCAGCTTTGGCATCCCATCCTGAAACAGACCGCCAAGTCCTGCTCCACCTCCAAATCCTCCACCTCCTCCCCCTCCTCCTCCTCCTCCTCCTCCTCCTCCCCCTCCTCCTATTCCTCCTCCGCCTCCTCCACCACCTTTTGGCTCTGTCAAAATAAACACAAGCACTTAGTATTAAAACAAAAACACTCAGCATCACAACACATGGAGTAGATTTACATGCATTACAATTCAGCAGGATCAAAAAACCTGGCAAAAAAAAGTACTATCAAGATCTGCTGCAAGGTATTACATTCCAAATATGGAAAAGGTCTACGCCAGGAGTGTCCTATCTTATCCACAAAGGCCTAGTGTGGCTGCAGGTTTTCAATCCAACAAAGCAGGAGCACACAGCATCAATTGTTTGAACACTGATTTAATGAGTAGCATCATCAGGTGTACTCCAGCTTGTCTGGAATGGGCACCCTGGACTCCAGTAACAGGTCACTGTCAGTTTCTAACAAATGTCTAGTAACCTAAATAACTGTAGTCAATCTTTCCTCATGTTAAAGGGGTATTCCACTAATCTAAAAAATCTTTAAAATTAAATGGTCATCATGTAAACAAAAGTAATTAGGAGTGGTTTGATGTGAAACGCTCCATTCCAGAATTGTTCACAGCTGTGGCAATAGGAACCAGACATCTGAAGAGTCTAGCCTTTTATTTTTTCAGCTTTACCGCTATTATCAGCATTACACATATAAAATAAGATTTACAGGTTAACTGGTCATTTTGGATAGTAAATAATTGACTATATTTGCGTTGTAGACCCCAGGGTCCTATCATCCCCACTGTTAAGAAACTGAAGTAGGCAAGTTTCTCTACAATTAACTATTACACATCAAACTACTTGCAGCTTTCCTGATTCAGTTCACATTCAGCTGAAAAAAGATTGTGCAATATACTGCACAGAGCTGGCATGTTTGTGCATATGTGTAGTCTCTTACTGTCGAGTACAGGTGCACTGCGGTCATTGGTTACAGTCTTCTTGAGTCGTGCTCCTTTGCTGATGTCAGATAGTAAAGCATTCCTGCCCTGCTGCTCACTCTTGTTCAGGACTGGCTTTTCTGTGTTCGCCTGTTTACAAAGGCACATGTAAGTTAGGAAAAAAAGATGCTGGCATTGATGTACACTCACTGTATTAGAAACATCTACCTTGTACTTTCACTCACAAACCATTATATTTACCTTAAAAGTCCACAATAAGAGTACAGTTACTGACTGTGGCTCATCTGTTAATGCTTAATTAGCAGCCCCCCTCTACCACACTCTTCGTTGGTCAGCTTCTGATTACAGGACTGCTGTTGACCAGATATTTGGGTTGAGACTCATTCTCAACACAACGGCACCAACATCGTAGTGTGTAGTGCTGGTACGAGTGTACGGGTGTTGCTGGGTTGTGTGGTAGGAAACTCTTAAAGGGCTGGAGGACGGCTAACACAAACTGTGCATCAACAGATGGGCTAAGTCTCTATCAGTACACTACAAGGGAGGGGTTTCTAATAAAGTGGCCAGTGAGGGTATTTGTCACACCATAATTCTGTAACCGCGCATGCACAGTATGAGTATGTGACTGCAGATCTGCATGTGTGTATGTGTGTTACCTGAGCAAAGGTAGGGGGTGGGGGAGGAGGGGGCGGTGGGGGGACAGGCATCTTTGCTCCTCAGTATCTCCTCCTCTCACAGCAACCAGAGAGAAAGGAAATCAAACATCAGCAATCTGCCCAACAGAGAAAGCAGAATAAAACACCCACCTGGTGGAAGGAAACTACATTAGATTCTAGAAACAAACCTTCTTCAAACATTATCTCTGTGTCACAACTGACCCACATCCTTTGTGCTCTGTTGGCTGCAGCAGGATACAATTTTCAGTGGGTTTACTTTTTTCAGTTTCAGAACCAAACTTTCAGTATTATTTGCTCACTTAGAGGCAAACAAATTCACGCAGAATGATAGCAGTTTTGTTTGTTATCCAAACAATCAGCGAGGCTTTGCATATTATCTGATCTTTTTATGTGCAATGCTGATTATGGCAAAATGGCTCATGCATCAACACAGATTTTTCTAAATGCCAGCTACAGGAGATAACTGCTTTTCCATCCATCTAAAACCGAGGCAACCAAACATTTAGGCTAAGCATTAAGGCTATAAACAGAACACTGAATAGGCTGGTTTGCAGTAAGCTAATGGCCAACATTAGTGATCTCCACAGTAAGTACTTACTAGGGGATGCACAATCATATCGAAATCATATCAGTATTGGTAAATATAAAAATAATCAGACAGATGTTTCAATTTGCTGATATTTTAAATTCATATTTTAAATTTCATATTCTGAAAAAACAGAATCCTTAGGTGACGCAGGGCTCTTGTGCTAATATATCTGCAGTGAATATTAATTTTCACAGCATCTATAACCTAACAATAAATGTTACATTTCTCTGTAATGCTAAGCCAGATAGATGTAGTCTCTTTTCTAAATTGTTCATGTATCTACGTCGACAGAGATGTACATGAAAAACCTCGGATATTGGTATCAGCCCACACTGGTGCAACCCCAGTACTGACTAACATCCTCTCTTTGTAAACGCTGATCTTACATAGCTTCACTGTTTGCTTGGATAACACATAAAACAGATATATTCGCATCATTCGCCTTTAAGCCTTGCAATAATTTGTATTTTATATTTATCGGATTGTCCTGATTTGTGTGTTTAAGTCCAAGACTACTCTTAATGCTAAACCAATTCCTATCATGTACAGATGGCATATTGGTATCAACGGATACCTGCATCAGGTCAGAATTCGTTCCAGAAAAAGCTGGATCGGATATCAAAGAATATCAATATTGCGATCAAATGTTGTATCATGTAGTCTCTCCTACTGTGTAAAAAGCTGGTCATGTTACATGTTAAACAGCCACATCAAAAGAGAAACATAAGAAAATAATTAAATTGGCCAGAATCAGTCAGTAAACTCAGAATCTTCTCTTTCGTTGGTCTTGTTTTTTTCCTTTAAGCAAGACACCTGCTCAAAGTAATACACATAAACAAACACAGTGCAAGGGTAAGCACTTATTCTTCCTCAAGTACAACCCTTGAATGACCTGTGCATGCACATGCACGCTTTCTTTCTTATTCTCCCTCTCTCTGTCTTTCTCTCTCTCTCCGAGGGCCTCTCATTGGTAACATCCGGACTAGACCATAAACAGGAAGAGCTACAACAGATATACCTCTCACTTCTCCTTCTCCATCTCAAACACACACACAGGCATATACACTCAAGGCCACACTGTTACACAGCCACTTCACAATAAACTCAACAGCAGGGAGTGTGGAAAGGCTCAGCTGAGAGAGTAAATCAGTCTCAAAGCCTCGCTCGTTGTTTATGAGCTCCGTAAAACGTTCATGCTTTCATCCATACCAGATCCCTAAAGTCCTCCAAGGCCTTCTCCCAGACAGCTACATCACTTCTCTCACTCTGTTCCTCTTTGTTTTACCTCCTCCCCCTTTCCTCTTTCTCTCCATTTTACTCTTTCTCTCTGAGCAGGCCTTTTTTTTATTGCAGTTAGCGGACATCCGCTGAGTGTGCCAAAAGTTTTGCTCACCGGAGCACAGGCGATGGGAAGTGGGCAAACTTCCTGCTGGTGAGCAGAAAAAGCTGGTCATAGTAATACACGCATATTCTCTCCATCTGAGGGCCTCATTCATTTGCACATACAAAAACACAGCAATCTTAAACAGATCTGAAAGTGCTGATGAAAACAGTCACTGTATGACTGGCTAACATCCATAAACCATGGGCTGCTGGACCATACACATCCTTAAAAGGACACTCCAGCATTTTTTTAGCAGCAAAGAATCTCATGGACCTCGTAATGAGAACATCTGGGGACAACAATGAAAAATATTGGGTTAATAGTGGGTGGGAACGTAGACTTGACAATGAAACTTCTAAACCAACTTAATGCCTTGTGAAGGCAGAGCTCAAAGTAGGAAGCAGTAGTATTTTCATCAACATTACACGATGAACTACAAGCCTGTTGTTAGCACATGGATGTAACGTAAGTAAGTAGGACTAAAAAGATCCCCCAAAAAGCTCCAATTAAGAATGCAGATGTGGTTCAAGTGCAGAGAACACATGCGGTATAAACAAACATTACCTCTTGCAAGGAAAAACAGTTCCATTAGCTAACAAAAGTGTTTCACTGGTTAGCATATTTTGCGTGTGTTATCGATTACTCCAGACTTTAAAAGAGCACAGACTAGAAGTAACTTAGGGGTGAGTTTTAGAGAGGGCTTACCCATGTTTGTGGCAGATTTCACAGCAATCCGGCATATGTTAAGGAGACCGAAGGTTCTCTATAAGGAGGTGCTATTATCACTTTGCGTCAATCACGGTGCGTCTTGCAAACATTAAATCACCACAATAATAACAACAGAAGGTTGTTAGCTCAAAACTCCCTTAGAATAGAAGCAACTGTGCAGCTCCTGACTTCTTTCAGCAAATGTTTATGCAAACCACATATTTCTGGAGACCACTTTCATGAATTCTTCTGCCAAAAATATTTTTAAATTGAGCAGTAAATCTGTAAAATTCGTTCTGTTTCAGGGCTGGGACTACTTTTTCAGAGGGAAGAATCTGTGCTATGAATGGAGTATAATAATTTTCCAATTGCCTATTGCCATTGGGTCAAAATTACCATCTGTGCTAATCAATGGTACGACACAAATGCAGCGTACTGGAAAACCTGAGCATTTCTTTAAACAGATGAGATAAGCTTGAGTGGTCACTCAGACAAAAGTCACTGCAGTATTGTTGAGACTAGGGAAAGAGAAGGAGAGAGAGCGCTTTAAAAGGCTTGGACTGAAGTCTGTTTTCATTCCATAGTGTCAAGAGCTCCCATGTCCTGCAGTTGGGATATGAGCCGTGTCCGTACAGAGAGACTTTCCTCACGCTCGTAAGGCGCCGGCAATGTTCTACTGATTTCAGTGTCCTAATGTCAGAAGCAGGCAGTGGGACTGGCTGGACATCATGAACCTCCTAAGCTCTTTTTTTTTTCAAAACCAAACAGTAACAAGGAGATGTAACCAGGCAGCAAACACCAGCGCACACACATTGGACATAAACCAGCTACTGGATGTTACTTGGACTTACTGATAAACACAAAGAAAGATGCCGATTTCGATGTCAATACATAAACATTAATAAAATGCAGAAACTGGGGCTAAATCCACCTAGATTAGCAATATTATCAGGCATTCCTAAAAACAACTCAACAATATAAAAATGATTGATACCAAAGTTTTTTCATGCTTTCAAATTTATCAATATTATCATACTGCGTTTTACTCAGTTCATGGACTTTTAACTGCACATAAATGTTAATAAAACTGCTGAAACTACATTAATTTGACTCAAACCCATATTGATGATCATACGCACAATCAATTTTTCAGATGCTAAGCTAAAAGGCAAAAAAAAACAGCTGACAAACAACTGTTTGATAAGAAAAATGCAAAATCTATATTAATGCTAATATTTTGAGTAAGAGGCAGATGATGCTACACATACAGTTTGGCATACAAAATAGATCCATATAAAAGTGGCCATACAAGCTTTTAAAAGGGGTTGCATTACCACTGAAAGTTGCTGCATTATTGGTTTAAAGGTTACTTGATCTTTCAAAATGCCTTTTCACTCCTTATCTTTGAATAAAACAGGCCACAGCCTCAAAATTCTACATTAAAAAATAATTATTTAAACACATTTATTAACATTGAAGCATTTCTCAACTAGCATAACACTAAAATTCATTCCATTCTGAAAACCCATCTTTCATTCACCCCTACCCAACCAATGTTAGAGGTTGAAAAGTAAACTGTCTTATTTTCAAGCCCTCCTCACTGGTCTGACATGGGGCATCCCCCACAAGACCCTGTCAGTGCCCCTCGCATGATTTCCACATGATGCACCCTCACTCTCAGTTTCACACTCTTACAGGAATCTGGAAAATATTACACATTTCCATCCCACTCTCATCATTTGCTGCAAACAAGTGTCTCTTGCTCTGTCATTTACAATACAGAGATGAAGGTCACTTGGGAGTGGCTGACTGACCGTGCGCGTGTTGAGGAGATGTATAGAGGGTAAAGTTGGTCTTATGATAACCACTAAGCCATTGCCCTACTTACATTAGGGGCACATCAGCTGTGCTGTTTCAGGCTTTACCTCACCACAGAGACGTAAACCTGGTAACAGAGGAAACGGAAGGACGACATCAATGAACTCCTCAAGGCCACGTGGCCCAATACTAAATCTGTAAACAAACACAAGCGGCAGAATTGCAAGACAGTGATTCAGAAAATCAGCCTAATTGGCCTCAATTTGATTAGCCTAAATAACACCTCTATCAGTCTATTATTCAAATGGTTCATATTATAGTTTGCATCCCTACTCTCACAAGAGAGTAGGGATGCACCGATATATGAATTGAATATGAATTTTTCATGTGCACATTTGCCAATGCAGATAAATACACATTTGTAAAATGTAAAACTTGGATTAGCATTACAAAGAAAAATAACATTGACATTTTAGCACAGTACAAGGCATTGCCAAAATGTTTTACTCTTATAGATCGCAATAAATATATATAATCAAATATCAGTTTAACATAACAGTCAAATCTAAACATCTAAAACATTTTTTTAAAGCAGTTATCTGCTGATATTAGTTAATATCATTGTGCATATCATCCTACAAGAGAGAAAGGAAGCTTATCATAACTAAAAAGTAACAGAAGCTATACCTCACCAATTACCAATAACATTTTTTACGGACCATATTTAGGCTTTAAAGTAGCAGCCATAAAGCTACAAGACATACTTTGGTCCATTTCTTTAAAGTAACAATATGTCACAGTGTCAAAAAACATAAGCAAGTTTATTTTAGAGTATGTAACAACTCGATACAGTGTGAAGTAAATGTGTGGTGATTTAGAAATGCAGTTTGCACAATTTTAATTAGTTTACATAAGGTTCCATTACTTATTGGCTACTTTAGCTGCTTAGATCCAGTTGGAAAACTAAAAAAAGCAAACGACAGACACCAAATATCTCTAGGCTGATTGATTACTGGGGTAGAAAGACCAAGAATTTGATTTTTCGCCTAACTGTTCCCCGGAAAGGTAACCAAAAGCACATGGAGCTCTCAATCTGGTATATAAAAGATAACTGTCTCTGACATTTCACAATAATTTGAATTTCAACAAATTCTACAGGGATTTTACCACACTGCCCACAACTAAATAATCTGCCTATCAGAAGAAACCAGTACATCCATTTCCCCTTCTCTCGCTCACAGTGCCACTCTTTTCACCAGCCCAATATTACCAGAGCAATAGGTAATTAGACGACTCGACAGGAAGGTACACAATTTCATGAACTAACGGTTAAAGCTTTTCTAAACATATGATCATAAAGTTAGCAGGACCACACATGGAGGATGGTGCCTCTAAGAGTCGGCCTTTTTCTAATAGTCATCATCCTGAGCGACAGAAATTGCTGGGTTTCTTTTTAAAGGTACCACATCTGTAGCAGCTTTTGAAAACACAGCTAGCACACTGTCAGCAGAGATCAACCAGCAACCAGCGGGAAAGAATGACTCTGTCGTTCTTTTCTTTAAACATTTTTCCAGTTCCTCTCTAAAACTGGTCGCACTTCCTCCAAATCGCCCATATCAGAGGCTGAGCCTGAGTAACGCAGAACTCGGTCAAGCTGTGCAGCCTTTTACGTTGAAGGTGTGGAAATTTTAGGCCACATACATGACATGCAGAGTAGCATAACACTAAATGCAATGCTGACTTTAGTTTTTTTATCCAATATTTTGGATAATTTACATCAAACAGAACATGACTTAAGAAAATCATGACTAGTTGGTAGATGAGATAAGACAAAGTCATTGGCACGTGGCGTCAACCAGACTGCTAGCCAAGCCACTGATCTATAAGGCCAGTGTTTGTGTAACTCTCAGCTCAGTCAGTAAACAAAATTATAAAGAAAACACTGATTGCATCTTTATCAAGTTTTTTACCCTTTCAGACAGAAAAAAGAAGCCAAATTGAGGTTTCTAGACAGCCAACTACCTGGCTAACTTTAGCTGTTAGGCCCTAACTGACAAGTCATTTCTGATGCTTTTGTAATTCCAGTCTCTCCATTGTATCGATGATTTAAAGACGGCTGCTACAGTTATACAGCTGCAATAAGATATACTGGCTTTCTTGCAAGCACTAGCTAATGACAAAAACTCAAACAGCTTACCCCGAATATCCACCTCAAAGCAGGTGTAGTTATTTAAAAGTTCCCCATCTTCAGAATCATCTGAAGGGGGATTTTTGTCTTTAAACTAGAAGAATCTCACCCTAGGGATTACAGTGGCACCACTGTAGGAAGCAAGTAAGCACGTTTACAGCAGTTGTAGAATGGTTAGGTGTTATATTTTGGCAAGAATGTCTCTAATTTCAATATATTTAAAATTCAAATCAATTCAAGAGCTTTTATTTAAAATGTGCCACTCCACGCAGACCTCCACAATACTCAAACACTACCAGAGGTCTTGTCAGTCAGTGACCTGCCTCCTCAAAATGGGAGAGGTGTCTTGTCACCAATTACCACATTCATAGGCCTTGCTTTCTAATTCAGCATGTGGTTATATGACCTTGAGCCAGATAGAAGATAGCCTGCTTTGGGTAGTAAATCAAGAGATCACAATTCAGAGAAGAGGAAGTGTAAGTGCATGTCTGCATGTTTTATTATGAAGGTGTTTACTCCCTCTCGCTGCGGGCAGAACCACGAGTTCCTCACCAAAGGTCTGCGAGGACATGCATTTCAATAAGACAGCAAGGACAGAAAAAACACATATATAAACACACCCGAAAACCCACTAACACCATCTCTTCACAGCTCAGCATTCACAAAGCCACAGCGTTCAATCAGAGCAGGGCCAGTTATAACAGCAACATCATTATTACCCTGATATTATTATCCAACCTGCTCGCAAACGTTTACTGAAGAGTGTTTATATGTGTGCATCCCCCTCTGATCTGAGGGGAGATCATGTGTTTCCCACCTAGGGGTCCATTTATTGACACACAAGTCCATGTTGGCACACTAACACACTGTACTGCTGACTTCAGCGTGAGATAAGTTCAGGAAGCTTGTGCGTGTGACTACCCAAGCAGAAAAATATCTTTCTAAAAGAGAAGCTTCTCTTTGTTTCAGGAGAAATAAAGCAGATTTCAGTATTTTGACCAGAAATCGTGAGGATGAGGTCTCCTCCTCCACTGCTGAAAGATCTCAGAGATGTAGAAAAGAGCTATAAAAGAGATTTTCCACATTTCTTATGCAAATAGATTTCATCTATTTATACTGAACTGAGAGGAGTCAGACACAACATAGCAAACCCATCTCAAAGACAACAATATTTTGATCCAAGTGAGGGGAATGTAGAGGAAAGCTCAGAGAGCCTCATCCTGATTTCAAACAGGACTTAACTACGTCTAGGAGAAGCTAGTGAGATTAAGAGGAGATCTCCTTAAGAATATTTCTTGCCTCTGCGTAAACACGAGTCTTTGCTAATCAATGAAAACACTAGACCCAGTCAAAATGAAGCACAACAATGGCCTCCATTGAGTACAAGCCGGCCTGTTGTGACCTTTCAATTAGGAAAGCATGATGTTGTGTGGCCACAATGGCTCGACCAGTTTAGAAAGCAAAACCTTTTTGGTCTTTTTGGTCACAGGAACGTACCAGGAATGGTGAAATTGCTGTTATGTCTGAGAAAGACACGAGGCTGAAGTCTACTTCTTGTTCGAATTTTACCGTTCCACCTTAAATGGTGCAGCAGTAACGTTACATTCACGTGCCTGAATCTAACGGCTGCCCAATTTAAGGTGGAACTGGAAAATTCGAACAAGAAACTTGACTTCAGCTTAGTGACAAACACCAACCCAGCTCTAGGAGACGGTCGCTTTTAGCCTAACAGCGTTTCCAAACTTAACGTCACTTCTTCACAGCGTGGAGCCTCATCCGCCGTGACACTAGATTAGCTAACCTAACCTAGCTAGCTAGGTTAACTGGCAGCTCAGTCAAGTACTTTCCTCCCAACAAACTTGAGTTTTGTTCATAAAACGGCAAGGAAAGTCTGCAGAAACGCACTTTAATAAACCAAACCTAGTCTAGTAAATCTTAAAACGCCCGCGTTTTAAGAGCAACCAGTCCCTCTTACTCACCCCTCGGTTCCCCAACGGTTTTCTAACGTTACGTGTCCAGCAAATCTTACGAAGCCGACGTGGTACCATTCATCAGCTCGGTGGCCTCAAACTAAACTGCTCCGGGCCACTCCTTCACACACACACACACACACAGCTTCTTTTCTCTTCTCGTCGTTGTTTCCGCCCCACAAATCCCCCTCAGAATATGCTCGAAAGTTTTTTTGTACTATTTTGAGCTCGCATGCGTTCGTATCCTGTCACAGCAGAAGAGAAGGCACACCTTACTGTGTCTGCTGGAATCCGTTTGCCTACGTTGAGCTGAAGTTCTGTGTTTTTGTTTTCTCTTCGCCGACAAAAACGGCTCTGCGTTCCCTTTATCCGGGGCTTTGGCTGTGGAGCAGCGTTTCCAGATGTGGAGCTGGTGAGCTGTGGCAACATCTGTCCGAGGGTTGGGAGGGGGGGTGTAAGAGAGAGAGAGAGAGAGAGAGAGACTCTGACTGACTCTTTGTTTTTCGTAATTCACTTTAAAGGGCCATTATCGTGGGGGACATCATTCATTTTACTCACTTTTTTGAGTTAAAGAGTTTGATGTAGCGCGTAAACACCGTCAAAGTTTCACTTCCAAGCCCAAAGAGTCCAAATATGGAAACTAAACCGTTATTCAGTTCGTTGTTTTCGTGATGGCATGGAAATCAGCGTATTTACATCCTACCCGCCTATTCAGCCTACAGCACTTTAGCCCCGCCCACTCACCCTGAGGCTATAAGGAGTGTTTCAGCCTGGACTGCTTTCTGAAGACATCAGAACAGAGGTGCCAATCGGAACAGAGGTCACTTACATGAACCATGTCTTAAAGGCACAGCGATAAAAAAAATTCTCTTTAATTCTGTTTAAAGGAAAGAGAGAAGTTGGAAAATGGTGATGTAAAAAAAGGAATCATGATGGTTTTTGGGGTAGAAAACCACTTCAGGGGAAAAAATAAAATAGAAATGTGGGATATGAGAGGGTGGCATGGTGGCGCAGTGGGTAGCACCACAACAAGAAGTGGGCGAAGTATTCTTCGCATGTCTACATTGGTTTCCTCCCATAGACATGCAGTCAGGCCAATTGGACACGCTAAATTGGCCCTAGGTGTGAATGTATATGTCTGTGTGTCTGCCCTGTGATGGACTGGCGATCTGTACAGGGTGTATCCTGCCTTCTGCCCAATGACTGTTGGGATAAGCTCCAGCTCCCCCCGTGACCCAGAAGGATAAGCAGCGTAGATAATGAGTGTATGTGTGTGTGTGTGTGTGTGTGTGTGTGTGTGTGTGTGTTGGAGTTGGATAGGGGTCCTTTAACTGTCTACATCTGTAGCCCCTTGCAAATATCTACACTAACCACTGTTATAGCTTTTATATAATGTAAAGTTAAATCCATTATAAAACTAAAATCTAAACAGGCTCATTATTATCTTTTTGCAGTTTATTGCAAATAAAAAAGAACAAACATGGTCTATATACAGTGGTCCCCAAAAAGTATTTAGACAATTGTGCCATTCTTTAAAAATGTAATTATTAGTTCATTATGTTTGGAAACAAAGTGTAAAACCAAATGGAATTTATTTTATAAAAAATATTTATATATTTATTTTATTAAAAAGGTGGGTGGTGTGTTTCTGTTCATTTATTCTTTCGTCAGGTTCTTTACAGATGTCTGTAGGTTTGCATGCAAAAGATGTTTCTCTGAAACAAATACTATTTTGTTAAACACTTAATGAATAACCTGAAGTTTACCAATAGTTAAATTGTCCAAACACTCTTGGGTGACACTGTAATTAATCTAAAAAAGGATGCATAAAGTGTGGGATCAAACACGAGTGACCCTTTATTATGAAAGAGAAAATATTGTAAAAGTGAATACATAGGAAAATATGTTAGACATACACACTGTGCTCATGTCCATTTTATTAATTCATCAGATGAAATTATTCAGGATACATTAGCCTCAGCTGTTCTAAATTTCATAGAAAAGTTCGGACTGTGCCAGTGTGTTTCTCTGAAGACCAATGTGTCAGTACAATATTGCAGCTGCTCAAAAGTGCTTTGTCTTGTCACTCATCTCATCTGTGGTAAGTGTTAAGAAAGAACAAAACAAAGTTAAAGAAGAGAAAAAGATGTGCGTCTTTCCCAGTGGCTGCAAAAAAAACTTTTTTTTACCTTAAAGGCAAATTCCACCAATTTTTCAAAATTTCTGCATAATTAAATGTTTAAGATGTAAACAAAGTCATTCAGAGTGGTTTAAAATGCTCTGTTCTAGGGAAACTGACAGAGTCAGACTTGTTCACAACGGTGGTGATGGGAACCAAATGTCTGAGGTGAGATGTTTCTTTGAAGACTACACTCTCAAAAAAGATGGTTCTTTAAAAGGGTTTTTAGTAAAGAAAATGGTTCTATATAGAACCATGAACACTCAAAGATTAATGGAGAATGTGCTGTAGAAAGTTCTATATAGAACCTATTTTAAAGTGTTCCATATAGCACCAAAAGGGTTCTGCTATTGCTACAATGTCAAGCTTGTATCAATAGAAAAACCCTTTTGAGTGGTTGTGGAGGAGGGGGCGTGGCCAAGCATTAAATGCAGGACGGAGAGCCAGTCAGGCTGAACCAGCAGGCCAAGAAGCTGATGACATTCGCATGTGCCTTGTTTCTGCCAGCCTACTTATAGCCATCTCTTTTCTCAGTAGGTGGCAGAGCCCAGAGAGAGAAGGAGACCGGTGGAAACGTAAGAGCAGAGCTGAGCTAAGAAAAGAAAGAAAGAGACTGAAAAGTCCCAGCGAGCGTCTTGTCTTAATTTGTGTGTGGGCTGAAAAGCAGACTGGTTTTTGTGTTGTGTATAAATAAAACGTAGCTCTTCGTCTCCACACCTGCTCCCAGTGTCCTCACCCCATCCTTAAAAGTTTATATAGATATATAGGTTTTTGAAAAGGATTCTGTATAGAACCATACACAGCACATTCTCCAACAGTCTGAAGAACGCTTTTTTGAGAGTGTAGTCCTCAAAGAAAACTTTTTTAAAATATTTACCACTATTTTAATCAGCTATCAACATTACATAAAAAAAACTCAGAAGGTAGGTTCACTGGTGGTTTTAAATAATAAATAAAATAGCTGTATTTGTGTTGTAGATATCTGGACTCCTGGTTCCAATCACCACCACTGTAAAGAAATTTCCCTTTAATTTAGGCCTGTTAAAACTAAGACCTTAAAGGCATACAGGAGTGTATTACTTAGCAGGCACTGTACTTTTGGCTGACGTTGCTCTGCTCTATTTGCCCAAAACCTAATGAAAATGCATCAAAATTATGCTTCAGTAAGAAATCCTTTCCCAGAGAAACACACACACACAAGACTGCATCAACGACACAACCTGAACTGAACTGTTGTGTCATGAACATTTTCAACAAATCACAAATCTTGACAAAATAGTTAAGAAAAATGTATTACAAACAACAGCAAGAGCTTAAGAAATAATGCCCCAGGCACACAGTGGAAAGTTTCGGACTGGAGTGTCACTGCACACGACCTTGTGATCTTTGATCCTGTGAGCCTATCTAGACCTTCATTGCTGTCACAAGTGTGCAGACTAACATACACATTAAAAATCTCTCCACTGCCCTGTTCAACTGGACCAGAGTGCTCTCACTGATCAGAACAGAGGTTAAAAAATGTATAGAAAATTCATGCAAATCAAAATGAACTGCCAAAAAGGCCAGGCTTAAAGTGCACTGCAAAAAATGATGCACTGGCAAGTGAAACCTACAGCGCCCTGCTGGTGACATCCCGTATTAATAAAAATAATGTGTGGCTACGACTTAGTAAGGCTTGGGAACAAGATCCTAATGCATGGCCACGACTTAGTAAGGCGTGGCAATGAGATAAATAAGTTTTGACCACAGCTAAATAAGACATGATCTTATTCTCATGGCTTACTAAGTCATTGCCACGCATTAGGATGTTGTTCCTAAGTGGTAATACGGCGTAACCATGCATTATTTTTTAATTATATAGGATGTCACCAGCAGGGCTCTGTAGAAAACAACTCAAATCTAGTCAATAGATCTAATATATCTCATTATTATTCATCTTATTTCTAGACATTTTTACATGCAATGCACCTCATGGACCTGCCTCCTCTCTCATTCACTCACAGATTCAGTCTTAGCAGGCTGATATTTCTCTTCTTCTCATAGAGGTGGTTCGCATCATTGACACTTTGTGGCCTTGTTACTTGTTTTCATCCTTTCATTTTATTCTTTCCCCCTGATGTCCCCCCTTACATTGTTTGTGTGCTTTTATGTACCAAAAATAGTTATATTTCAATTAAACAGGCTGTTTTTGTTAATGTACCTTTAGGACTGATGTCTTGTGTTGTGCATCATTCAAAAAGCAGTCCAGTCTGAAATGCTCCTTATAACTCCAGTGTGAATGGGTGGGGCTAAACCGCTGTTGGCTGATGGATTTATATAAATGTGTTGGTTTACATGACATTACAGAAACAATGAATTCAAAGCAGGCTGTTTTTGCAGTGACATATACGGACTGTACACGCTGGGGAGCAAATGGTATGTTTTGAACTTTTCACAGTGTTTACATACATCAAAAAAGGGAGAAAAATTCAATTTTGCATAATGTAGATAATAATCAATTGTTTTATTCTATTGGCAGATCATTTTGTTGTTTCAACACATAATAAAACACACATAACATCTGCCAATAAAATAAGCCCATTTCTTTAGATAAAATTACTTAACATGTCTAGAAATAAGTTCAATCTCTTCAAATATTTTTACAGCAATCTCAAATGTTGGATTAGTGACTCATTTAAGGTGATATCACTTGCCAAAATACCCTTTTTTTCAGTCAGGACATTACCATAAGTGTCAGTACTGGATAATCACATTTACACACTGATTTGTAATAAATTAGCAAATGTACTCACAACTGTTATTTGCAAAGACATCTCAAGCAAGTCTTCTCAAAAGTGAGAGCCCAGCTGCTTTTTTCTTTGTAAGGTGTTTGGGCTGAATGATATAACAAAATAGTATTGCGGTTATCTTGCTTAATATTGCCATACAACTTGCAATTTATTAACACATTGGTGAATACATAATGTGACACTTTTTAACTGCTCTAAAATGACCAAAATAATTTACTTTTGATGGATTACTCGAATACCCTGATTCATCTAGAAACTCAACTGTTATTGGTCAGGATGTTCACAGCATACAGTAAAGAACACTGTGTTTGTTTAGAGGGTTCATTTGCATGTAGCAGCCTATATAAGGCCAATATTGTGATAATGATTAACAAATCTAGTGTAGTGCATATTTCATTCAAGATACTTAACAAGCCTAAACAAACAAAAAGATTGAAAGGAAGATAGTTAAAGTTAACTGCACTTGTAAAACATCAGTGACTGTGTAAAGAAAAAAGACAAGCTGTGGAACAAATATACGTTGGTGTGGCGTATGCAAACACAATTGTACAATCAAGTCAATCACATAAGGTTGCGTAATTCTAACCTGATATCTAAAATCTAGCCTATTCAAAGAATACATCAACACGCACTGAAGCACATACTCATGTGCCTAAGGCAACCATAGGTGCCTTAAGTCTTTGTCCAGAGACAAATGACTGATAAACGACATGCTTAGATCACACACCATTAGCAAGAACTGCAGATAAATATGAGCAAACCATTCTGAGTTTTCACAACTACCAATAAACTATGTGTAAAGTCTGAAATGTACTGTTAATGTGTTAGTGGAGGAAAAGTAAAGGCCTTTGTATGTCCTGGATGTGTGTGCATCTGATCTTTTCAGCAGTCGAATTGGCTCCACCGGCCCATTAACATCTGATCCGAGCAGATGTCTCGTCTGCCACAGCCCAGCAGGGGGCTGAGAGACGGAGGCTAAGTGTCCAACTCCAGCCCCAGGCTTCACTCAGGCCTCCAGGCTCAAAGCATGTTGAGCTCGATGAGCCGGCCAGCGAACACTCCCATAGTACCGATGATACACACGGCCATGAACACGCACAGCAGAATGTGATCCAGTACCATGGCAACGAACTTCCACTCTTCTGCGGCCTGGGAGGAAGAGAAAGGGTGGAAGGACAACAGAAAAGGGGAAGAGCGGGAGGAGATTTTTGACATGGTCCTAGACTTGGGGAGTTCCACAGAGGTCAGAACGTGACCAGATGTAAAATTAAAGAGAAGTCATGCAATCTGACAAAAGGGGAAGGAGAAGAATGAAGCAGAAGAAGGAGAGCGAGAAGAAGAAGCAGAAGAAAATTAAGAAAAACAGGACAGCCAACATCATTCATCCACAGACCTGCAGTTTCAGGGCATGCTATTGTTTTAGGTTTGCACCCCCTAGTGGTTAGAGTTAGCATTACTCGAGCTGTTTGTAACAAATGTTATCAGCAACTTTGTGCTGTGTTAAAATTTAGCAAAATATTTTAAAAAGAATGGTGCATTTTTAGGTGAGTGTGCTGAGGGGGCTGCAGCACCCCCAGATACCAGGACTGTTTACAATAATGATCATATTATGATGAAAAAATAAATTATCAGAGGCCCAGTGGGTAGCGCTAGAAGGGCCTGGGTTCGATTCCCCAGCCAGGTGACCAGGGTGCTTTCTGTGTGTGCAACCAGGTGAATTGGACATGCTAAATTGGCCATAGGTGTGAATATGTGTGTCAGCCCTGTGATGGACTGGTGACCTGTTCAGGATGTTCTGCCTTTCACCCAATCAGTGCTGTAATTTGAGTACAGACCTATGTATGCTTGTTTTAATTTGTATTTTAGAGGTTGTATTTTTATTCTATTCACGTTTACAAAATCTGCAGCAGTTTCATTGCAGTGAGCTGAACTGCTTTCCTAGTTGACTGCTGGCCTCCTTGTGGGCATATCACTAAAACACAAACAGGTTCATGTGTCCAGAGTACAAGAGTATGCAGAGTTGTAGGCTATTTCTGAGCCCCAAAGCAGCCTCAAATTTGTTATCCTACATTCTATTTTTTCTCCATGAAACTTTAGCAATGTTTGCATACAATATTATATTTTTTATATTCAAAAAAGTGAGGAAAAATCAGTTTTCTATGATATAGGCCTTTTAAAATTCAACTAACACAGCAATAGGTAGCACTTTCAACTCAGGAGTATAGCTGTACTTAAAAGCATCTTGTCTTTTAGGACTTGGAAACAGGTGTTCATGCTTTTATTTCCTCTCGCCTTGACTATTGCAACTCGCTGTACTTGGGAATCTGTGAGTCAAACTTGTCATGTCTACTGCTGGTCCAAAATGCTGCTGCGAGACCCCTGACTGGTACCAAGAAAAGAGAGAGCAATACAATACAATACAATGTACATCATCCCTGTAGTCACATCATTCCACTGTTTACCAGTCAAATACAGACTTGAATTTAAGGTTTTATTATTTGTTTTTAAAGCTTTGCATGGCTTAGCTACAAGCTATATCACTGACTTCCATTCCACCTCACAAGCCCTACGATCTTCCAACCAGTTGTTCTTAGCTGTCCCACGGTCTCAGATGAGGTTCAAAGGTGACCTTTCCTATAGCTGCCCCAAGATAAAGGAATCCCCACAATAGATATTTTAAGCCCAGTTTAGAAACCTATTTTTTTCTTAGGCATTTGAATCCTTTTAAAGACTGTATTCAATCTGTAATCTGTCTCGGTTTGTTCTGTCCTGCTATCAGTAGTACTTTTACTTTGTTTTATTATTTTATTGGATTAGTTTTATTTCTGCATGTTATTTTCCTTGTGGGACTTATTGGTTAGGGGTTATTTTAGTTTATTTTATTGTACAGCACTTTGGCCGACACTCTGCGTCACTTAAATGTGCTAAATAAAGTGACTTGACTAACGTCCCACATTTTGATTACTTTTTTTCAACCATTACATCTCACACTCTGTTCACATTTGAGTGTTGAATCTCAGCGTTTGGTTTTGACTGTGGGAGTGACACAATCGGTTACTGCACCAAATATCAACAACCTGACTGGTTGCCACTAAGCTCGTTTGCATTAAGTTCATCAGAATGAGAGAGAGCATCACACATCTGCAGCTTAAGATAAAAAGCACAGATCTGTGACTGCTGTTGGCTCTTCTGGTCTGCAGATGGATGTATGTCATAAAAACACAGAACAAAAGTCAAAGAGAGAAAGACAGAGACACACAGAGAGACAGAGAACAGAGGACAGAATGTTCTTACATTGTTGGACTCTTCATCACCCCTCATGGTTTCAGCGATGTATTTGACGCCCTCTATGGCACTGCGCACATCTGGGTTTTTGATGATGGGTGACTGGAAGGTGACAGAGGCCGGCACAGGTTTGCCTGAGATGTCTGAAATGTCAAAGTCTGGAGGGAAGGAGCGGTTCTCTCTCCTCTCTTGAGATGGACGCTTCATTGTGGAGAAGAACATGAGGTTTGGGATGGTGTCGATGAAGATCTGCAGCACAGAGAATATTTACATAATAAATCCACTGCTCCCTTTACACATTTTACAACTTTAACATGCAACTGTACATACATGTGGAACTGTACATAATATCAACTGCATGACAAGCTTTTAAGTTGTTTGTAGTTTTATACTGTGTGCTGGAATTTGGTTTGGCACTCAGGGCTGTTATGTGCTGTAAGCAGTATAAGTAGTCACTTATTACAACCAGAACCAAAAAGCTGTACCAAGACACCAATTAGGAATACAGTTAGAAATACAGTTTTTTTTTTATCTTTGCAGAAATATCATATCATATATCTAAGAAATTCTATATGTTTTATTGTTTAGTCAGACTTCTATCTCAGTTTGATAGAACTGAGAGAAATGTTCAGACTAGACCTAGGCAATATGCTTTCACTGATATTTTATTTTTACAGCAGCAACATTATTTTTTGGCAAAACTTTTGGCAAACTTTTCAGCGTAATGTGTCCTTTGGAGCTGCAGCACCCCACCGTGACCCGGAAGGATGAGCGGTTTAGATGATGTGTGTGTGTGTGTGTGTGTGTGTGTGTGTGTGTGTCCTTCGGAGCCAGCACCTAAGCCAAGTCTGATATTGGTTGGGCTGTGTTTTCTCCTTGACTTAGTCAACAAAACAATTTGACCAAGGGTGCCCAAACTTTTGTATATAACTGTACATGCTGTATATAGTGTGTATGGTCAATACTTATTCACTGTGTTATGATCATTTGGTCATTAATGGCGTTAATGGTTTCAATCATTGTCACATTTATCATTAAGGAGATATTTCGCTAAAATATTTATGATACCTTTCCTTTTCACCAAGCTCTATTTAAAGTCCCTCACTTTTATGCTCTCACGCTTACCCTGCGGACCCAGGGGGGCATGGTGTGTGTGCTGGGTGAGCGGTGGTGCGTGTTGATGACAATAACGGTGATGATGATGGAGGCGATGACGAGGATCATGGTGAAGAGCATGTATTTGCCGATGAGCGGAACAGCGCTGGAGGTGGACGGGATCAGCTCCACGATGACCAGCAGAAACACAGTCAGAGACAGCAGGACAGAGATACTGAGGGTCATCTTCTCACCTACACACATGAATACAGTAGATAAACATTTAGTATTAAGTGGTTTGATGTGAAATGCTCCATTTTAGAGTCAGAATTATTTACAGTGGTGGTGATAGAAACCAGACGTCTGACGTGTTTAACACCTATAAAAACTAAATCACAACGTTTTTACATGAAATGGTCATGAACACGTTGTCTGATGCATGAGACAAAAGAGTGTTGAGAATTTTTTGGCTTAAACATTCATGGCAGAGAGGTACATTCAGGGCAATGGAATGAAAAACAGTCCCTTAAGAAAACATTGTCAGATTTACCACCAATTTACCATCATTAACATTACATATACATGTAAATCTATTTTTGCTTAGAATATCAACAAAACGTTGGCCAGGGATACATATGACTGTATATACATATTTAGAATTACCAGAGTCAGTGGGCAGGTAGAACACCAGGCCGGTGAGGAAGGAGAAGAGCATGCAGGGGATGATGACATTAACAATGAAGTAGAGAGGCAGTCTCTGCATGAGGAAGTGGTAGGTAATGTCCAGGTAAGGTGTGTCCGGACAGCAGGCGTAATACACCCAGTGTTTCCAGCTCCTGTAGTCCTTCATCACCCACTCGCCACTCTCCATAAAGTTACTGAGGTCTGGCCGGTCATGGTCCTAGAGCCCATATATACACATTTATACACATACACACAATCATGTGGCCTATTTCTTTAATTATTTACAGATGTATACAGAAGTTTAAATACCCCTGGTCAAATTATATGTTTTGTTGATTTTTTAAGTGACAGTAAGTTAACACATCCCTTACAGACAACAAACATTGTTGTGCATAGTTTCTATTTATGTAGCAAGTTTAACATTTTGGGGGGAAAATAAAACACAAGATATAAAATGTGCATTAACTTTTGCACGTGCCACATTTTATGTTTTATTTTTTCCCCAATATGTTAAATTCAGAAAATCAACAAACTAGGGGTGCCCAAACTTTTGCATATGACTGTATATATAAATTGACATCTGTGATTGTCTGTGTTTGTCATAGTGGCAGGTACCGGGTTGATGACGACCAGGTTGCCATCGTACGTCCACGTGCCGAGTTTCATGCTGCAGTTCTGCAGGTCGAAGGGGAAGTAAAGCACCACGATCTCACAGTAGCTCTTAAAGATGGCCGGAGGATTCCACGTGATCATCCCGGTGTGCTCCAGTAAAACCTTAGTCTCATGCACAATGGCAAAGTCTCCGTCAGCACTGTACACATACAAGCAAATGCATTAGAACTACATTTGCATAAACTTACTTCATGTATATGAATGATTCTACTTAATTATTTCAGATGTTAAATATAAGTCTCTTATAAGGATTATGTTAAGATCTATTTAAACACAAGGCATTAATTTATAAGTTATAAGTTAAATATATATAAAATCATCATTCATAGGGTACTTTCTATTGGAAGGTGGTTGTCTCAAACCCTAACCCCTAAATTTCAACTTCCAAAAATAAGTTTTTGTAAATTTTTGTTTAATTTAAGACCTTTTCAATTTCTTTTAAAGTAAAATTGAAAGATTTAGATTCATTATGTGTTTAATTTTTAAATAAAAAAAGTTGGCATTCAAAAAATGCCATCCCACATTTTCAAGAGTTTTAGAGAAATAGTTTTCATCCATAGGCAGAGCCTTTTTCAGCTACACCCTTGCATTTTACAGCAGGAAGTGAGACTGATTCTATATGGAAAGGGTTCTTCTTTTGTTACAAGCTTGACATCATGACAAGATAAGAAGCTTTTTGGTGACTTTTCAAAAAGGTTCTTTGCAGAACCATCTACAGCACATTCTCCATCAATCTGAAGAATCCTTTCACGATACGAAGAACCCTTTAATCATGCAAAGGGTTCTTTGAGTGTTCATGGTTCTGTATAGAACCATTTTCTTTACAAAAGAACCCTTGAAGAACCATCGTTTTTAAGAGTGTATCGTAATACTGTGTCTCAGGCATCAGGCAACACATTCGTAACCCTTTCATTAAAAAAACGTTCTGTGATGTAGCTTTGAAATACTTCAGACGTTTGGTTCCTATCACCACCACTGTGAACAATTTAACATCAAACCACCCTGAATAACTTTGCTTACGTCTTAGTTATTTCATTAAGCGGTAATTTATAAAAATAGGTGGAATTTCCATTTAAAGGAATAGTTCACAGAATCAGCCAATACATGTTTAACAGAATCAGCCAATACATGTTTAACAGAATCAGCCAATACATGTTTGCTGCCAAATCTGTCCATTTACCATTACTTTGTTGTTTTAGAATAAAATGCAGCATTTTTTTTAACTTGAATGCTCTTGCATATATTTTATTGCAAGTGCCTGTTACCTAATTACTTTAGTTAATGAAAGCTAACGTTCAAGGAGCTAATGGGCAGTAGGGCTGTCACTCAAAATTGTATTATTAATGGAGTAATCTGGCCGTTATTTTGACTCTTAATGAAGTAATCTGCTAATCTGGGTTGATTAAACAGTACCAAACTATGCATATTCTTTCAGGGATTCACAGCTACTAAAGAAGCAAACTTCAGACACCAAACATGTCTTGGCTGATCGACTACATTTGGAGTAATGAGATAATAGAGCTTAACACTAGCTTAGTCTCTTACTTGTTATAAAGCACTAAATCTGGTTTCCAGATGTCAGTAGAGGGAATCCGGACCTTTTTGATCCCACCATAGTCATCTGGGTTCCAGTGCAGATTCACATCCTTCCATTGCTGGTCGTGGAGAAGAGAGAAGGTAAGGTCCCATGTAAGATGCTTCTATGCTAGCCTTTTTGCTAAAACACTAGTTCAGTTTCAGCTAACAAACCTTTGTTCAATTCTATGTAAGGTCGGATGTGATAGACTAGGTTTGTTCATTGTCCCAAGCTGGAGTTTAAGAGCCTCAATTGTGATTTTGCTTTCATTTGAGAACTACAAATAAATGTTCAGTTTTTGTGATAGTGGCTCTAATGGCTGCATTACATTCAACAAAACACAGTAAGAGAAAGCCAGACCTGTTTAAGACGCACGTTGCTGGTGACAATCTGATTAACTTCATCCTGTGTGTATAGAAAGAGAGACGAAAAGTCCATATGTGTGTGAGAGAGTGTGACAGTAAGGGTTATAGAACATTACATAATGTACTATTTCAGTACGCAGAAGTTAAAACGGGAGAAGTGATATTTCTACTTATTCCAATCCGTTTGAGTTCCAATAAAACAGAGAGAGAAAATGAAAGCCAATGTTAAAGCATATTTACCACACTGATGAGCTGAATGAGCTGGAGTCCTACAGTCACTACTACAGCCTCGTTGAAATGGCTTACGGGTCTAACCACCTTGTTATAACCTTTAAACAGATCTTTCACCAATTTCGTCTCATCAGAGGAGCACAGACCTAGACCTGAAAAACCAGGAATGGGCACAAAATACATTAAAATGTGTTTCAACACAATAAAAATTACAACAGATGTACATGCATACAAAATGGTGTAATACAAAATGTATATCAAAGTAAATACTAGTAATCAAGCCCTTAATCACTTCAGCCATGTCTGATGGTGGTGAAACAGATCAAATATGTGGGGCAGCTGGAGAGAGCTTAACATAGAAGATCAAAGCTTTGCTTGCAAGCAGCTTGCCAGCACAAAGTATGACAAAAGAGCAATGAAAGACTGAAATGCTTTCTATATATCTAGTACTAACTCTAGTCAATTATATACAAAAATATTTGCAACTGGATAGAAAAGGATTAACCACCATATTCACATCTTGAAAAAAAAAAAATAGCAGCAGTGCGGCACACCATTCTTCAGAAGGGTCTGTGACGATAATAGATCTATGGCGCTAATAGGTCTATAGCACTAGGTTTATGGCATGGCGATGACAGTTTTCTGGCTTTAGGTCTAATGGGGTTATGGCACCAACAGGTGTATTGTGCTAATGGAGATATAGTAGTAACATTTCTATGCTGCTAATGTGTCTGTGGCACTTACCCGTAATAAAGGGTCTATGGCCATAGTCAGTCTATGGCATTAAGGGGTCTATAGTGATAAAGGGTCTATGACACTAACAGTTCAATGTCTTTAATGGTTTGCAGCCCTAACAATTCTATGATGTTAATAGTCTATGGCATTATCAATACTATGATGCTAAAGAATCTATGACACTATCAACTCAATAGTTTAAAACAAGCTATGGCACTAAGAAGTATATGGTTCTAACAGAGCTGAGGCACAAACAGTTCTATGGTACTACTGCAATGCAAGTAGGACTGGGTCTCAAACTTCAATAATTTTATATCACAGATTGAGTTTCTTCAATATTACCCAATATCAAAAATTACATGACATTCAATATCAAATTTCATAACTCAAATCCAGACTGCTGATTGGCTGACTACTAAACTGACTACTAAATATACTTCCAGCACTTCATGCCCATTTTTTGTTTAAGCCAAATCATCTTGCAGTTTGTAATTTAATTCCTAAATAAATTCACGAATCAGTGTTGACGTTAAGGTATCAATATTCATATTGGTATCAAAAATTTTTATAAACGATACTCAGCCCTACTAATGAGTCTATGATGTTAAGGGGTCAATGGAACTAACAGTTCAATGTCACTCTAGCACTAACAAAGCTATGGCACAAACAGAGCTATGGTGTTAAGAGAGCTATGGCACTAACAAAGCTATGGCACTAACAAAGCTATGATGCTAAAAGAGCTATGGCGCTAAGAGAGCTATGGCACTAACAAAGCTATGGCACAAACATAGCAATGGTGCTAACAGAGCTATGGTGCTAAAAGAGCTATGGCATAAACAGAGCTATGGTGATAATGGAGCTATGGTGCTAACAAGCCTATGGTGCTAACAGAGCTATGGCACTAATGGGTTTGTGGCACAAATGTATCTATGGCACTAGAAGAGCTAGCCAGCTAGATAGCTAGATAGCTAGATCGACAGATCGATAGATAGATAGATACTTTAATGATCCGGAAGGAAATTTAGCAATTTAGCAACATACAAATTATGTCAGATGTACATGTATACAAAATGATGTGATAAAAAATGTATATCAAAATGTGCTGCACTGGCAGAGCTACAGCACTTACAAAGCTATGCCATTAACAGTTCTGTTGTGTAGTGTACAGTTCTATGCTGTTAATTGAGCTGTGGTAGTTCAAAAATGTTACAATATACAATACAATACTGCATTTTGCATCAGAAATACTGCCCTTCCTTGCACATGAACACACACATATAAATGTATACAAACCTGCTCGGTTTTAGATATGAAACACTATCCCTGTTTCTGAGTTTGTAATGTGTATATAATCCTTCTCTCCCACACAGTTCAACAAGGGCAAACTTACAGATGCACTCTTACACAAACACTGCCGCACAGAGGATTAGTGCTGATGGAGGCAGGCAACTGCACATGACGCAAAGTTACTCACACACGACACTTGACCTGCTGAAGGAGACACTGTGACACCTCACGCACATACAGTCAATCTGTGCCAAATGAAATATGCGTGTGATCTATTCTGTTCCAGCTGCATTTTTTTGTAGCGCATTTATGACCATAAACAAACCTTTAATTACAGCATAATTCATCAACAATTCAGCTACTTTAAGTGCACACGTTGCTGAAAAAGATGTTCAATTATGCACAAACAGCTTGTATACTCTTCATAGAATCATCAACAGTAGAACAGGACTCTCAAGTCACTGTGCCCAATGTCAAGCGTCAGTTAGAGGGGTAACTTTGGAATGAGTTGGAGTGGCATTTGTGATCCAGAACCAATCATCTAACCTTAGCACCTGACCCCACTAATGCTCTTGTGGATAAATGCAATCAAGTCCTCACAGTCATGTTCCAACATCTAGTGTAAAGCCTTCCCAGAATAGTAGAGACTGTAACTGCAGCATAGTTGGACAAACTCCTGATTAATACCCTTCAACTCAAGGAAATGGGTCTTATGTAATATGTTGACAATATTTTGTAAATATGTTGTTATTATAAGTAACAAAACAGGACTAAATCTAATCTTCAACCTAGCACAGAGAGAGACAAGTGATTTGCTGGCTATTTACAAACTATAAAATGGTCCACACTAATGCCACCACATACCTTCAGACTAAAGATAAAGAGTCAAATACTGTATGGATAAAAATTCACTTGGCCTTCACTCTCAAATCTCCATACCTGTCACAGGTGAAGGGCTTATGTGGGCCTTATGGTCCACCCATACCTCCAACGATGCCCCTTCGTCTAGCTCTAATACACCACTTTGGCCCCATCTAATCATCTTAAGGAGTCTCTGATTGGCTTGATTGGTTTTAGATTTAGATTGAAAATTCGGATGATTTACAGACCAGGCCAATGGGGCCAGAACCCAGTGGCTGAAAGCTTGTATTTACAAAAGTCAATCTATTGCAAGTGTAAAATTTACATAGATAGACTGAGACCATGTGAATATTAGGCACAACTGGAGGCACAATGTTAAATAAATGAAAAAGTGCTATCAGGACCCCTCAGCCAGGAGGCCATAGGCCCACATAGTTTTCTGACCAATGTCCCTGGTGTCCCTGGGTAAAACCGTAGCCTCTGACCAACAAAGCCCCCCAGGTCCTCAGTTAGGGGAGTGGTGGAAGTAACAACCACTAGTTGGATGAAGCCCCCAACTGGCCTGGCCTACAAAATCAGCCTTTATGTACATTTTCATGTAAAATGTGAAATTTATTAGGGAGTGCATTAAAGCTACATTCCTTTCACACATACAGCACTGTGCCAAAGTCAGAGACCACCATTTATTTATTTAATGTCCAGTCAAAACAGCCATTAAATGATTTAGTATGTCCACCCTTTCCCTTTGTTGCACCTTCCATTCTTTTGGGAGACCTGCTTTCAGTATTTCAAAGAAAAGTTCAGTTTTAGTTGGTTGCATTTTCTGTTTCTTACTGTCCAAGTGATCCCAAACACATTCAGCTATGTTGAGGTCCGGACTCTGGGGTGGTCAGTCCACTGTTCTAAGAACAACATCAGTTTCTATTTTTGATTTGCAAATGTTCTTCTCCTTGGTTTTTGTTTTTGTTTGCTACACATCCTTTCAGACCCATAGCTTTGAGTTGTCTTCTCATGGTGAAAAGAGGGATCTGTGGATTTTTTTCAGATCTGATGCAATAGTGAAGCTTGATTTTCATCTATCTCTCAAAGTCTATGATGAGGAGAGTTATGGTGGTCTGCCATGTCTTGTACAGTTGTTAGGAGTCCCATTTTCACTATATCTTTAAGTCATTCTTTGCACTTTTGTTTTTGAAAACTATTGGGTATTTATTTTTTTATTTTTTTTCCTTTGTTAATCTTATATCTAATATCCTCAGAAATATCTCCTTTAAAAAAGAAAAACTTGTCCTTGATAATGGCCATTACACTGTAAATAAATGAAGGGTGGGCTCTGACTTCTGTATTAACTATATCCTAAATCCAGTACTGTATTAACTGTTTCCCAGAAGTCTGAGGAATGCCCCATAGCAGGCTTGTCATATATAGACAATCTATGGTCAAAGGGGGCTGTGTGGGTTTGTGGCCCCAGTCATGTATGTCCATCCAAACCAAGGGAGGGGGTCCACAGGAGCCAGATGGGACCACAGTCTGTCCCCAGTGAGAGGTGAAATATGCATGAAGGCAGATTTCCAGGATTAGGGTCGGCGACCACTGATCTCTCCCGTCTCCCCAAACGAGGTGCCGTTTCCGCTTCTCCCGCTCAGGTTACAGACCCCCCCACCTCACCTTAGCGCCCACCGGGGCACAACGCAGCACGAGCCCCAGAAACAAAGGACTCCTTCACGAGCCTGAGATCCAGCAGTCAGACGCAGCACATTATAACTGTGTGGAAAAGCCCTGTTATAAAGAAAAACTAAAGTCCCCAAAACGGCCCGTCCTGTAACCTGAATTAGAAACAGCAGACACGCGGTAGCACATGCACCTGTCAATCACAGCGCATTCCTGCGACGGTTCAGCTGGAGGAGTGTTAAAACCTAACACAGCATTTAGTCGCATTTCAGCATCACATAGGCATTATTCTCAACGTTTAGGCTGGAATATTAAACCGTGATTAATACTGAAAAGGTCAGATATGCTTGTAGACACACAGTAACAGTTTGGCCACATAGGCTGAAATACACGACAAACACACCACCCTTTACGTTTTGACTGAAATAGGCATAATGCTTAAAAATCAAAACGTTACCATAACATGTATATTCATTATATCTAATTAACACCAGTTTGCGTGAGTAGCCAGCAGTTACTCACCAAACAGAGCAAGAAGTATCCCAGTCACTGGAGAAACGACCGAACGCTTCATCTTCTTTTTGCTGTTAGGAGCTTAATAAATTCCAACTTAATTAATTTGTCTAATCTACTTAATCTTCCTTATCCTCTCTTAAGGCTACTTGAGAAGCTAGGGCTCGTTTTTCTGAGGCATTAGCGACTTTAACAAACCCTTTAACGCGCAGCACGGCGGGGCGGAGCGTGAACTGAACTGAACTGTAGTGATTCAGTTGTCAGTTTAGTTGATTCAGTTGACAGGACCGACTCATTTGGACTGTCCATTCTAATGAACCGATTTCACGATTCATTTTCGTGCAGGATGAGGATGATTACGAGTATTAAAGGTGCGTTCTGGTCTACAACTAGCTTCTAATATGTTATTTGTTATTTTGTATTCATTTTGCATTTTTGTCCATCAGTGTTTTCTCATCACACGTACCCAGAATGCATTACGCAGATACTTCATACAACCACTGGGAACCCCCAACCCCACTAACAGCCTACCCTCATGTATAAACCCTAAAGTAAAAGTTCCTCCCACCTTCAAGTTACATCATCTGAAGGTCCGTTTCTTAGTCTTTAAACTAGAAAATCTCAGTGGCAGCGGTAAGAAGTGAGTAAGCAAGTTTACAACAGATGCAGCAATAGGTAAAATCTCTTCTATGTAATGGCATTCAGTTCAGCATGAGAGTCTCACTGTGTCTACTACTTCATATCACTGATTGAGAAAACATAAGGAAAGGCGTTGTTGTTACAATTTGGTATTTTATGAGGTTGAATTGGTTAATTTTATTAAGAAGAACTGCTTGTTTACTATTTTTAGAGGGCTATAACACGGGTATAAACGGTCCCTACAGAAGTACATTTGAAAATGACCACAAAATGTTTTTGTACTTTACTGTTTGGAATTAAAATGAAATGATGTATTTGAAATGCATCACATATACATTAACAAAAAAGCAAACAAACTAAAAAACGTCCATTTAGTTTCCATGTGGTTCCACAGTGATTCGATTCAGTTGGACTTGTGAACCGGTTCAAAAACTCGACTCGCTCACAAGCCGGGTATCGCTTATGAACTGCGTGTGGCGGGCGTGTGCGGGTGAAGATATTTTTTCTCTTCTCCCCGTCAATAATTTTAGACTGTCCATCTGATACGCGATCGCAGATGCACGTGCTACTGAGAAAAAAACAACAACCGTGAAAAACATCAGCTGCAACGAGGAGCTCGTCTTAAAGCTCCGTGTCCGGTCGCAGTATCGCCTGATCTGTACTTCGGCTCCGTTTAGTTCAGTTGGTTTTCAGACTGAGCTCCATATTAAGACACTTTAAAAAGGGCCTCATACTGATCGTTTACCAACATCAGCATGTCTCGTTCCAGATTTGGTGAATTCCGCTGTCTCTGCTGCCATTTGTTATAAATTCCAAATTCCACGAGTGCGCGCGCTCCAAACAAGGAGAGAAGCACGTGAGAGACTGGAAGTCCTCAAAGGGCACATGAGGAGAACCAAAACGTCCCACTTCAGGCGTTGGAGTACAGTGAGCCCATCTTAATCTTGTGCATGTTTATTGGGATAGACAATTTCAGAGTAATATTAGATCTACAAATGAAATCTGACCAAATATAAGACCTAAACCTACTACAAAGGGAAATTCCACCAACACTTCCAAAATACTTCATTATTCAATTGTTGTAAAGTCAGTTATACAAAATATGCATTATAGAGAAACTTACCAACTTTGGTTTGCTTGCAGTGGTGGGCATCAACAAATATAGCCATTTCACCTGCTATCCAGAACAACTTTGATTTCTTCTACACAAAATGTCAAAATGTTGGCAAATCTTTGAAGAGAAAAAGGTTGTTGAAACAAAAATACTTCACTATTTGGGCCAGAGCCTCAAAAGTACTGTAGAATAAAATATTGGTGATCAGACAAGGTGTACCCACTATGTGTAATAGCTTTGAGAGGCAGCATTCAGTTGCATTAATTGCTTTTAATGTCAGGTTTGCCCACCACTCACAACTGCAGTGAACAATTCAATTAGGACTTGCCGGGTTTATCTGAAAAACCAGTGCATTTTCTACCATCTCTTAACTGTCTACAACTTCAACTATGAAGTGTAAAAGACAAAAAAAAATAAATAAATAAAATAAATAAATAAATTTGACCTTTAATTATGCTGTTACTCCAACATATGATCCACGTTGGCTGCAGGCATAAAGAGACGCAAAGGAACCTCAAAGCCACAGGTCCAAAAACGCTCAGAAACAGTTTAAATAGTGAAATACATGTATTTTAATTGTGTAATTGGATACATTTTTACAATACATGTTCTTCTGTTCAGTCTGTCAGCCTTCCACAAAAAACTTGGAAAATGTACAACTGTCATGACACCAACACAGAACTCTCGGTAGCCAGTGTAAGACACGTCGTCACAGCAAGAGATGGAGGACGGTGCAGACTTTACATGGCGAACAGGATGAGGAAAGCAACCATCAAACAGAACAGCCCCATGGCCTCAGACAGGGCAAAGCCCAGGATAGCATAGGAGAACAGCTGCTGCTTCAGAGAGGGATTCCTGCAGGGCACAAAGAGCATGAAGAACATTTGACAAGTGCTTCAGATACTTCAAATGAACATGGTAGTCAACCAGCAAGAATGAGGGTGCATTGTTTTCCACACTACAGGACTGGCTGAGAAGAGGTGACCACACCAAAGCAACAACACTGACACCAGCTATAAAATATAACTGAATTCAATCTGAATACAATTATGGCAGTTATTTATCCATGCTTGCAAGTACAGCAGTATTTAAGAATGCAAGTTAGACAAATCTGGGCATGCTGATCAAAAAGTACAGCTGGCCTGAAATTTAGCTTTGCAGATCAATAAGCTACATTTCACTAGCTGTAACTTCTGAAGTTCAACGTTCTGCCTCAACTTACTCCGAATTTAATTCCACAGCTATGCTGACTGATCCATACATCAAGTTGGCACTGTGAATTACCAGTACCCAGTCAATATGAATGAAAAAAATTTCACACACTTCAAAAAAAGCAAACCGCATTCAAAACGCTTGTCACTTTGCTGCCCTGAGCTAAGGCTTAGCTTCTGATCAGATTCAGTTTTAAGCTCACTGTTTCTATGCTGCAGTGGTGAGCTAGAGTGCAGCTGGTGTTGGTAACAGTCTAGCTGAAAAATGCAAACCTTTCACGCAAACTTATTTAAAAAGTGCGGAGTAGCATCAGCGCCAGCCTGGTTTATCAATGGATTCGGTCATATAAATGACATTGACTGATCCTACAGCCATCTTTCCTTAAAGGCCTATAGCATCTTACGACCCAGCAGAAAAGGTAAACACAGTTGAATTGGTTGTGGTCATTCTTCGTACAACCTTGCTAGGGTTCTGTAGCTTCAGATCATTGTTGTGCTGTACCTAGCGTATCCAATAATGAGGCTGCCGAATACTGTTCCGATTCCAGCTCCTGATCCGGCCACACCCACGGTGGCGGCCCCGGCTCCAATGAACTTGGCGGCTGTGTCGATGTCACGGCTCACTGCGCTTGTCTGGAAACCCCTCAGTGCAACCTGGGACATGGTGCTCTGTGGCAGGAGGACTGGGCTAGCCTAGTGCAAAAAAAAGAAATAGGAGGGTGGTAATTAGCTCATCAGTAAGAGTAAAATAATAAGAAATGATGGTCTCACTGCACAAACAAATCATCTTACCTAAAAAGCCTTAAACAATAAATAAAAGCACTTATTTTAACAATCTTAACTAAAAAAAATAATCAAGGCTTAAAGGATTAAGACCAAAATCAAGCTCTGTGGAAAAACCTATACCCCATTTACACCTGGTCATTTTATCTGAATTGTATCCTGATAATATTTTGACAAATTGGTAGTCTGCATCTCCACTTAATCAGACTAAAACCCAACTACAACATGGAGCGCAATCCTTAATAATCCGGACACTCAAAACATGTGAAACAACCAGGTGTGATGAGTCTTAGACTTCCAACCATATCAAAGCACAGCCAAACAACTGTTTGAGAAACACAAACCTGGGTCCTGAACTCACCTCTGCAGATCGGACATCTGGCCTGGAGAGCACAGAGGCAGAGAGGGGTCTGTAAAGCGCCCTTGACCCAGAGCGGACCTGAAAAAGATAAACACTAAGGTTAGTGGGCTGCCATAAAAGCATATGCATTTGTGAAGTACAAAATTGGACATCTGTGGTGCAACCTGAATTAAAGGCTCCATAAAAAAACCTAATACAAAACAAGTAGCCAGGTAAGCAGCACGTTGGTCATAATATACGGGAAATACTCAGTTTAAACAACGTTGGTTTCAAATCTGCTCCTCTCTTTTAGAGGCCGACTACATCAAAACATGATCACTTGAGAACATTTAAACAGAATGATTATGAGCCACAACTTATTCAGCTAGCCTAGCTAGCCAAACTGTGGCAGAGGACACCAACAAACATCTCCAGGCCTGAATTAAACGGGCCTTTTCCGCAGCTCGGAGAAATAAATAACACCTTTGTTAAGAGAAAAGTGCTTTTATACGTTGCATTTCCTCAAATAATGCAGCTCTAAGGCTCTACAGCCGGCATGAGAAGATGACCTTGAGTTAGGAGAGGCACTTCATACATTAGCATTAGCAATACAGTTAGCAGAACCCAGAGATAGAGATGTGGAGTCAGATATCTGTCCGAAACACAGCGCTCACCCAGAACCACAGCTGAAAAGCTTGTGCATTTAACAGTGACTGACAATAATTAAGCACAAATTAGCATAACGTTAGCTTGAGAACAACGCTTCAAGTTCAACGGGCCTTTTCTGCACCCTGAATGAGGACTACACAGAAGCAGCCCAGCCCAGTTCTAATCTTAAGCTTAGAACACGTTAAAATTTCGATTAAAAACCTACCAGTGCCGGCGTAGACACGAACTTGGCGCAGGCGTACATTTTCAGCAGAGCTCGCCGACCGCTTCACTCAAACTCGGGCGGGATGAGCCGGATCTCTGCGGGCAAACCGAACAGGTTAAGGTCAGTGAAATATTTCAACACAAACGCGCCAACCTGCCGCTAATTAGCGTCCCTGTAAATGCAGCACAGTCAGTGGGACCTTACAGAGACTGAAAAGAAGACGCTTAAGAGTTTAAAGCGTTAGGATGACAGCAGATTGTAATAATCGGAACCCGGCGAATTCTCTCCTTCACTTACCGGGCTGCAGAGGTCGTAGCGCTGAAGAGCCGCTGCGCATGCGCCGCGCCCCATTTAACGAAAAACCCCCGGATGCAGAGGCTGCGTCACTGAAGGTCACGATGGACGAAAGATTCATTCAAGGACTTGAATGGAACTTTATTTCTCATTATTATTATTATTATTATTATTATTAGTAGTAGTAGTAGTAGTAGTAATATTAACCCATTCATGTTTAACAGCTACATTTTGTATGATGAGGAAAAATGCTTCAGAACTTCTCACTGGTCTAAAGCAGGAGTGCCAAACCTTTTTGTTTTGGGGTGGCAAGACAAAACAATGTACAGATAAAGAAGGTAGGGTCCAAAGTGAATTTTTAAAATGTATTTTGTCACTATAAAATATAAGTAATAGATACATATAAATTGTAATTAATACTATTACTGTTTAACTTTATCACCTGTCTGTAAAGCACTTTGAGCTGCCACCAGCACGAAAAGTGCTATATAAATAAAAATTATTATTATTATTATTATTATTATTAGTAGTAGTAGTAGTAGTAGTAGTAGTAGTAGTAGTAGTAATATTAACCCATTCATGTTCAACAACTACATTTTGTATGATGAGGAAAAATGCTTCAGAACTTCTCATTGGTCTAAGCAGGGGTGCCAAAACTTTTTGTTTTGGGGTGGCAAACCTAAATGTCTGTGGTGTGTCAAGGTCAAAAAGACAAAACAATGTACAGATAAAGAAGGTGGAGGCCAAAGTGAATTTGTACAATGTATTTTGTCGATATAATATTAATAATAGATAAATATAAATTGTAATTAATACTTATAATTTCTTGTATTACTGTTTAACTTTATCACCTGTGTGTAAAGCACTTTGAGCTGCCACCAGCATGAAATGTGCTATATAAATAAAATTATTATTATTATTATTATTATTATTATTATATGTTGTTACTAAAATGCAGTTTAAAAAGGAAAATTAGAATTGAACAAGTTATATAGCATGAAAATATATTTGTCTTCTCATTGGTTGTGAGGGTGGGATTACCTTTGTGGCAGATCAAAATGTCATACCGGTCCACCTTTGGCCAGCTCTGGTTTAAAGGGATACTTTTGATAAACATCTTATAACAACAACTGGAACTACATTCAATTTTCATTTTATTATTCACATCATCATCAAAATGGGATTTTATTTTGTTAAACAATACAAATGTATAGTTCTGTGTGGCCAAAATACAGAAACATGATAACTTAAGTTTAAAATATTTTTTAGCCGTAAAGTTTTATTGATTTGAAAATGTTCAAATTGAAAATATACCAAAGGAACCCAAGGAAATTTCAAAATTGAGATATGGACAGCAATGGGTCTTTTCATCCAACTCTATGGATTGCTATCATGTAGGTGATGTTTGCAGTAAGTGTTTAGATAACGGTTTATACCCCATTTGTGTGCTGGGCAAGTTCCATATTCTCAAGGTGAGATGCTTGAGTACATTTACTAGTGATGTACCCCATAAGGACACCCCCTTCTTTTCCGCAGTTATTTTCTTTTTGATCTTCTATACCTGTTTTTCACTATGTGCTTGTGTTATTGAACAATTAAAATTAATGAATTAATCCATCACAACAAGCTCATTTCACTGTATGATGGTTAAACTAAGTTGGCATAAGAGTATTACTTTAATCCAGTTTTTGTGTGCTAAGTTTTATGGTATTTCAAATGGCTGCACCAGTTTAAAAGATCACGTTTATTGATGACAGATATATCATTACAAGTTAAAAAAAATATATAAACATGACACAAACTGCAACATGTGTTTATACTGACAGCCCAGCCTAATGCTGCATGAAGTCAAAATTAGCTTTGGCTTCCAAATCGCCACAATAGTAACCATGAATGAATAACTATACTAGCATCTACAATTAGGACCATGACAAACCAGGACCCAGTCAAAATCATGACATAATACCTGTATTTACTTCATGGAAACAGTCTTTGAATTTCAGAGTCAAGAGTCTTTATGTATCTTGGACCAGCAGCTTAATCTATATGCCTGTTTTCATTAGGCTGTGACAGGCAAAATCTAACCCTTTTCTGCACTCTTTCTGTAAAAATCCTTACATGTATATAAGCCTGTGCTTTTACTCTATATGTACACTAAATGATGATACAGCAAAGCGCTGTTGTCGGAAGAAAACCTCATATTTCCAAAATGGTAACTTTACAGAAGAAGGAAAAAACATACTTACTTTTAATCTAAGTCAATGGAACCAGACTTTTTCCCAAGTAATTTAGGGTTATTTCTTTTGGTTCATTCATCATGAAATTCACACACAATGTAAAGGACAACAGGCATTTTAAAATGATGTCAAAAACTGAAAAACGGCAAAAATGGAGATACTAGGTTTTCTTCCGACAACAGCGAAAGGTTGCTTTGTGTTTTGAACAAGCCACACTAAACATATCTGAAACCTCAAAGGTTGCTTTTGTATTTTTAAATGTATAATTTAAATTAGCAGAAAATACAAAATACTGCTGCAATATTTCTGAAATGATTGCAACAACTTTTGCCTCACCCTCACCACGAGGACCAAGGTAAATAACACTGAAACCAAACATCAACATGTTCAGGTATATCCCCCTCCTACACAACACATATGAGTAATGTTCAAACTCATTTTAGAGTGAATGTAAACAGGACTCTGTGTGCCACTGACACAAACTCAGAGTTGAAGAGTTGAGTTGTACTGAACAGCACTGATGCTTCTTTTCCTCCTCCCTCCATCTCTGTCCCTGGCCAAACGGAGCCAGTTCTTTATTAGGTTTCCAATCTGGTCGTCTGTAGCATTGCTGAAGTTAACCCTCGCTGCTCCTGAAAGACAACGACCAATCATTATCATCTGATTGGAATGCATTATATACTACAATGTGTACTAAATGACTCTGAAACCAGGAAGACTTGAGTCACATTTTACATGCCTACTCCTTAAAATGTATGTAAACACCTGTGACATAATTTAGGGCTGGTAACGTATTTATATCCATTCTGTCATAACTCCTACACTTACTTGCCCTTAGCATTGTAATTAAGACATTTGCTTACAATGTTAATAAGGCTACTGCTAGCTTTCACACAAAAGTGAAAATGGAATATAAAACTTATTGTAAAGTTCAGTTCTTGGTGCATGTTTTTCACATTTACATTCGTTTACTTTTTCATTTATGTAATTCTAAAAACATCCTCCCAAACAGCATAATAACTGTTCAACTTTCCTTACAAAGCAAAGCTCATCTTTTTCAAAGCAATGTGTAGTGAGGAGTACTGCCACTCACTAATGTCTTCCAGGCTCAGGTCAAAAGCTTTAGGACACTTAGGAGCGAGTCCAAAAAGAATGGGTTCCTATAGAGCAGGGGTGGTTATTCCTGGTCCTGGAGATGTACCACCCTAAAGAGTTCAGATCCAACACACCTGGCTCTAATGTTCAGATGTCCCTGAAGGCCTTTATTACCTGGTTGAGGTGTGTTAGATTAGGGTTGGAGCTAAATTCTGCAGGGTGGTAGATCTCCAGTACCAGGATTGGGCACGCTTGCTAATGCCAATGAGGCAATGTGCTAAAGTCTGCGGTGTCCTGGCCTGGGAGGACTGGAGCCTGACACGTGCTATAGAGCTTTTGTGCAATATCAGTCTGTAAATACTTATTCATTTATTATATAGAAAAATGCACAAATTTTCTTTTAAATGCTGCTGGTATATTTTTTGTGCTTTTGATTTGCAATTATAGGACATTATAATGGTGCCTCGTACATTCATCAGTGCGAGCGCACTGTTTTACCCAACCAATGAGCTGATCAGCTCGCAAACCAATCAGTACTCTTGCTGCTTTCGGGTGCAAGGGCTAATAGTTTTCTCAGAACAAACGAATCCACCCAACATGCACAGCAATGTGGTTTGTGTGAGAGATAAACAGAACACTGAGGTTGTGAAATAGGTTTTGTAGTTAATAAGCTAGCTGGCATCTATTGGTTTTGGCCTACTTCACTGCTGTTTTAAACTCATATGAAGCAGAAAAATGTAAGTTATACCGTTTATTATATTTTTAACAGTTCATCCAATTGCCTTTGGGTAGTTTTACTGTTTTACTGCTTTTATCGTCCGCTATGATGAAAAAAGTGCTGACATCACAACATGGGCAATTTGTGCTGCATCAGAAATGCACCCAACTTCATCATCCTGGTGGGATGCTTGTTTTTCTGATAAAACCGAGACCACTTGAAAGCAGTATCAGTGGCAGTCACACTAGCATCCCACTAGCCAAAACCTTTTCTTTGTTGTAGAAAAACAGAAAGACACAGATAAGTTTTTTTTATTGATTAGAAACAAGTTACAATTTTTGTTTTTAGCCATGTAGCTCCATTCACCCTATTCATTGAGGACTTGCCTGCTGGTGCCATTTGCATTTTGCAGTCAAAATATAATATTTTTGATATAATGAGAGAAACAGAAAGTGGCCCCCCTTCAAGCAATTGAAGGTTTCTGTTGGTTCCTGGTGTCCAGTAGTCACTAATGGTATTTTGTGTTTTCCTGATGGGTTGATATCAGTTTAAAGGATTCTAATGGTTTAACAGGTGTTCTGGGACTGATTACAGATACATTTGATGGTTTCGTAATCTAAAGGTTACCTACAGGAAACTAGAGGTCTCAAATTGTAAACATTAAGCCGATTCCCATTAGAAAGCAAAAAAACCCTCAGGTTTTAATCCCATGGTTCTTATGGTCTTTTTCCAGCAGGGCAGGCTCCCCTCAAACTGGCTCTGGCAAAGTTATTAAACTTTTATTGTGAAGGAAAGTTACAGAAAGTGAGTTACTTACTACAGATGAGAGCTCGCAGGGCCAGCCCACTGAAGGCTCTCTTTACACCCCCTCGTCCAGCCCAGTTGTAATGACATGCTAGTGCATTGGTCATTACTGCTTGTAACAACCTCCACACTGTGTTCCTCAGGTCAGCTCCACCAATCAAAGACAACCTCCTGCACTGAAGCACAGAGCACATTAGCTGTTGTAGCCTGCTTCCTTAGAAACAAAATGCAACAGTAAAACGTTTTTGCAACCAAGCTAGTCATAATGTCGCATTTTCGAAAGATAAATTCATCATCTAATGGAATCAAAAGTCTATTGTACTATTTGACGATGTGATGCACTGAATGTGATAAAAATGCTTTGTTTATCAGAACATGTTATAATCTGAACAGGTAATCAATAAATAAACACATTTTCTGTATCATGTGACATATTAAAAAATAAATTATACAAATAATAAAATCAGACAAAATTAAGTTTTTACAGTTGATCTATTATGCTTCTCATGGTTAAATGTATATAAAATTTATTTATTAATTTATTTATCCAAATTGGCTATAAATAATAATGAAAACAAATACCATTTTGCAATATCAAGTACACTATCTCACAGTTAACTCCCTGATTAGCCTTTGATGTATGAAGGGCTTCCATTAACCTCACCAGTAGCTTGTTGTACGTCTCATCTTGCAGTTTCTGTTCCAGCACTTCCACATCCTCGAACGTCTGCAGTGGCAAACCAGCCTGGACATCTTCCTCATCCTCATCATCACTCAGCAGAGAGCTGTTCTGCAGGAGCAGCATGTCCACCTTCCGATTCAGGTCAGATATCTGACTCTTCAACTGTTCCACACATGTGAGCACCTGAATCAGAGCTGAACACAAACACATAAACCAATGCTTTTTACCAGAGATATAAGGTATGTTGGGATGTCATAATAAATACTGCTTAGATGTTCACTGTGAGTGATGTAAACAGCAAACAGCAATGTTAGTATTCTAAAAGGACTGTTTATTAACTGCACTCACCAAGCACTTTATTAGGAACACTATTCTAATACTGGGTAGGGCCTCCCTTGGCTCACAAATCAGCCTCATATCTTTGTGCCATGGTTTCCACAAGATGTTGGACCAGAATGTCATAGGAATGTTGTTTTCATGTTGAAATGATTGCATTTTGCAATTAATGCAGATTTTTCAGGTGCACCCTCAATACTGTGAATTTCCTGTTGTGCCACATCCCAAAGGTGTTCTATTAGATTCAGATCCAGTCACTGTGAAGACCACTGAAGGACACTGGACTCATTGTCATGTTCATGAAACCAGTTTGAGACGACTTTTGCTTCATGACATGGTGTATTATCATGCTGGAAGCAGCCATTAGAAGACGGTAAACTGTGGCCATGACGGGATGCACATGTTGCATTTAAGCAATGATTGATTGGTATTAATGGGCCCAAAGAGAAAACATTCCCCACACCATTAAACCACCTCCACCAGCCTGGACTGTTGACACAAGACAGGTTGGGTCTATGGATCTGTGCTGTTGGTCCAAACCCTACCATCTGTGTGCCTCAGCACAAATTGAGATTCATCAGCCTGGGCTACGTTTTTCAGCACTGCTCATGCGAGTAAGCATGTTTACAACAAATATAGTTTTGTTTTTTGGTGATAACAAAAGCATGCTGTAATTTTATATAAATTATTTCGCACACAAAGTTCATTTAAACCAGCAGAGAAATTATGCTGAATGTATGAATTCTAAACTTTCAGTTAATGCCAAATGTTTGTAAGCAGGAAAAGAGAAAACGACATGAATGTTTTTCCTAAAGAAAAAGCACGTCTTATGTTTTGCCCACATTGTTGACCTTTTTGACAAAATAAACTGAAAAAAAGTCAGATGTGCAGACTTTAACCAGTTGAAATAGAATGAAAATTTAATGTAAATGTAATTCATTATGTAACTCATGTAACTGTATGTCACTAACAAAGTAATTTAAGTGTAAATTCTTTTAAATACATTCAAATACTTATGCAAATCTAATACAATCTAATGTGTAGCAAAACAAAAAAAATCTTGTCTTTACTGGTTTAAATTTAAATATATCCAGGTTATCAAACAAGATCAGCTCAACTTGCACAATACAGAAAGCGATGAAAAGAGATAAAGTTATGAATGAGCATCAGACCATATCATAACTCACCTTCTCTAAAGTAAGCAGTCACTTGTGGTTCCTGAGAGGAACCTACATTACTTTGAACAGCTGGAAAGGCAGACTGTGAGGCAGGGCAGACTGGAGGAAGCGGCTTTAACAGGCTCTGAACTGGAGAGAGCGCCTCATTCTCCTCTCTCTGGGCACTGACTGGTGAGGCACACACACGCCTGCTAATGTCCAGCAGCTGCTGCTTCACCTTCCTCTGAATCCTGCGCTTTTGGTTCAGACGGGACAGCTTGGCCAGACTCATCATAAATCTGTATGGGGAAGGAAGTAAGAGGATATGAAGATACTACTCTGGCTTTAGAATATAACGAAGTGAGTGGCAGGAATGCGCGGATATGGGAATAGTGGACTGATATTCATTGTATCTTGTGTATATATGTGCCAGTGCCGATACTTGAAAATGTATATAATGTCGAAATCAACATGGATTAGCATTATGTAGAAATATTACTTTTAAATAGTAATATTAATTAATATTTTTGAATTACTTTTACCCAATTAAAATATGAAATATCAGTTTGAAATATTGGTCAAATCTAAACTGTCATGCCATTCTTTTTTTTTAACCATGCATTTCTGGTGTGAAGAAACTTGTTTACATTATTTTAAATTTGAATTTTTATGCAGTTGTATGGAGCATTTTTCTTTTCTTTTTTTTTAATGTAGCCATTCGCCTTCCCCCCTAATTCTCTTTGTTTTCTGGGGTGTAATTTCATCTATCACTTGAGTTCTCGTGCAGTTCTATAAGAAACTCAAGAGTTTTTGGAATATATATATTTTTTTGATATTTTCACTTTTAAATTAGTCATCAGTTCATTGGATTAACAAACTGAGGTTCAGTGGACTAAATGTGAATCGTCTGAGATTTGTCTTTTACCTGTGTCATGTAAATAAATGCACACGAGATTAAATCTAGACTATATTACACAATTATTAGTTAGTTTTACTAAACGGTACTGATTTAATTAAAACTCAGTTAGTGTTCACTGGCTGAATTGGGCTTCAGTCCTGCCATTCATCGGCATTTACTTTACAGACCAGAGGCGGGTTGACTTTAATTAATGTCATTAAAAACTCTACAAAAGCCAGTCCTGTATGTACGACATTTAGACGACGTATGGCCGACGTAAACATTCAGCGTAGGCCGACGTTGGCGCGACATGAAGTGTCTCTGTAGCATAAGAGATTCGCTACACAGCCACAAAAACATACACACTCAGTTTTTTTTCTAATGCAAACAGTTTCCCGATTTTAAAGATAATCCGCATCCCTAACATAGCTTACAAGTTTATTTTCCCAAAATTCACCCGAATCGTTTCTTGTAGAAGAGCGTGAAACTGGCGACATTCGAACGGCTGAACATCTTCTCGTCACGTTCAGCCGACCAAAGCTTCAAATTAAAAGTCTCGATAAAACCTTAATTTTTTTGTAAACAGTGCTGTTACAGATGTTTTAAGGGTATTAAAATGTTGTAACAACTGTTTTTTCTAGTAAGCCATCAACAATGGCCTTGGAACGTTCTGCTATTGTTACAAGCTTGACATAGTGACAATAGCAGAACCCTTTTTGGTGCTACATAGAACCATATACAGAACATTTTATATAGAACCATAAACACTCAAAAAACATTTGCATGCTGAAGTGATTCATAAGACTGATGCAGAATGTGATGTATATGGTTCTGTATAGCACCAAAAAGAGTTCTGCTATTGTTTGAACAGCACAGTGGAACTGGAACACATTGGTGTACATCAAAACAGATACCCACCAAGTCTGACAACTGACACCTGATTTAGAAAAAAGAACCTTTATTGGATGTGCCATGCACATACACACCTATCCTAGTGTAAACACAGCTGACATGCACAGAGAGACACCAGCTGAAGGCCTGCGTGCAGCCGGACGGAACAAACCAGAAACAGTTGTCTAGCAGATAAAGTGGTTATGCAGTATTAACTGACTGAGAACAGGGTACAATGGTGTGACCGTACCATAATAACTAATATGAATTCATTCATAATTAATTATTACTATAATTATCATCTGTAGTCATTTGTTATCAGCTACCAGAGTCAGCCAGAGTTATTATAGACATTCACCTAAGAGGACTTCCCAGGAGCAAAGTAAAAAGTTATTACATCTGTAGTTTTCATTAATGTGGTGTATACATTTGCTTAAGGGGTTTAACTGCCAAAGCCGGATAACCTTAACCATGAACTGCTGAAAAACCACCACATCTAAATTTTGATTTAGTCACTGAGAGTGTAGTAAACACACATTGCTCATTTTGTGTGGTGCACTGTTACTTTTCCTGTTTCTCAGATGTTTCTGCTGCTGCAGCCATGTTAACTGAGTCCGGCTTTGTAGTCATACCCTCTCGTAATACAAAACTGGGCTTTGAGTCCCAGTAATGCTAATTTGTTTCCCAGAAAGGCACCAAGCAGCTTAAAACACACACAGGAAGTTACACTTAAAAACAATTGTAACACAAATCAACAAAAAAGTCTAAAACTTAAATAAAATAGTGCAACTGACAAACTGTCTCGCTCCTACTAAAATACGTCATGCTCTTACAAAAAGAAAAGTTGATCAAAATAGCTTATGTTTAAAGTGTTGCACACAACTGTAAACAAAATAACACTAAATGATACCCAGTTTCTATTAAAAAGCCAATTGTGGAAGTCTATTTCAAAGAAAGCATGTTATTGTATTGACTACCTTCACAAGTTTTAATAAACCACGTTCATAAACTCATTAACATTTAATACCTTAGCTTTATGGTATCTGGCAACACTTTATTGTAGGGCAGTGCTCATAACGCAACATGACTTAAATTTACATAAACATTTATAATGGCTTATTCCAATAAGCATTGTCTGTGATAAAAGCTGTTTCTGTCAACTTTAATGCCGAACTATCATAACACCTGTCAGGTGAAGTCCTTTAGGTGCCATAATGACACTTCAGGAGGAAATTACATAATGACTTTGTATTAATGATGGGTGATACGGCAAAAATTTTATATTCCATAACTTAAAATTTTCACAGTACATGATATGTCATACTATTTACTTATTCAGACAAAGTACTGTTACATTTAAAAATACTATCAAAACTCCATTGATTTGTGTTCAATATTTCACACATTGCACTGCACTAAATCCAATTAAGCAGGTCTCACTGTGCTCTCTGTAATTAAATATGCAGTTAGGAAGTACTGACCACATCCACAATAGTGATGTAATTTAGCATGATGACGATAAATACTGTCATATTGCCCTGCCCTATTTTGTAGCTTAATGTATATTACAGTATATCACTATGCTGATGAATTGCCAAAGGTAGCTTAAATCTTTTAAATTGTAACATGAATCTTGCTTTATCTAAGGGACACCGTATGCCATGTCATATTATCAGCATTATGTCACTGTGATATACATTGAGCTTCAAAGTCTGTCATTTAACCTCAAAAAGTGTCTAAACATGAGCCTATGGCTGAAAAAAATGTTATGTTAAAATGTCAACTACGATACTATGTAATAAATCTTTATAAATGTTTTTGTAGGTCTAGGTTAGTTGTCATGAAAGGCTTATTTAGATGTCATGTAGCCTTATGAATACTGCCCTACAGTGAAGTGTCACCCAGAAATTTGACAAGGCCCACCCTATTCTAAGTATGTTTGTGCCATATACAGAGAAACACATCATAAATGTTGTCCATGGTAATCAAACATACAATCCAGATGTGGTAAATAGGCTGAAAAAATACCAGCATCTACCCTTAAATGAGCAAGTCGATGAGCTGCAAGCTGAGACTGAGACTGAGACTGATTCACGTCAATGGTCTGTCCTCTTAGACCCTTTAAAGCTACACTTATTATTGGCTAGTTAAACAACATTACATGTGATGCACAACTTTACACCGTGGTTGGCAGAGCTCTAATGAGTGTCTCAGATCGAGTTATCTTTGCATTTACACAGGAACAAGCAAAACTGGAAACAAAACTTGGCAAAAACAAATAGTGCAAACTCAATTCAGCAGAATACAAACTTGGCAATAAATTAAATGAACCTGCAAAAAATTTAAAATATAGCATTTTGAGCAACTAGCAAAAGATTTAAAACAACATGTTCGAGCACCAAGTGAACAGAGAACTCAGTTTGACTCCGCCTCCTCCTTCTGCTCTCTCCTCTGAGCACTCTCCGCTTCATTATCCAGCTGGGAATCCTCAGAGGGGGAGGGGCTACGCTGGGAGTGGTGCGTATCCTCCACTCCTTCATCAGTGGGCGAAGCTTTGTCAGAGCCTGTCTCCTGCTGGTCAGCAGTGGTTGCAGGCTCCGTATCATCTGCAATAACATCACAAACGTCAGTGAGATCAGTACACATGGCAAGAACAGTAATAATGAACAAACAAAAAATAGACTTCAACGTCAGTGCTTATAACAGGTGTATCAACACTATCCAGATACTGACACACTGTACAGCTGGGCAGCAAATGCAAGAAAGAATTAAAAGGCCCATATTCTACATTTTTCCTTTTGTTGCACTGAGATCTACTTGTTATGTTTGCGTGATTCTATGTGCCAAAAAACAGTCATAATTAATGTTTACATAAAAAAAAAACTTCCTCTCTATTCCTTGGGATTCAGTAAGCTGTTTTTGATACATGTAAATTGCCTGCCTTACGCTGTGCCTTATGCAGAAAGCACTCCAAGTTGTACAGAACAAAATGTTATGTTTTGATTTTCTCCTCATCTCAAAGATAAAAGCTTTATATACTGTTTATTTGATGGTGGCAGGTTTGGTGGTCTACCAGGTCTTGCACAGTTGCTAGAAGTCCCATTTTCTCTATATCTTTTAAATCAATTCAGTCCTGTTTTTCCACTTGTTTTCCTTTGTCTTTGCCTTTCCTTATGCAAGAGAATTATCTTATATATAACCTCTTCTTTAGCCATTTAAGATAATTATGAGAATGAAATCTGAAGGCAGCCAACGGGTGTTTGGGTGAATGTTAGTGTCTCATTGAAGAGGACCATAATGTCAATGACTTTTTATGGGAACAGCTTTTGTTTGGAGGACGCAGCTGTAACTGGCTAGGAAGGACAGAAGAGATAAAATGGCAGTAGGCGCACCAAAGGAAATAGTGGACAAACTAAATGCTGATACGGTTTGAGGCTTTTTTTGACTAAAAAATATTACACATCCTTAATAGTTGGTTTGTCTGCAAACTGAATAAATGAAATTGTGTTCTCTGACGCTTGCACAGTGTAGTACCTCAAACTGTTATTTAAAAAACAAATGGCTTTTTATATGGGCCCTTTAATGTCAGACTGTTCCTCGAGAATTTCATGTATAATGAATGCCCCTGTAACGCTTAAAAAAGTGCAGAACATAACCAAATGTCATGCCAACAAATGACTGATCAGAGACTGTAGAACTGTAGAACTGGAAAGAAAATACATGCATTGTAAATTAATTCCAAAGTTAATTACAGAATCAGCATCATTAAAATGTATATCTGCCCATATTTAATAGGCGGATTTACACTACCAGTCAAACAAATAAATAAAAATAAAATAAAGCTGTATGAAAGGCTACTTTCCACAATAATATTAAATAGGAGACAATTTTGATTTGTTCAACACTTTTTGGTCACTATCATTCCATATGAGTTATTTTTTGTCTTCTTCACTGTTACTTAACAAGTGGAAAAGAGTTTATAGTCAAATGCAAATGTTTAAAATTACATGTTTTGTTGATTTTCTAAGTGAAATTATGTACACATCCTCTAAAGGGACCAGACTTAAATATTCAATTTTTCTGCAAATCTTAGAACATAGTTTACATTTATTTTAGTTGAACATATTAGAAAAAAATAAAACTAAAATATAAAATAAAATGCAAAGAACAAAATATAAAATGTGCCATAACTTTTGCACAAGGCACACGTTTTATTTTTTTTCCAATGTGTTAAATTCAATTCAGCAAATTAACAGTAAAATTTAAATATGCAGAATTGTTCTGTGAGGAGGATGTTTTCTTATTTGAAACAAAGCAAACAAAAACCTTTTGCATAGAACTGTGAATAATAAAAATCTTCTATTACTTTTGACTGATAGTGTATAATATAATATAATGCACCCTTAGCCTCAGGCTGTTCATGCAAAATTCATTTGATTACACAACCTCCAAAAGCAGTGGTCTCCAAGCCTACACCTTCAGATCTACAGTTCTGCAGAGTTTAACTTTTAGACTAATCTGCCAACTCTGATCCAGCCCATTACTGCGTTTACTGGCCCTTTATTAGCTGGATTAGGTGTTTAAGATTCAGGCTTGTGGTGGAACCTGCAGGAATGTGGAGGTTTGGTGACCACTGTTCTTAACAACACATTCATACACAGGCACATAACAGACCCCCGATCAATAGCTTGTTTTGAGACTGCGCGCACGTAAGCTGATTTGAAACAGTGACTGTTGTCCTTATAGCGATTAGCAAGATTATAGTTTGCATTCAGTATGAGCGCATATGCTTCATGTGGCTGTGTGTCTGCAACTGTGAGGAAGAAAGGCAAGAGGGAGTATATGTGTGAGCAGGAACAAGTAAGGTGTTAAGCGTGTCTGAGATAGTAAGGGACGATGCGTGCATGTAGAAGACAGCGAGAGGGTGAGTTATAGAACCTGCGTGATTTCTCCTGAAACTGTGAACTTTGCTCCATGGTGTAGCACCTGCGGAGTGGGAGCGACGCCTTGACACTAAACCTTCTAAAAACACACATATAAACATACAACATAAAAAAAAAAGATGTACTCATGCACACATAGGAAATGAAGTGAAAATGAAGTGGAACCAAAAACAGGCCTGCTGACAGCTCTGGACTCTGATTTAGGGCAGTTACAGAGACCTGCTGGTACTGTAAACAGTTTAAAAAGCTTGTGTGGTACCTTCATGGGCATCGCTGTCCTCTGGCGTGTCTGTGGCTGCTGAGGACTGTGGGTCAGGAGACTCTGAGCGAAGGCGGCGCTCAAAGCTAAACTCTGGGAGCCTGGGAGCTTGGGGCCGTGTCTTCCTCGCCGGGTTCATGAAGTAGCAATACCCACATCGAAAGGCTACAGAGCAACATACATACACATATGTTTTTATACAGTGTCAGGACATGCATCACATATGTATTATATACAAAACTCAGTTCCAAAGAAGTTGGCACAATGTGTAAAATGCAAATAAAAACAAAAAGCGATGATCTGTAAATGGAATCAGTATGACAAGATACTTAAAGTCTTACATTATTATTTTTGTAAATATGTGCTTATTATTAAACTGACACCTGCAACATGTTCCAAAAAAAGTCAGGAAAGGCTCTCCACTTTGCCAAAACTTTGATCTCTCAGACGACACTGCACTAAATTCGACATGGCGATGACGATGTTTCTGTGATGAAAGCCATATAACAACATGCAGAAACGCTGCTGACTTCTGTGGGCTCAAGTTCAACTGAAATGGACTGATGCACAGTGGAAACATCTATTGTGGTCTGAGGAATCAACCTTTCAGATTGGTAAAGGAAATAATGGACGTCACGTTCTCTGGGCCATAGAAAAAAAACTGACCATTCAGATTGCTATCAGTGTATATATAAACATAACTATACAATAGCACAATCTGATTGGTAGAGAAGTGTTCTACTCCTGCTATATCAAATTCTGAGCCCACAAAGCAAGCATTACAGTCGGCAACTGTGACAACAGAGCAACTAAACAAACTGGAGTCGGCAAGAAATGAAACAAAATACATTTTGGCTGTGAAATGCTTTACAGATTGTTTGGGCATAAAACAACATTCAAATTAATCAGGCAAATATTAAAAACACTGAGTTGAACCTGATATTTTGACAGTTTTATGGCTCTATCCATTTTACAAAAGGCCAGTATTTTTTTGGCGAAGGATCTGCCGATATTAAAGCACATTTGAAACAATGTTTGTGGATTCTTAGCTTTACCTCTTTCTTTTTGTAGAACTGTTGTACAAAAGCAATAAAATATTTTTAAATTTGTGCATTATTTCATGTAATACTGTGGCTGTGATGATGTACGTTACTCGCCCTCGGCTCATGCCTGTAACCAAATCACAGCCGTGACGTTAAACGATTATACACTTGGTCTCATGTTCTATTGCTTCAGTATCCATATGGTAACTTGTTTTGTTTTGTTTTATTTTTTTTGGCCTAACCTAACTCCAAATCCTTAAATCTAACTCCAAATCCAACAAAAAGATATTGTTTTACCTTTTAAGTTTAAAAAAGGAAACAATTTTTGTAAAAAAAATAAATAAATAATCAGTTAGCCCTGTTTTCTCTCTTCCTACAAAGTGAGGAATTTTTTTTTTTATAAAACCATGCGCAGACACACATACATACACATTCAGTTGATTAAATCTAAATGCACCTCAGAAACAAAATGCTAATGACGCATTAAGATCTTACACAAATATTCAAACTCCTCCTTCAGGGCCATGCCATTGTGAGAGAAACACTGCTGACAGATCAGAGCATATCTGAGAGAGAGAGAGAGAGAGATTTATAATACTGCTTTCACCTGTAATGTAATACTACAGATTATGAGACTAATATAGAAGTAAAATTGTTATTTATAAATTAAACATTTCTTCTGAGAGACTGGTTGTGCAAATATCTATAAAATATTTATAAAAATATAAATGTTTAGAAATGTAGCACCTGTTCTGAGGTCCGTCTCCCACCAGGTACTCTATGACCCTGTCCACTGCACTGCGTTCTCGGGGGAGGATGGGGCGAGCCAGTGGAGGACCTGGGGGGTACATGCCTGGAAGATGATGTCAACAAGATGGATTATTAAACAACAGGACATCGCAATAAACAAAAACACAAACTACAGACACAATTATGGAACCATAACATAATTACAGTATTGTTTGTCTGAGTATGTGCACTGTAGGTAATCCGTAGCGCAGTGTAACGTTTCGACAGTAAGTGGCCTAAGAAGCTTAACTGGCATTAACACTTTGCTCCATTCATCTGAATGGCTCACCACCATTTTCAGAATTTCTCCACAATTCAATGGTTAAAATGTAATTCAGAGTGGTTTGATGTAAAATGTCATTCTACAGAAATTTATCAAGTCAGAACTGTAAAAAGCCTAAGTTCATTAACTTTATTAATGTTAAACTGTAGTATCACCTGAGAGCATGATACTGTAATATGTTTGAAAATACCATGATACTGAATTTTATCAGTAACTGCCTAGCACCAGTGTAACATACAGACAGCTGTTCCGAAAGGAAAAAAGCCAACGTTATTTACATGTTAATTTAATATGTAATAAGTCAAAATGCAGTTTAAATGGAATGAGTGAAATTGAAATCTGACTCATGTACAGATGTATGCACCAGGTTTAAGTGATTAAGTGACCCTTATTAGTCCCACAACGGGGAAATTTCACCTCCGCATTTGACCCATCCGTGCAGTGAAACACCACATACACACTAGTGAGCACGCACACACTAGGGGCAGTGAGCACACTTGCCTGGAGCGGTGGGCAGCCCTATCCGTAGCACCCGGGGAGCAGTTGGGGGTTAGGTGTCTTGCTCAAGGGCACTTCAGTCATGTACTGTCGGCTCGGGGGATCGAACCAGCGACCTTCCGGTCCAGCCCACGACTGCCCCCAGTAAACCCACGCAGACAAGGGGAGAACATGCAAACTCCACACAGAAAGGACCTCGGCGACCAGCTTCGGAATCGAACTCAGGCCCTTCTTACTATGAGGCAACAGTGCTACACACTACGCCACCGTGCACAATTTTCAAAGTCAGAAGACTTTAACACTCCGACCTCAGGGAAGGTTTGTTTATTTAGTTTTTGTTTTGTTTTCACTCCATAGTCTCATGTGCAAACATGTGCATCAGTTTTGTTTCTTGTCATAACACAATACAGACGTATGCACACATGCATGCACACATTTTTTTTATGCATGCACACACATCATGATTAGGTGGAAATTGTTCAGCATTCCATTATGTTTAGCTTGAAATCAAATAAGTTACCACTAACAAAGACTTATTTCTTTAGCCAGCAAAATGAGTTATTTAACTGAAGTTCAGATTAGGAGGGATTTGTTTTACACGGCGTGGGGTGGTAATGTATTTATGAGCATACCAAAGTTTCGAAGTGATTTCAGTCCCCTCCAAATTTGTAACAAGAGTCACTTCACAACCTGGAGTACACTACTGTATAAAATTAAATTAATGAGAGAACCTTAGCAGTTAGCTCATCATTTTCAACTGTAGCTGCAGCATGTGATGTTTGTTTAGTCATGCAGATCTTGATAACATGTTTGCTGATGTGGGAAAGTCGGCCCTAATCTGGCCACACAAAATACATGTTAACGAGTGATGCAAACAGGTGTAAACTCAAAAAATCATGTGTGACAGCTGTTTGTATGCTTTAATGTCTTAGTGTAAGACTTTTGTCTGTATGGCTGAAAATTATGGCATAATTACAGCACGTGTCTGACCTGTTCCAGGTGCTGGCGAATACGGGCTGATGTGCCTGCTCATTTGTGGTGGTGAGTCCATGGCGCTGGCCATTGCCGGGCTGGTTGCTGAAGCAGCGAGGCCCTTCTCAGGAGGGCCCCCAGGTGCTGCACGAAGAGGTGTGGCTCCAGGGGCCATAGGGCGGGGCCCCGGAGTAGCCATGGCAACATGACGTTGTCGTAGATCTGAGAATTAAATAGAGTAACTGTTAAATAATCTTCACATTTTTAACAAAAACAAGCACATACAAACAAACATACATACATATACATACACACACACACACAACTGTAAAAACATTAACACACCTTGTCCTGGCCTGGGAGTCATAATAGGTCGGACAGGAGTAGCTTCTGTTTCCTATTAAAAATGTACAGGGCGTTTATAATGTATGATTCACTCAAACCCTTGGACAAAATGCATTTGTTGCAGTTATGCAATTAAAGGGGAATTCCATCAATTTTTCAAAGTTTCTGCATAGTTCACCCGTTCAGATGTAAAGTCATTCAAAGTGGTTTAAAGTGAAATTCAGTACAGTGAAATTCACTCACTCTGCGTTCTTTACAGTGGTGCTGATAGGAACCAGGGGTCATAACGTCTGCAACAAATATTAACATTTTTTGTACTTTACAAAATGACCAGTGAACTCATGTCTTCTGATTTTTCTTTTTCTGTAATAGTAAAAATGGCAAAATAGTGGTTAATCTGGAAAAAAAGGTTTCTCTTACAACACCCTGCTTTGACTTCTCTGCTATAAATGGGTTTTAAAAAACATTTTAGGCTATAAACATATCAGAAAATTACAGTGAAAGTGTCTCAGTCATTAGGCAACATGCCATTCTGTGTAACAGGTTCTATGATATACAATGCTTTTACAGGCTTTTAATGCTTCTAAAGTGACCGAAACACTGTCAGGTCATCTGGTTACTATCACCCCCCCTGTGAACAACTGTGACTAGTGACTAGTTCCTCTAGAAAGGTGCATTTCACATCAAATTTCTCTGAATGACTGTTTTCCCATCTTAACCATTGTATTATGCACAAGATTTGAAAAATCGGTGGACTTTCCCTTTAAAGGCTTTTAGAATGTTGCCGTGCAAAATGAACACACACCACTTTCTTCTTTGCTTCAGGGTCAAATCTTTCCAGGATTAATTTTGCATTTTTGTAGGTCTCTGTTTCCATCACCTCTTCAAGCTGAAAAGACAAATTTCATTAATCTCATGAAAAATATTTATTTAGATGAACACATCCTACATAACACGGCATGTGTAACACAGATTAACTTCTGATTTATTTTTAATTAATGCAAAAATGTTAGTTAGCACACACATTAGTATAAATATCACTACACAGATAAAAGTTACATAAATGTCAGAATAAATGTTAGTACTTTGTAAAATCAACAACACTTACGATTTTTCTTTTCTCTGACTTTAAATCCTCTAACTTTTCATCTGAAACAGAATACAAACATGCATTTTGTCATGAAGTGCCATAATAAAGCACAGGGCTAACATTTCCAATCACTTTTTTCTAAACAATTATTCATTCAGTGACTCTGAATGTGCCAATAAAAGAATTACTGTAGTGCTCTTCAGCCATTTATGAATTCAGAGATCTGTCCGAATGCTCTTTCAGCAACTGCTGCTGTCAAAGCTTTGGCTAAAAGGCAAGGATCATTATGTCAAAGCTAAGGCATGAGGATGAGCCACAGGCAAAACAGCATATTTGACTTTTGTGACGGATTCTAAACATTCAATCAGGACCAGTATTTTGAGTATTTTATTATGATTTAAATTTAATGAAAAGTTAGTGGAATATATTTTGTATAAAGAAAAAACATTCTTCACACTTTGACACATTTTTGTCCTTTCTTGATCTAAAAACAAACAGAAAAGGGCTGAAGAGCACTCATTAATACAGAATGTGTATCAAATGTGAGCATAATTTGTTATGTAACTGTAACTAATTTTACATAAGCATGAATTTTTAAAGCTACAAGACTGTGTTGTTTAAATTGAAAAAAGTAGCATTACTAAAAACACGCTAAAGTATTCTGTGTGTGCTGCTGCAAGTCACCCTGTAAAGCCTGAAATAATCATCTAAAAGTCAGAGGTGACGAGTCAGATTTCACAGGAGTCTTTCATATCATGTCATGCGACTTTGCGTATTAACATCACAAGCACAGGCTCGAAAAAGAAGGTCTGGTTCGATGTTCAGGTTCCAAATACAAAATCAATTTTATACTGATAAAGATATGATGACAACAGTAGATAATTCACTTACAACCTTTACCAAGTTTAAATTCTCTTCAAGAATAAATTCTCTTTGAATACTCCTTCAGTGTGCTCACAATCGTCAGATTCATCCATTTGGGGAAGGGGTTCGAAGCACAGCCGACATTACAAAATGCACTTTTCGTGCAATTCCACAATTCCACCACAAACGTCTCCAAGTCCCCCAAAACTGACACAGGGTAGCGTTAATATATGTGTTTTTCCATTTACAACTTTCTCAATCCTCAGGGAGAAGAGCTCTCTCATTTTAGAACACACCCTTTCAGCTGATGATCAAGGTCCAATAAAACAGATGGGCATTTTGACTGAACAGACCACAAAGAAGCAACAAAAACTTACTGTTTCTTTCTGTGCGTTTCGAAAACAGGAAGATAAGCAGCTTGCGTACAAACCACACCCTGGAAATAGAGAGAAATTAGTGAAATTACGATCAAAAAAGGTGATAACACAGAAATACGTATGTCTAATACATATGCCAGTGCTGCTGTACCTGTAACATTATTGTACTGTAATTGCCACTGTAAAGTTTGGAACCAATAATATAAAACCAACAACTGTAAAACAAAATTGCCACTGTAAAGTTTGGAATCAATAATATTAAAACAACAACATAAAACCAAATTGTATTTACAATTTTTGGATGCGTCCAGACTGATGAACAGAGCTGTAAATGATTCCATACTTAGAAAGCTGTCCATCATTGAAAATGAAGCCATAATAAAATTAATAATTGAATTAACTTTCAGAATACCACGTACATGATATTCATTAAATATAATTTAAAAACTCCTAATTTTTCACAGGAAAACTTAAAATATTGAAAAATAAAATTAAAAATACCTTTAAATGCCCTGTTTATAGTATTTTAACCTACACTGTGTAAATTATCATTAAATAAATCAACAACTACTATTAATATCACAAGTTAATCAACATTTTAAAGGTAGCAGATATCAAACTGCAACCCCAGAGAACCGCAGTGCAGCATTGTTGGTTAGGACTCAGTTTGCATTCCCCCACATCTGATTTGACTCAGACAAGTGAACAAACCAATGAGCTAATGAACAGGCAGTGCACTAAACTGATCAACGCAGTGGGCCTTCAGAGCTTGAGTTTGATCCATGTGGTCTGTCTGTGTAAATACCAGTGTGAAAATCAAGGAGTGAGAGACTCACAGTGCAGGGAAGGCGATCAGAGGCAGCGCAGTGATGAGCCGGGCACTCCACTGCTCAGGCAGATAAAGGTAATAGACAACCACACAGGTGAGCAGGTAGAGGGTAGCAGAGTAGAAGAGCAGGCGGCCCACCCATAACTTCTGCAGACGCTGGTTCTTCGCACGGAACTCCTCAAGGTCCTTAATTTCCTACAAATACACAATGAAATGTAGCACAGTACTCCACCTGATTAAAGGGGAATTCCACAGATTTTTCATAAGATTTTTCATAAGTTAATCATTAAGATGTAAATAAAGTTTTGGCTGTGTAAGGCTCCAGTTTAGAGAAACCGAGTGAGAATAGTTCAGTGGTGTGTCATTAATCACTCTAAAAGCTACCTGAAAGAAACCCACTACACTGAATAGTTACAAATATAGCACATGATTTATGACAGCTTTGAGATTTTGGCCTAAAATATGTTTAGAACTCAAAGAAATCTATTTTTTTCTGATTTACCACTATTTTACCATTTTTACACATAAAATACAAAAACTCAGAGGGCACCTGTAGGTTCAATGGTTGTTTTGGATAGTAAACAAAATGGCTAGATTTATGTTGTAGAAATCACGACCTCTGGTTCCCATCACCTCCACTGTAAAGAAACCTTTGCCATCATTGTAGAGTTGGTAATGTGCAAGATGTATTACAATGCACCATTTTACATCAAACTACTCTGAATGACTTTGTTTAAATTTATTTAATTGAATTATACAGAATTTTTGAAGAAATCTGTGAAAATCCCCTTTAACACAGTGCTGGAAATTACAGTCAGCACATTCTCTGAGATTGTGACTGCAGTGCATAGCAGCAAAAAAGTCAGAAATATTAATGTAAGCCAGTGTAAAGAAACAAAAAACACCTGCTAGAGAGGCTGAAAGATTAATCACTTTTATATCGAAATCACACTTTGAAAGAATGCAATTTTCAAATCGCAAGAGCTGCAATTTTTAATTATACAATACACCATCACCAAGTTTTAAATGTGGAAAATTGTACCTAATAACACAGAGGGTGTAAACAGCCTGTAGATGAGTTAGATCAAGGGCGTCAAACTCAACCATTAAAAGGGCCGTTTTAAAAAATCTCAACAAATTTGTAGGCCAGCCGTGATTTTTTTTTATTTTTGCTTAACATTTTGGCATGACCCCAACTGGCCATTGTTACAACAGCAAAATAGGCTATGAATACTTCATCAATTCAAAAATAAAAAAAATACAATAAATAAATAAAAACAAATAAGTACAAAAGAAACAGACTACATTAGCTGCAGATAACTGTTAAACCTCTTTAAATGTCCCCAGTGTACTGTAAGTTTTTTAAAACTGCCAATTTGCTTGAACTAGACACCTGGCATCTTTATTTATTTATTTATTTTTAATTTTTGTGGTACTGTCTTGTAGATCGTTGTTGTGGATGGGGTGGGAGCACACATTATGTTGCAGTGCATGCCGGGAACTGTAGTACAGTTCATGGTGAAATGGGCTAATAATAATATAAAATCAAAATAATTTTGTGGGTCAGACAGGATTGTGCCACGGGCCAAGTCAGGGTCTTGTGTTTGACACATGGGAGTTAGACCAATCAGAAGCAACACAACACCCATGTTCTGTATATGTGACATCACAACCATCACAACTAACTGGTAGTCTGATGCACTTAGTGTGCAAGTCTTATGCCTTAAAAAGCAGATATTCTGGTCTTCTTGGTCAAAAAACAGGCCTGGAAATTAATTTATAGAAAATAATTGCATTTAAAATGCAATTGCAGTACTTGTCAGAAAAATCGCAATTAGATCTTTTCCCCAAATCCTTCAGCCCTACTAGAGAGAGAGAGAGAGAAAAGAGCAGGGAAAGCATGAAGTATGGAAAGTAAGACAGACTGAGACATGTTAATAGACATGTCTTATGTAAGTTACAGACATTATAACCCTGTTATAGAAGAGGGCAGGTCAGTAGAGTAGGAATAGTAGTAACCAATGAACACTACCTTATCCAACTCCTCCAGACGTTCCACTGTGGAAGTCTTTGCCTAAAAGAGTAAAATTATTTTAATAACTCAAAAGCAGCAGTATTTCCCACATAGGAAGGACTTGTTCCAAATAATAAATAAAGAATAAAATAAATGGAACTAAGTGCCTACCTTCCACCGTGAAATGATGGCCCCCATAGTGTTTGTTCTCACCTGCACAACAGCAAAACGACAAAATGAGCACATGTGGCAGAGGTGACTGCATAGGTTCATGTCTAATATTCATGTTCATATGCATAATCATAAAAGCCCTTTAGCACTAGGCAGCGCCATCTTGCCAGATCTTACAAAACAGGGCAACACTTCCTCGGCTCATACCTACTGCCCTTATTGACGAGCAGTTAATGGAGGGAGAGGGGGCAAAGATAAAGGACATGGAGGTTTGAATCACTCAGTCAAATGAATGAGTATCCAAATTGAAACACGCCACACAGAGCCAAGCACGTCCGAGGCAAAAATAAACACGAGCAGAAAAACCTTCGGCTGCGTTTTCACGGCCTTCTAAATACACAACCTTACTAAACATCTTGGCCAGCAGCTCAGATCTTTTTTAAGCCAGTCACACGCTGCTAGCTAGCTAGTCACAGGAGACACTGGCAAACAGCCCAGATGTGCTAACGTTAGCTGTACAAATTCTCCCAAACGGCTTCCGGTAACGTTAATACACTAAACAAAATAATTTAAGCACATGTGTGCCTTACTGACTCCGTCCGTAAGGAAATAAACACATAAACATCATTCCTTTACCCGGCAGTAGGAGCACTGCGATGGTACTGTGCCTGAGAGTGAAGTGAGCACATGAGCGCAGGGAGCTGGGTGTTTAGTCTTAGCAGAACCGCCAAAATAAAAGTCCTGTAGCGTTTCAGAAAAATCTCATTTCGCCTGAAACTTAACACCACAAATTCGTCCCAATAAATCAGGCAGACTTGGAGGCTGTTATCGGTGTCACCCCCACTCTTCCCTCTCTCCTCTCTCTTCCCTCGCTCCTCTCTCTCTCTCCGCTAGCCGACGACAGACTACTGCAGCCCGTTTTCATTCGATTCAAAACATTTACATCATTAAGGGGATTGGATTGTTTGATGATACTATGAACTGGTAATAATTTCAGTTTTTATTTATTTTTTTTTCATTTAGTTTTATTTAACTTAATGCTGCTCTTGTTGCATTTTCATTTTGATAAATGCAACAATATATCCGTTTCTTTTAACAATGATATAATAATAATAATAATAATAATAATAATAATAATGCAATGGTACGCAATATTTATTATTAGTATTATTAGTAGTATTTGTAGCAGGAGGAGTAGCAGCAGCAGCAGCAGTTTTAAAAATCATTATAAATGCATTAGGATTATTTAAAAGGATCGTTAGAAAAGTCCTCTCCAAGAAAACCTATAGTCCAGTCTTATTTTTCTACTATCAATATGATCAGCCCAACGTGTAGCAGAATAGAAGAGTACATAAAAAGGCGTAGTATAATAGAAAACAATAGAACATATTATAACAGAATGCAAGAGAAGAGAAGAGAAAAGAAGAGAAGAGAAGAGAAGAGATGAGATGAGAAGAACATAAGAGAATAGAAAAGAAGAGAAGAACATAAGAGGAGAATATAATAGAAGAGAAGAAAGGAGAAGAGAAGAGAAGAGAAGAGAAGAGAAGAGAAGAGAATATGAGAAAGAGAATATGAGAAAAGAGAAAAGAAGAGAAGAGAAGAATTTAAGAGAACAGAAGAAAATAATTCAATTTAATAGAATTTCAGAGAAGAATAGAATTTAATAGAAGGGAAGAATAGAATATAAGAGAAGAGAAAAGAAGAATAGAATTTAAGAAAAGAAAGGAATAGTATGGTAGTAAGAGTAGAAAAGAAAAGAGAAAAGAAGAGAATATGAGAAAAGAGAATTGTAGAGAAGAATATAAGAGAAGCGAAGAATTTAAGAGAACAGAAAAGAAGTGAAGAATGTCATAAAATTTCAGAGAAAAGAAGAATAGAATTTAAGAGAAGAGAAGAGAAGAGAAGAGAAGAGAAGAGTTGAACAGCAAAAATACCAGATATTTCGAGTTAAATGTTGCATCAACTAATTAACATCTAGAATAATCAGCACGTTGCAGTGTTGAATCCTTACAGTGTCGGATTCCCTCTTACAGCATTGGGTTCACTATTAAAATGTTGAATCCACTACAGTGTCAGATTCACCCTTAAAGTGCTCGTATTAGTCAAGGCCCGTCTCTGTGTGAGAGTCCATTCAGAACTGCGGGATTTTACTCTATGTGTGTGTGTGTGAGAGTGTGTGTGTGTGTGTGTGTGTGTGTGTGAGTGTGTGTGTGTGTGTGTGTGAGTGTGTGTGTGTGTGTGTATGTGTGTATGTGTGTCTTTTGTGCAGCAGCAGCAGCTCTAAAGTCTCTCTGCTGTCTGATTTACAGCCGCGGCAGTAAAAGCGCTTTACGAGGCTCGCGCTCCCGCCATTGGCCGCGCGGAGAACCGGGGCCCAACACACCCACACACACACACACAGACACACACACACATACACAGACACACAGAGGGAGACACACTGCTCCTAACAACGGATTTAGAGCAGCGTCTCGCGGTGAGTGGAAAATAATAATATTTAAAAATAAATATTATTGTTATTGCTATTATAATTAAAATCATAACAATCCACCAGAGAAATAATTATGATTAATTTTGATCAGAACGCTTTTAGTAAAATCTCTTGCTTTTAGATTTCAAGTTTAATATTTTTAGGTTGTGTTTCTTTGTGTAATAATAACAGGGCGCGTCGTTTTCACTATGAGTGTAAAAATGAAAGTGCGTCTTTTTGTTCGAGCCTTTTTATTCCTTTCAATCCGGCTCAATTTAATTTACATTTAATTTAAATTTAAATTCTGAATTTAAATACGTCACATTAAAAGAGTGCAGAGTACTGTATCTCACTCAGGGGTGAGTTCATCAGATTAATGAATGTAATGAGTGTATTTTTGTGTTTTATCTTCTTAAAGGAGAAGGCTGATTTAAACAAAAGCCAGAGGAGGAGAGGAGCTTCACCCGTTTTATTACTTTACTGCATTGCGGAGAGGGAGAGAGAGAGAGAGAGAGAGAGAGAGAGAGAGAGAGAGAGAGAGAGAGGGAGTGTGTGTGTGTGTGTGTGAGAGAGAGAGAGATAGAGAGAGAGAGAGAGAGGGAGAGAGAGGGGAAAGGGGGGTTTCAAATTCTTACATTAAAATTATTTAGAACATTTAAAACAGACTCAGTTCTGACAGTTTGGTGATATTTTGTATATTTCAGTGTTTCAGGATCGAATGGACTCGAATACGAATATTAGAAATTAGAAAAGTACATTTACCCTCGACTAATGGAATTAAAAGCTGAAAAGCATCTTATAATAATAATATAAAGTTAATAACTGCGGCTTTCCTGGCGACGCTGGTGAGATATTTCAGATCATCTGTGCAGATCGACTCGTTTAGCATCGGATCACTGATTTCTTTAATCACATCTTCGCTTTTGTTAAACAGATTTCGAGAAAATGTTTTAAATGGTTTATTATTACTGCAGTAATAATATAATATGTTGTAGGCTAAAAATAACAGGAGAGACGCGCGAGACTGTGGAAAATTCCTAGGCTGTGAGTTGCTTTGTCCTAATTTTATTGCATTAATTCATTTCTGAATGTGCTTGTTGGCGTCAGCGCTGGCCATTCAGATCAAACACATCTGTCTGTTTATGTATTTATTTGTCTAATGATGTTGGATAAGTGAGTGTGAGCTCTGTCTCGTTGTCTATATATACCCTGTAGAACCGAATGTGTGTTGGCGCTGTGCAGTCACACACTCGGTTTTAGGGGAGTATATGGGCGACGCAAAAGCCTCGAGCAAACTGCACCCTTCAACATGCAGCCCTCACAGTCAATTCAGTTCAGTTACTAGTACGATCACTATTCACAAAACAGCTGTTAAAAGAATTTATCATTATGATCAATACTGTCTGAGGCGCTGCACATTAGAATAGAATAGAATAGAATAGAATAGAATGTAGAATAATGTGAGATAACAACAGAATAAAAATAGAATGTAGTATAATATAGGCTATTGAATAAAATAGAATATAACATAAGGTAGTATAATGTAGGGTTATAGAATTGAATAGAAAAGAATAGAATGTGGTATAGTGTAGGCTATTGAATAGAATAGAATAGAATAGAATAGAATAGAATAGAATGTAGACTAATAGAATAGAATAGAATAGTGTAGAATAGACTAGAATAGAATGCAGTTCAATGTAATGTAAAGAAATAGAATGTAATAAAGAATGAAATGTAGTAGAATGGAACAGAAGAATATACAATAGAATAAAATGTAGTATAATGTAATAGACAATGTTGCCCTTGTACACTGTTTAGCCTGTGTGAATTGCTTTTGTGCTTTTCGCTAATATTCGGTCTTTTTCAGAAAGCCGCTCACCACACAGCTCCACCTCTGAGAGAGAGACAGAAAGACAGGCAGAGAGAGAGACAGAAAGACAGGCAGAGAGAGAGAGAGAGAGAGAGAGAGAGAGGGAGGGAGAGAGAGAGAGAGACCTAAGGGACACACTGTTGGACCCGGGCTCTAATTTACGTTACTCTTTATTTTACAGTGTTTGGACATATTTACTATATTCATTTTGGTTTTGTACTGATGTGTGAAATGATTTTGATCTTTAATAAAGAAGCGAATGCAAAAATGTTTTATGAGACTTGTATGAGTTCTTGCAATTTTTTGTGTCTGAAATTAACCTTTATACTGATCCACATACTGACGACAAATCGTTTATCATTTCACTTTCCATCAAAACAGTTTCGTTTGCACGTGTCTCGTTTTATAAAACCAACAGTGATTTGGAAAGTATAGAATCAGTGTGTTAAACGAGGTTTTATCTTTCACCAGAGGCTGATCGTACCTTTCTCTTAAAAGGATGGTTCTTCAGATGGTTCTATATAGAACCATGAACACTCAGAGAACCATTTCATGCTTCAGTGGTTCTTTGCATGGTGAAAAGGTTGGCTAGCTATATGGTTCAATATAACGCCAGAAAGGGTTCTTCTATTGTTACGATGTCAAGCTTGTAACAACAGAAGAACCCTTTTGGTGCTCTACAGAAACATTTTCAAAAAGGTTCTATATAGAACCATATACAACACACCCACCAGTCTGAAGAACCACCATGTAAACAGCCATTTAAGTATACAAAGGATTATTTGAGTGTCCATGGTTCTATATAGAAACACTGTCTGTACTAAAGAACCTTTGAAGAATCACCTATTTTGAGAGAGCAAAAAGCTCTTGAAAGCATTCACCCCAAACAACCACAACACAGTGGATGAACACTGAAATAGTGACATTACAGTGACACATCTCGGGATCACGCAACAGGATTTCGCACTTAGCGTTTAATGCTTCATGGTCTGATAAGATCAGTGTAGCCGGGCCAGTTTGGAGGAACTAGAAACATAATAATCCATAAACTAATTATATAACATAATAAACTGAAAAATACAAAGAAATAACATTAAAGTCCCAATAAATCCTCAGATTTTAGAGCTGAATCCGCTCTGCAGCGGAATTTGAACTAACGGTTTTGAGCCGGCCGCGTTCTGACTGGCGCTCGAGCATGATTTGCATATTTCCATGGAAACGGATCAGTCCACTGAGCAGTGTGGAGGGGAGCCGAACAGAAGAGTGCGCTCTGCCCTTACGACACGGCAAAGAAAGACTGAACTGGAGATGAAAAATAGTCGATATTTCATTATTAATTCAAAATTAACTCAGAACACATTTCTCTAGCATACTATAGGCAAAAGATTAATGCTCAATAAATATAGGCAGTCAGCCAGACACCTGTAACCGACAACGCTAGTATGTTCCTGTAGGGTGATTTGTTTTATAATTTTATAATCTAGCTAACATTTGGCCTCATTCATCAATATCTTCCTTAGTCGTTTCTTAAATGTGTTCTTGAGAAAGGTCCTAAGAAAAAGTCTACGTCAGATTCATGACGTGTTCTTAAACCGCAACATTGTTCGCACCTTTGTGCTCTTGAGTGTGTAGATTCTGTTCTTACCTAAGAATAAATCTCAAATGAGAAAACATTGGTGAACGTCAGAATCTTAATGAAACCTGTGTAAGTGGGTTTAAGAACAAATTTCTTCTTAGGAACAGTCGGTGAATGAGGCCCTTTGGTATTATTAGCCTATCGGTAATACAATATTACCCTGTTCTATGGGACTGCCAGTATTATTGAACACCAAAGTCTGGCACCAACGCTGTAGACCTGCTTTTTCATTAGCATAATAAAAACAAAACACAATTAGGCTAACATTAAAAAAGCATGGGGGACATGCAGACATGCAGAATTTATACCATACAGGTACATTATTACAATTTAGCACAGTTTACTAATATCAGGATTGAGTGTGTTTCATGTTTTAGAAGCCTTGCTATTTACAGGCAAGTTGTATAATGAGTACTTAAAACAAAAACGTCTTAATTTAGGTTTATTCTGCAACAACCTGAAAAATCGCTCTTTATTACAAATAAAATAGACAAAATCTAAAAAGACGTGTTCTCTATTAAATTAAATTATTAAAGCTTTGCATTGAGTAACATAGATCATATCCATATATGATCATTATTATTATTATTATTATTATTATTATTATTATTAATTTAGCTTTTTATTTCATTTTATTTATCTCACTTCGAATTTTATTTTACGTTATTTATGTGTGGATGTATGTATTATTCTCCATTTGAATTATTTCAACGTAAATATATATTTAATTCTTTCAAGATGTAACCGGGGCTGTACATTTACCCTGTACATGACTGTTTAAATAAAACATATATTAAAAAGGTTCTGTTTAGAATTTAGAGATCTGATTATAATAACCATTATACTAATGTAAGCACCAGCTTTTGTATAGTTCATTTGATAAGCTATTCCTTGTGTAAAACAGTATTGCGATTCTGATTTCAATTCTGATTTAATTGCTAAGCTGATGGCAACCCCAGGAAAATAATAGGACTTTTATTATAACGTCAGAAGCGGGCACATATGATTGGACGAAAGGCCGGAAACGCTACCCAGTGTCTCGTCCCGAAGCTTCTTCGCTTTGCCCTTGTGTATAAAATTAATGTGTTTTTGTAAAAAGGATTTTTCTTGATTTCCTTTTCTTGTGTTGAGCCTTTGTTGTGCGTCGCCATGTCTCTCGCTGCAGAGGCTTTCGTCTCTCAGATGGCAGGTCTGTGTTCTGATGCCAACATGAAGGGAGGCTGAAAAACTGCAGAGAGCCAGATAGCTAACTCAACTAGCTAACCTAGCTAACGTTAGCCTGTCAGTGCACCTGAATCATCAGTCTTTCCATTGCCTTTTTCTGTTTCTCGTGACTTTACTAACAGCAGCTTTCTTTATTTCAAATGTAATTTTTTGCCCGGCGGCGTAGTTAATTCTGTCAGGGTTAAATTAGCTTCAGAGGTGAACAGTAATGAGTGCCATGTCCTCTGTTACCTGCAGTCAAGCACAGTTTTGATGTATTTGTGTTTTCACTTGTTTTCACTTTCATTTGTGTTTTCACTTATTTTACTTGAGGATGCTTGCAAACTTCTTGACCTACCTCTGGTTAGCTTGCCAGTCTTATTATGAATCCTAACTGGCAAGATAAAGCTGATATTCTACATTGTTCCCAGCTGAGTTCACACCCATGCATACTTATTTAATGCTAGTTGGATGTCCACTAGCTTCTGTTCTGTCACTCGTGCAGTCTTTATGTGTTACTGAGTGTTAATAGAAAGGTCAAATCAAGAGGAATCGCTAAATATACAGAAGATGTGGGGGAATGTTGAATATGTAATCTTCAATCTTGTGGGTGCTGTATTTATGATGTGAAATCTTTTTTTCACAGCTGCTGAGCCGTGGCCTGAAAATGCCACACTATATCAGCCTTTGAGAGGTAAGTCATGCACTAATGTTAGACACTGATCCAATGTTTGGTTTATAAAACTGTACAAAACGAACCACCATCTCTTTGTTTTTTTTTCCAGAGGATCAAATCCTCTTGTCTGATTGTGCATCCTCCTTGGCAGTTCAGGTGAGTGGAAAAGAGTCAGACCCTGTTATGTTATGAACTGCTGTAGAGCTGTTTTTTTTGAGCCAGTAAAGGCTGCTGGTCAAGTAGCAAAATGTTTCTCTGTCTCTCAGGCATACCTTAGGATGTGTGGTCTGCCAGTGCGAGTGTGTTGCCGTGCCAATGCTGAGTACATGTCACCATCAGGTAACGCAGCTGTCATGTTTTTCAAGTTTGTTTTCAGTGAATGAGTTAATTGAAGTGTATGTCGGTTATGCAATAGCTGTAATATTTGTTCATTAAGAACAGTGTTTGTTTGTGAAGAGCACTCTTGTGCAGTCAGTGTAAGTGCTTAGATGGACTATGCCTTAATATCTACCATTTCTCTGTCTTAATCGTTTCTGTTTTAGGGAAAGTTCCTTTCATCCATGTCAGTAATCAAGTTGTCTCAGAGCTGGGACCAATAGTGCAGTTCACAAAGGCAAAGGTATGACCGTGTTCATTTAAAAAACCCAATAAATACAGTATTGTGCAAAAATGAGAAACCACCCATTCATTTATGTAAGTTCCATGTAAAACACTAAGTAAAAATAATGTTATTGATTGTTAATGTCAGGAAAAAAAACAAAGCATTTAACATCTTAAAACTTATATAGTTTGCAGTGAAAGAAACAGAGGCCACAACAGCTGAATATAATATCAACACTTTGCCTTTATCACAGCTTTCAGTTTTTAAAGAAATCTTCAAGATTGTGTTTTTTTTTTTTTTTTTTTCCCCCCCATGCTTCTTGTAAAAACTTCCAAAGTTCACTCTTAGATGTTGGCTGTGCTGGGGTCTGGGGTGGCCTGTCCATTTTTCTGAGAACACCAGCAGCTTCCTTGTTTAAAAAGTGCATTGTGCATTGTGCTTGAGGTCGTTGTCTTGCTGTCAAACATTTTGAGTTATGATGTATTTAGATTTCTTTGTACCTTTAAGCATCCGTGATGCAAAAAACACAACTCACTGTGTTGTTATTCATCACCAAACTTGCACTGATCCTCCACCATGCTTGACTGATGGTTGTAGACGTGGTTCATCGCTCTGAGAGCATATGTACTGCCTTCTCTTAATTCTAAAGATCTCAAGTTTAGACTCATCAGTCTATAACACCTTAGTCTAAATCTCAGATGTCCAGTTTCAGTGTTCTTGTGCATTTTTTCTTATTTTGTGTCTTTAGCGGCTCATTGACAGCTATGCGTTCTTACAGACTCATAACATTGAGTTTTCTTCCCTTATATGTTTCTCCTGAAAATTTAATAAACAAAAGGCTGATCGCTGACTAGTACTGCACAAATATACAAATGAATATAAATGTTCATGCATTGTTAGTAATAATCACAATAAACTGTTCTTTCTCCAAGCAATGCCATTTGTTAATAGTAGGCTATGGTGAAAAATTATTCTTTAAATTGCAGATTGTTTTTTAATAATTACTGCATTAACTCAATTCTATTGATGTATGCATTCAAATGTGTATACTGAGGATTTTACAACAGCTTTAAGAATTCAGAAACAGTGCATCCGTTTTTATAATATCTCTTCCCCCTCCCCTCCCCTCCCCATTTCTGTAGGGCCACTCTTTGAGTGATGGCTTGGATGATGTTCAGAGAGCAGAAATGAAGGCCTATATGGAGCTGGTCAACAACATGTTACTCACAGCAGAGGTACAAGCCAGTGTATTTACCAATACTGTTAATTACATTGCAGGTTTAATGTGCTTTAGTCATGTTGGTTGAGGATCTGTCCTGTAGATAAAAATATTGCTGTTTTAATTTGAATAACACTTTTAAGGTTACGTTGTGTGTTTACTTCTTTCTCTCAAGCTGTATATTCAATGGTGTGATGATACCACGGCATCAGAGGTATGTTATTCTCAAACTCATGTGTACATGCACATTAAAGGCTATATAGATGAGCATGCACACATTAGCATTTGTAGAAATGAATGTTTGAATTTGAAAAATCATTGAAAAGAATTAAAAAGTCATTATCATTCCATTACATAATTAATATTTTTACACATCATCACAAACAACTCTGTGTTTGTATTTTTTTTAGATCACAAGGCCACGCTACAGTAGTCCATATTCTTGGCCTCTTAATCACATCCTGGCTTATCAGAAGCAGTGGGAGGTCCGTCGGAAAATGAACGCTATTGGCTGGGCAGGGAAGACTCTTGAACAGGTATGTCTCTACACCTGTTTCAGTACTCATTTTAACATGCCCTCATCAACTTGGCCTCGCCAGTTCCCCTTTTGGAAATTACTGACACCATATTAGAGGCTATTTGATTACTTAACTTGCTCCAGTGAAGTTTGGTGGGACGGGAGACAGAGTTAAGTGTCCACTTCAGCAGCTGAATTTGCCCAGAAATCATCACAGTCTGACACAAGTGCCTGTCAGACACCAAAGAAACTGAGGACAAGTGGCCCTGGGTACAGCACATTGACTGGAGATTGTGAGTTCAGTCCCTGGATTGTGATGCCAAGTAATAAGGTGAATTTCGATCACTGTAGTAGTTCCCTGCAAAGTGGACTGCACAGGGCATTCAGACATTTTAAGGGTGATTCCAAACCATAGGGAGTGAAAATGTTCCATTGAAAGGGATCTTGAAACTGCACAGGCAGTAGTGAACAACAATTCACTCTAGATAGCCTGCCAGTTTGATCAGTTGATCACTTATTGAATGTCTCTATGTTGCTTTGTGTTTGATTATGACACAGCATGATGTTTCAAATGGAGGTCATTATTTATCACCTGCAGTTCCATTAACCAGCATTCCGTGTGTAGGGAATATAATAGTACTGCTTAGGGACCCTGTGGAATGGAATGCAGCTCAAGAGAGCATAATTGGCCTTTCTGGGTATCCCATTACTCAGTGCGATGCAAGCTTGGGGGTTTCCCAACCTTTTTGTTTTTTTACAGCATAGGGTTTGGTTTCACAGTACAGGGTTTGTTGGTGATGTGGAAATGATGCCACAGCACATGATTAGTCTGTGCAGGATCACCAGCCATACCACACTAAATCCCCTATTATGTACATGATTCTGTGGTGGTAGGCAACAAAAACCAGGTGAAACTGTACTTCGAGTGGGCTGCTGCACTGGTTGCTGCACACGGCCAGTATAAAAGGTTACCTGGATAAACATAGAGGGGTTTGCAGGCATCACTTTGTACTGGTTGCATTTTAGAAATGTGTTGTATGTCATGAGAGGATAAATCAGCATTCCTAAATTGGTAGATATTTGGTGATTTGCATTGAATGGGGCTTTCCTGGTGATTCTCTCCTGAATGTGTGGCTTCTTTAGGCATACCTACTGTAGATCACTCACCCAGCGTTTTCCTTAGCTGTCTTTTCTGCCCCCTGGATGTTGGCGAGGCTATGTTGAAAAAAATTGAAACTCTGTGTAGGCCTATGTGTAGATGTGTTGTGTTGAAAGACTGTGTGTGTTTGTGTTTTCTGTTCTCTCAGGTGTATGAGGATGTTAGTCAGTGTTGTCAGGCTCTCTCCCAGCGACTTGGTACCCAGCCCTACTTCTTCAATAAGCAGTAAGTGATAAATACACTCAGGCTGACACATCATTATGAGCAAATACAGTTCTGGAGGGTCAGACTGCAGCACAGTGATTTCCCTGCCTCCATTCATGGCGCTATGATTGGCCTAGATCCACTTTTATCATTGGCCCCCCAAAATGACTGCTTATTGCATTTAGGATGCTATTTTCAAAAACACAATTCATTTTTGTAAACAAAACCAGCTCAGACTCAGAGCTCCTAATATGGGCATGACGGCAATTGCAAAATAACGTCACAACTTTAGACGTCTCTATTTCTCCTTCTGCAAGAGTGAAAGGTTCGAACTACCTGGAAATTTGTCATTCCCTCCCAGAATGGCAGTTCTGGTGCCATATTGCCTGGCTTATTTAGCAAATGAGTTCAAATTTTGGTGAGTTTGAACAGGGAAATAAGTGCTGTCAACTGTGCTGATTTGTCTCCCTCAAGGATGGGAGTTGAGTGCCTGTGAACTAATATAACACGTATATACACAATGCATATCACTCCATGATTTTTAATGCATGAATTCTTAAATTGCTTGAAGGCCAACCGAGCTGGATGCCCTGGTATTTGGTCATCTGTTCACAATCCTGACAACACGCCTGACCAGTGATGAACTCAGTGAGAAGATCAAGTCCTACAGCAACCTTCTATCCTTCTGCCGACGAATCGAACAGACTTATTTTGAAGAGCAGGACAGAGATAGCCAATCAGGAGCCTCACAACTCTCAAAAGGCCCCTCCCTTATTTGAGGCACTGCCGCCGTGTCTGGGTAACGTCCCTCTCTCCACTGTTGTAATGTGAGAAAAAGGTGCGGTGGTGAAAACAAGCTGATCCTGTGGCATCATATCAGAATGAATGGCTTGATCATCATTGTACAGAGTTAGTGTGTGTATATATATAAAACCCGCTCAGATCAGTGGACGGAAGGAGGTGGCTAGATCATTAAGACACAGTCAGCGTTCCACAATATTCCAGCACTCTTCCAACTGTCCTTTTGCCTGCTCGCAATGCCATATAAAGAAGTCTGCCTGTTGACATAGTGTAGAAGCTGAGATGTTCATCAGGAGTATTTCTTTTTCACTGCAGTGATTTCTAGTATAATTTGATGTACATGGAAGTGCCTACAAGGAAAAATAAACTCCACCAAAAAGTCTCTACTGTATTTGTCATTTCTGTTAGGTATTATATCTGAACAATAATTGCCAAAAAGGTCTGTTGTCCATATAGTACTGTGCACAAGTCAGAGACCCTTGATTTATTTCCTTTCCAGTTAAAATGACCATTAAGGACAAGTTATATATTTTTCTGGAGATGTTTCTCAGGCGATTAGATATAATATAATCCACTGGCATAAGGAAAGGGAATGTCAAAGGAAAATTGGAGGTCAAAGATTATTAAAAGAAATATATATTTTATATTATTACTTGTAATAAGTATAAAAGATGTTGTAGACCACCAAATTTTCAAGTGTTGGGCTTAGGCTATCTGACAATTAACAACACTTTATTTACAGACGTACAGATTAGGTGCAGGTTTGGACAGTCAGACTAAATTACGCTGCCCACTGCAAATCCATTTAATTCTAGATGGGTTTAATCTGGGCCTGGAAACAAACCTGGCTGTAGAAATGGTAGCTATGTTGAGCGTCCAGTAGAGGGCAGATTTTTCTTCTGCAGTGCTTTCCTACTTGAGAGACAACTAGTCCTGTTTGAACTTTTGTTTATGAACAAAAGTACAACCTTTTGGCTTTGAGCTGTAGTTAAGGTTGTAACACTGAATGTTGAACTGCTGGTTTAGATGTAAAGGACCTAAAGGTAAACCTAGCTTTAGCTTTCAGAGTCTGATACTTATTGACAGAACAAGCTCCATGTTTGCCTTGTAGCTGTTGGGCCTGCCTGAGCAACTTTTCTGGTTGTATAAAAGAAAAACACATTTATTGCATTTTGACAAAGTCCTGTTCACATGGTCATCTTTGCAATGCTACTGGACAGATACTTTCAGTCATACAAGGCCGGACTCCTATCTCTTTGAATGGGGAGAGAACAAAATACTCAAAACCAAGGTGAGAAATACTGGGTGTCATAGTGGGGTCCAGGACCTCCTAATTAACCTTTTGTCCCCCTGAATGTCTCAAAGTCAAAATTATGGGGGTTCCTGAAAATAAACCTGACATTGTGCTGCCTGTTGAGATAAAACAGTCACTTAAATACAAATTCAGGGGAAGGTTGTTTAGCTGCTTCACGTACAATCCGCAAGCTTCTGCCTTTGATATTCCTAACTAGCTGACTGGTTCGCCCAGTTGGTCTTTCATAGCCTAGCAACTGTATGGCTGGGATATCTCAAAAAACTTTACAGTGTGTCGTAGCATATATTTAAATCTGAAAATGTGCTTGATTTCCCAAGAGTTTGGTGGAAAGAGTGATTTGATATTTATTTCACAAACCAAAGACACAAAAGGAGATGTGTAAGATCTCAATTAATGTGGAAGAGCACATTACCAAACTAGAAAGAACATTTTCAAAAGCTAAATTGTCAGACCAAACATCAACGTTGATGTGGCAAGAGAGTTAGCAGCCAGCCAACATGGGACCCACCGAATACCCAGGGGGCATTTCACACGCTGCTCAAAACTGAAGGCCAAATTACTGTTTCAAAAACATATGTGGAATCACTTATAATCTGAATGGTTTGTAGCGTTCGGCTCATTAGCACACAAAAAATGAGTTCAGGTTGTTCTGGCTACCGCACTGCACAATTCTCCACAACAAGGGGGGCTTTTCCTGCTCATGGCGTAACTGGCAAGCTGCTCTTTTTCTAGAAGGCCAGGACTTTCTCCATAAACAGCCATCAACTATGTTAAGCATTAAGAGCTTCCTTATTCATATTTTAACCAGTGGCCTGTCTTCTCCTTTATAATGTCTCTGATGTAGCCAAGCACTGCTGAACTGGCTCTCATTTAATCTATCCTGTTAAATTTGTAATTCAAAGTTTAACGATGATATGCTGTAGACATCACTAGAGATTTATGGATAGAGGGCTAAGCTTTTACTGCTGTTTACTAGAGGGCCATTTCCCAATATAAATAAAATATGGCCCCTAAACATGTTTGTCATGAATTTGTCATAGGTAGTAGTAGAAATAAAATCGATCGAAAATATGTCTTTTTGATCAAGTTGGCACTTAGCAGATCTGTCTCTTCATAGTTTGTATTTGACACTCCTTCAAAGTTCAGTCTTAGAAGTTGGCTACATTTTCTGCTTCTCACAATTCAAGTCATCTCAAACACATTCAGTGATGTTGAGGTCTGGACGTTGGGGTGACCTGTCCAGTGTTCTGAGAACACCAGGAGCTTCTTTGTTTGTGTTTTCTTTTTTGTCTGTTTCCTTTTCTCAGTAAGGTCTTCTTGACAGCTACACATCTTTTCAGACTCATAGTGTTGAGTGTCTTCTCACAGTGGAAGGATGGACAGAAATATGGAAGCAAGAGTGGAGCTTTCTCCTATCTCTCGTATTTTAAATTCAGATTTACAGGCAGTCAGGTCTTCTCAAGTGATCAATCAGTTCAATTTTTTTCTTTGAACTTGATTGGCATTAGTGGAGCTGCAGCCTCCTGTGAAAGGCATTTCGTATCCATCTACAGGTTGGGGGCATAAAATTCATTCATTCATCAGCATTATGTGATCTTTTCAGTGATATTAACTCCCTGTAACTAGAGAAAAGCACTCCTAAACCGGGCCCTGTATTGAGATGTAAATGATTTATGAACATGTTTAGCTGCTTTAATTCCTCTCAGACCCTCAAAGCTCAAAATAAGTCCACTCAATGATGTCACATTCTCATTTTTTATTATGTTAAAAATCTTAACAATGTGAGAACACATGAATCAACAGCAATATTCTGAATGTGTTGAACATTTATAAGTGCTGCAAGGTTATGAGACAAGATCTACTGAAGGAGAACCAAGATGAGGGAAAACCTCAAACACTATGTTTCCTTTACTTAAAAAGCCACAGAAAAAAATCTGAAAAAGCATAAAGCTCTCTTTTAAACTGCTGAAGAGCTTTTTCCAACATCCTCCTGCAGGAGAAAAGGTTGACCAGGTAAAGAGAGAGCAATGTAAGGTGTGTAGAGTCAGCCTATATCACTCCCTCTGACCCCCCCGCCCCACCCCCCCAAATACTGGCTCAGTTCCACACTAGGCCACACCCTTCAGCTACATGCTGTTATGATATATGCAGTTGTAAAGCACATTCTTTGTCTCTGTGTATTTAAGTGGGTGTGTTCGTGTAAGTTATTGCATGTTTTTATCTGCCACTGTGTGGAGAGAGGGAGCATGCACATTGTTTGTTTATGCACACTGTTCGTGAGAAAGAGATGTGTAATCCTTCTCATACAAGAAGGTGCTTGTACCCTCCTACACTACAGTACCGGGTGAAAGTCAGAGACCCCCCTTCATTCATTTCATTTACAGTCAAAACAGCAAGTAAGTACAAGTTATTCATTTTTAAGAATCAGGAGGAAAGCAGAATGACATATTGATATGTGAAACCTGCACAGAAAAACAAATATAATACACTTCCATTCTTTTTAGGAGACTTGCTTTTTCAAAGAAATCTGCATTTCTACATTTTTTCACTCCTCCAAAGTTCAGTCTTAGAAGTTAGTTGCATTTTCTGCTTCTCACGATGCAATTCATTCCAAACACATTCAGTAATGTTCAGGTCTGGACTCTGGGAAGGTCAGTCCATTGTTCTGAGAACAACAGCAGCTTCTTTGTTTCATTTGCAATTTTTTTCTTTCTCAGTAAAGGCATCTTGAAAGGTACAAATTCTTTTATGATGGACAAAAACATGAAGATTTATCTATTAAAAATTTTTTGGACTACAATTTTGGAAACTTCTTTTTGCCATTTTTACTCAATATAATATGCTATTATAGTTTTAAGGTGATTTTGCATCAGGTAAGTTTGGTGTGGCAATAGGTAGGTATATGCATGTGCATGAATATAGGTTCTACTATCTGCGTTGTCTGTAGCGTGTAGGTTTGCATGTCCATATTATCTTGAGTGATTGTACAGGTCCATGTTTGTTTCATCATGTGTGGGATATGTGGCAGTACATAGGTTCTCCCATTAGTGCGGAACTGTAACATCTATTTTAGGCATGTCCTGATCCTATCTGACCAGCAGCCTAAGCAGGATCTTATGGGCCCAAGTGCATCAACACTTCCATCCAAAAATTACATTCAAAACAATACAGTGAAATTGCAATGTCTCAACCAAAGTATTTAACTGGAAGCTAATACCTGATTTATCTATGTTTACTAGTCCGGACCACGCCTTTAACATACAGCACTGTGCAAAAGTCAGAGGCTGCCCTTCATTTATTTAATCTCCAGCCATTAAGTTCAAGTTATTCATTCTTCAAGAGATATTTCTTAAGAGATTAGATGTTTTCACATGCATAAGAGGAAACTGAAAGGAAAATCAGTGAGTTTCCAAAACTGGAATTACAACATTAATAAATATACAGAACCACCATGCAAGACCTGGTAGACCATCAAAACTGTCACCAACAGATAAACAGTACTTCAAGCTTTATCTTTGAGAGATAATCAGTTCAGACCTCAACATCATGGATCATATGAAGCAGAAAATTCAACCAACTTCTAATACTGAACTTCGGAGGTGTGGTAAAATTTCCCTCCAGATTTCTTTAAGCACTGTTTTTCTGATGGTAACAGTTTTGGTGGTCTCCCGGGTTTTGCACAGTTGTTATGAGTCTCATTTTCTCTACATCATTTAATCTTGTTTTTCATTTCGCATTTTTTCCCACTTATTTTCCTTTCACATACCCCTTTCTTAATGCAAGCGGATTATGATATATGTAATGTCCTCAGTAATATCTCTTGAAAAATGAATAACTTACACTTAATGGCCTTGTGACTAGAAAGTGAATAAATGAGTGGTGGTCTCTGACTTTCGCACAGCACTGTAAGTGTGCGGCACTGAAAATTTTTGAGGGCCCCTAAGCAAACTGCTTTCAGCGCTCATAGCTAGACATAGCCCTGTTCATTAAGTTATGCACTTTTCCCATTAGTGCTGTACTGTAGCGTGAATTCACACGCATTTCTTCATGTATGTTACATGGCAGCAGACAGGTCCTCCCATTCGTGCGTTACTGTAGCATGTACTCATGTGCGTTTCTTCACGTGTGGTGTACCGGGCAGCAGGAAGACTCGTCCATCAGTGCTGTACTGCAACGTATATTCTTTGGGGCTGTAAGGAGTTCCATGCTCATCCCTCAGCTTAGAGAACACCTCGTCGTACAGCTTACTGAGTTTTTCTCTGGTCTCACACAGAGCTGCGGCATTCCTCTCTCTCTCCCTTAGCCTTTGTTGGCTCTCCTCTCTGAGCGCCTCCACTTCAGCCTGCAGGTCCACCAGGCTGTCCAGCTTCCTTTTGCGGCAGCTTTGGGCAGCTATCTTGTTCTTGCCACGCCTGCGGATGTCCCTCATGAGGCTGAGCTGACTTTCGCTGAGCTTGTAAGTGCTGATGGCCTCGTTAAAGGTGTCCACCGACATGCTGGTGATGTCTTTCACACTAAGTGGAAGGTTTAAGGTTTGAGCGCGCTGTTCATCGCGGCATACGCTCCAGCTGCAGTGACCCTGTTGTGACTGGAGGGCTGTTTCAGATGAGGGACTCATGTGAATGACCTCAGTTGAATGCTCAGATTGGTCAGAAACTGTTTCTGGGTGTGAATCGTCCTGTGTTGACTGTTGTGGATCAATTTCTGTTTCAGATGATGGAAAAAGTGGAGGCTGCAGATCCACCGCTTCGGATAGGAGAGGCACATCCAGCAGCTCTGTGTGATCTGACTGGACAAAGATACTATCCTCCGATAGGCTGGTGCTAAACGGGTCCTCTCCATATAGGGACATGTCTAGATCTACGGGCTCTCTGGAGCTTTCAAGGCTGAACAATGTCATATCGTCCATGACATATGAGGAGTCCTTTGGTATAAGCTCACGCTGACATAGCGAATGTTCAGGTGCTGTTGTGTTTGCATGCTCTGGGTACAATTCTGTTTGTATGTGCAAACAATTCTGATTGTGTGTGAGCTCACATTCTCCTAAACTCATCTGGTTTAGGTTGTCAGGTGGACTTGCTCTCATAATTGTGTCTAGGAAGGATTCTGTGAGATCCTCTGGTTCACAAAAGGTTTGTTCGAGTTCAGTTGATTCTGGAAGAATTTGTTCTAATGGCGGAGATTCTTCACTGGTATCAGAAATTGTGCATGTGTAGGTTTGGATCATCTCAGCAGGGCCAGAGTGCACATTTACGAGTGGATGAGGGCCAGAAACCATGGCTGTTTCCGTGTTCTCCTCCAGCAGCTCACATGGACTTTCAGGAACATGAGCCTCCAAGAGATCCAAATAAGGCTGGAGAACAACCAACAAAATCAGTCGAATTCACATACAGTCAACCACAGCTTACAGAAACATATATGTAATTCCAAGGTTTGGAATCATTTTGTTAATTTACATACAACAATAACTTTTAAATTTTATGAACAAGACGAAAAATTGTACATTTTGATGTTTTATTCAATGTTTCATTGGTTTTGAGCAGGGGCGGCTGGTAAAAATGGGCTAATATGGCTGAGCCCTCCGTTTGATTCAAGGAAAAACTGCACTAAAATTAGCTGTCATTTTTGGCATCCACATCATTTTACTTGCTGTTAATAAATGACTAAAAACACATTATTTTGGACTTCTGTGGACCCAAGAACAATAGCAAAACAAACAGTTTGTAAGAAAAACATGAATTATTAATTTGCTTTACAAGAAGCCTGTGTTTATCTCATTTCCACCACTGCAACAATGTTAATGTCTATTAGCACCTGTATAGGATTTGCAGTATTATGTTAGTATTATTAAGCCATGCTAAAAGTAGTAACGATTTAACTTGTTGATAAAAAAATAAAATTCTCCAGTGAAATATACTGTGATTGTTCTGTTATCTTGCTATTACCGTTAAGTAATGGTACACATCAACATTTAAACAAGTACAATCAGTAGCTGGCCTAGACAGCTCACTGCATTGTTTCATTGCTGCAGCTGAGAAGAGGCTTTCAAATGTGATGTTTTGGCAGTGTGAGCTACTAGTACATGTTTTTTAGCCCACTCGTCCAAAATTATGACCAGCAGTAACTAATTTTCAGTTATTATATACTGTAAATGATATACTGTAATCATTTATTTACAATAATTTTGTCAAGTTATTTATCTCCAGATGTGATCACCACTTTTCAAATATGGATAATTCTGGATGTTAATTCTTTTATAAGATCATTGATGTTATACAGCCAATCATATGAAATCTATAAAACTGCATTTACATTATCAAAACCAATTATTCCAAACATTTGAACAATAGTGTTCATATTTACAAATATAAGTACAGTTCAAATTTGCCCTGCTCTTTTGACTGTACATGCTGTCTTACTTGTTTATCTGTTTTAGAAGTCTAATCAGGGGCAGAGACTGCAAATTAAGTCAGGAGCCTTGTATACATTATATCTGTTACATCTTTATGTAACAATGGTTATCTCTACTGTCCTTGTCCAACAAATAAAATAAAATAAATTAAAATATACTTAAAGGTACCTAAAAATGCTATAGCACTTACTTTTAGAACGTGCATGGTGTCATTACAAATATATGATGATCACTACGTTGAAATACTGCTACAAATCAATAAAGCCCAGACAGCACAATTCAATACAAAAGAAGGTGTGGATGTGAAAATAATCACAAAGGATGTGAAAAAAATCATGTATTGGCCGGAACTCTGACTGTGTGTGTGTGTGTGTGTGTGTGTGGAGGGGGCTACCTGCAGATCAGGCAACGGCAAGACCTCAATAGGCGCTTTCTCTTCCTCAGCGGGCAGCTTCTTAGAGAAGAGCAGTGAAGACAGCAGGGGATTCTGGGTAACGGGAGAACCCTGAGAGGAAGGTGTGGAATGAACGTTGCCAGGGGAAACCAGAGAGTGGGGCGGGGTCTGTAATACAGGGGAAAGGGCAAGCAATAGAAATCGGTTTTCAGAAGACAATAATTACAGGCTCAACTGCTTGTGTGTCTGTGTGTGTGTGGATGTCTTACCTGTCCAGAGAGGAGGTCCATGAGCTCAGTGTATGGATCAAATGTGGTTGAGTCATCAGCTCCCTGAAATATAAAGAACGGTTAAGCTGGGTGTGTGTGGGTGCCACTGAGAAAAGCTTGACTCAAATGCCTACATCATTTATACATTAAAGAAATGTCTTACTAATAATATATATATATATATATATATATATATATATATATATATATATATATATAGATCCGTTTACCCTTACAATATGTAGTTTAGCATTGTATATATGAGTGCATGTGTGTGAGGGTGGACAACATGGACAAGCTGCTGACTGCCTACAGCTGCTAATGGAGAACCCTACGCTGGACACTTGTGATATTTTAAACATCTGGTATTTTTACATGAATTGTTATGGCTGTATTGATTTAAATATCAATAATGCGGTGGGTCCACCAGACCACTGAGTAACAAACACATGAACACCACACAAGGGTTATTTTCCACTCAAAACAGCCATTAAGTACAGGTTATTCATTTTTCAGTCACAGGAAAGCAGAAGACATACAATTAACTGAAAATTACATAAAAACCTCAAAAACTACAATCAAATTTTACTGACTTGATTTCAGTTTTTTTAAAAAAATCTGCAGTGATATTTTCCCACACCTCCAAAGTTCAGTCTTAGAAGTTGGTTGAATTTTCTGTTTCTCACAATCCAAGTCATTTTAAACGCACTTAATGATGTTGAGCTCTGGTGGTCAGTCCATTGTCCTGAGAACACTGGGAGCTTCTTTGTGTCATTTACAAATGTTCTTCTTTTCTTGTTATTTTTCATCTGTTTTCTCAATGAGGCTTCTTGACAGCTACACATCCTTTTTGACCCATAGTGTTGAGTTCTTCTCAAAGTAGAAGGATGGACAGAAACACCTGTGGATTTTTTCAGATCTGAACCCAGAGTGGAGCTTGAGTTTCTCCTGAAAGATTTAAGGACTGTTTTTATCCTTTGAATTTGTCCTTTGTTATGCAAGTGAATTGTCTTATATCTAAGCAAGATATATAAGAAATATTTACTGGAAATTAAGTATGGTCTCTGACGTTTGCACAGTCCTGTATGTTTCATATTGTTTCTTATTATATCTTGTATAATATAGATTTTTAATCCTATAATCCTCATACTGTTTTAATTTTCATTCTTATTCTTTTTCCTTTTTACTTTTAGTGATAATATTTTTAATTTGTTATGTGATTGTTTTCCTATGTATTAGTTACACTGTTTTATCGTACTCTAAACATTGAGATGCATTTTATGTATGAAGGGTGCTATATAAATACATGTATTATTATTATTATTATTATTATTATCTGAAATACATAAATTAAGTTCAGTGCATTACTTATTTCAGTGCACTTGTGTATTCGTGTTTGTGTATATGCAAATGCATGTATGTATGAACTATTTTACCTGTAAGATTTGTGATAAACTGTGGGGCAAGACTTCTCCGGTTTCCTTGTCCAGTTTCCCAAGCGTTAAAATAATTCTCTCCAGCTCTTTCTCTTGTTTCCTCTTCTGTTCCTCCTGCTCCCTTGCTTTCCTCGCATCCTCCTCTCTCTCCTGAAAGTGGACGTCAAACACCTCCCTTTCCACGCCCAGATCAATGTCCTGCCTCCACAGGATGTCAATCAAACTGATCTCCTGGAAGACAGAAACCAGCGGTTATGTCACTCTTTTGCTCATGCTGCAATCTGCATGAATATACATGTCATTATGCCTTTGGCTTCACAACTAAATCCTTCCTGTGCACCCACGCCAGCACATATGCGTAAAATAAACACACACCCACAGCAACCTATAGACAGCTAAACATTACTGACTAGACTAGACATGTCACATAATTATGGTAGAGCAGAGATGTGCATGCTGACTAATTGTGATATTTAAGGAATCCGTAAGAATTAATGAATGGATATTGGTTCATTAAAAAGGTAACGCTGTGTCCAAAACAAAACAGCACATTCCAGGCTGGTCTAGTCCTGGTTTAACTGGTCACCCAGCATGATAATGTTTGTTGACCAGAATAACAGCAACCAAAACAAAACATATGCAGGTTTGCTGGTGACCAGCCTAATAGCTTCCTTTGCTGCTGACCAGCTCACCAGCATCTAAAATTCAATATATGCTGGTTTTGCTGGTGAACAGGCATGCTGGTCTATGCTAGTTTTTCCAGCAGGGAAAAAAGGCTCTTCAGATTAGCTAAAGCTGAAACTAACTGATAAAACATCAGATGCTGGCCTGTTCTTCTCAGTGGACGATGTTCTAACCTGTTACTGTCACAGACCACCTCCTTGTTTTTACGCTCATTGTCCATTTTATCAGCTCCACTTACTATATAGGTGCACTTTGTAGTTCTACAGTTACAGACTGTATTCCATCTGTTTCTCTGCATACTTTGTTAGACCCCTTTTACCCTGTTCTTCAGTGGTCAGGAGCCCCATGGACCCTCACAGAGCAGGTACTATTTGGGTGGTGGATCATTCTCAGCATTGCAGTTACACTGACGTGGTGGTGGTGCGTTAGTGTGTGTTGTGCTGGTACGAGTGGATCAGACACAGCAGTGCTACTGGAGTTTTTAAACACCTCAGTGTCACTGCTGGACTGAGAATAGTCCACCAACCAAAAATATCCAGTCAACAGCATCCTGTGGGCAGCGTCCTGTGACCACTGATGAAGGACTAGAGGATGACCAATGCGAACTGTGCAGCAGCAGATGAGCTATCGTCTCTGACTTTACATCTACAAGGTGGACTGACAAGGTAGGAGTGTCTAATAGAGTGGACAGTGAGTGGACACAGTGTTTAAAAACTCCAATTTATGTTATAGAGTGTCAGAAATCATATAATCAAGTCTAATTGAAATTAATCAATAACTTGAAACAGTCTGAGGCAAGCTTGTGATGATTTACACATGCTTTTTTATGCCAACTGGAGTAGAGAATTTCATTACTTGGTAGCTACATTAGCCACGTGGCTCCAGTGCAAAACTAACTAAGCACAATTCAAACACCAAACATGTCTGATCAACAACATATGAGCTAAGAGGGAAATTAATCTCTCACCTAACTCAGCCAGTTATATATAAACCAGGCTAAAGATCTCCAGTATGTCTGTAAACCAGTGAAAATCAGTTTTATCAGACGTTGATACATACATATAATTCGATTAGTTTTGAGCAGACGCTTCAAACGTCTTTACCTTTCTTACTTTATCTGACCTACAATAAAACAACCCTGTAATCTCCTGATAGTGAGTGTGGTCAGAGGTTATGGCTGCCACCACTGAAGGAACTTATCTATTACTATGTCTGTTATCGCATTCGCTCAATATATTTTTGTGTTTGTGCTGGCATGCTTTCCAGTGATGTCAGTACACAGTCATGCTATTATCACCACCTACATCATAATGTGAAAAAAGTGCACACATCAGTTGCTGTATCTGAACCAAAGATGTGTAAAGGTGGCTGTAGTTTGTCATCTGTCTGTCCTCTTCAGCTTCCTTGTAATTAAGCTAACTCTTGCCCTACTACCAGACCAGACACATAAAAAAACAACATCAAACAGATTCAGTTCACATGAGGGAGGCTAGAGAAAGGGATCTTGAGTTAATATACAACTATAGATTACCACAGCAGAGTTTTCTGTCTAACTACACAAATATTACATTAAAGAGGACATTGCACAGATTTTGAGAACATGCTCGCTCAATAATATAATCGTTAAGATGTAAACAATGTCATTCAGAGTGGTTTGATGTGAAATGCTCCATTTTAGAGAAACTTACTAAATCAAAATTTCCCCATTCACAGTGGTGGTGATAGGAACCAGACATCCAAAGTGTTTAATGGCTCTAAAAGCTCCCGTTGTTCCATGAAATGGTTATGAATACAGTGCGTAATGCCTGAGACGTTGTTTTATATTTGTTTTTGAGATTAGGCTTTGGTCTAAATGCATTTTTATTTAATAGGGAGGTACATGTTTACACATTATGAGGCAAAATAGTAACCAATGAAAACTTATTTTTTCAGCTTTGCCACTACTCACTGGTCCTTTTGGATAGTAAATAAGAAAGCTATATTTGTACTGTAGATATTGCAATCAGTGTCAGTAAACTTTTCTACATTGCATCATTTTACAGAATAACTCTTTAAATGACTGTTTACATCTCAACAACAGAATTTTTAAAAAGCAATGAAATTCCCTTTAAAGTCCAGGTCCTGTTCCCATTACACTGCATTCACATAGTTTTAAATGCAGGTTTCGTGACATGTTCTGATTAGTCACGAGTTCCTTTCACTCAGTGACATGAAAAGCAAACCAAATAAAAAACAAAGCAGAGCCAGAACAAGAAAAACAGGGATGAAAACGGATAGGTGAATGAACCGCTGCTGGTCTGGCACACTGCACACACACACACACACACACACACACACACACACACATCTAGAGCACGGTAGATGTGGTACATGTGATAATGGAAGTGGAGGAAAGAGTAGGCAGGTGATAAGGCTCAGTGTGTATAAAGGACAGCCATTGATGAACTTCTCTAGTCTCTAAATGCCTGACCTTGTCTCTGCCACATGGGTTCTATGAGCAACACTGGGACTGGCTCAAAACTTTTGCATTTCACAACACAGCACCAGACTGGCTAATTACATACATCCTAAAACCCTAGTTATTATAGCTTGAGTTAGAGCATAAAGCTAGTTCAAACGTAAAGTACTGCGCAAAAGTCAGAGACCACCCTCCTTTTAATTAATTTCCTGTCAAACAATTAATAAGTACAAGTTCTGTTTTCTGGAGATATTTCTGAGGAGATTAGATATAAGATAATCCACTTGCATAAGGAAGGAGAAAAACACTGTGGGTCTAAAAAGAAGACACTGCTGGAACTGGACTGGCCACCCCAGAGCCCAGACCTCAACATTACTGAATGTGTTTGGGATTACTTAGATCATGAGAAGCAGACAATACCACCAATTTCAAAGAACTTTGAGGGTGTGGATAAAATTCCTTGCAGATCTCTCTGACAAACTGAAAGCAAGACTCCTGCAAAAAATGCAAACTGTAATAAAGGGAAAGAGCGGACACACTAAATACTGATAGTTAGTTGTTGAGGTTTCTGTGTAATTTTTTTGTTGAACACATTTTTCTGCTTTTTTCCTGATGCTGGAAAATTAATTAGTTGTATTAAATTGCTGTTTAGACTGGAAAACAAATGATTGGGCTGTCTCTGACGTTTGCCCAGATACCAGAAAGCCAATGGTGTAATACTTGCTGCTGTCTTACTCCTTTTATGTCTGCCACAATAATATTACATGGACCAAACCAGAATGGATGTGAAATGTCTGTGTGTAATTTTTTTGTATTCAGATTAGACTTTAACTCTAGACTTATTACTCAGTAGCTCACGTGGAAATTTCTACTACTACTGCTACTAAGAAAACATTATGTAAGTTAAGAGAGCGAGGAACAGAAACGTAAACCTACCCAAGAGTGCCAGGAGTTAAAAGGAAAGGTTCAGTCAAAAAAGCTAATGTTGCTAACAATTAATTAAAAAGCCTGATTTTTGGCTTCCTGCACCAAATCCATGGAAGCACTCAGCATACAACAGAACTGTAGTAAAGTATTTTAGTGTCCTTTAATTACTTTTAATTCTGTATTTCCCAACTTTACGCCTCTTGTTCATTACAATGCTGCCAACATAATCTCTATAAACATACACAGTTATTTTTTCCCCAATACGTTATTCACCATAGAAAGTTATTTAGAAACCTTCTATGAAGTTCTATGAAGTCTCCATTAAGTTTTATGAAGTCAGTTTTGGAGTTTGAATGTTAATGCTCTTTCCTCTAGCCTTCCTTTTTAACCTCTGTGTGTGAGCAATTCCATGTCACAGGTCTCCCTCCCTGTTGGTATATACTGCTCTTTAGCTGAGGGCCCACCTGAAGCCATTCATGTGTTACTGATTTTTTCCTTGCCGCTATCAAAACACTTAAAAAAAACAACTTTTTTTTATTTCCTCTGGTAACTTACACTATATAAATATACAAACAATACATATTAGTATATACTATATATATATACTACATACTAATACATAATAGACCATATATATCATTGTAAATGTGTTAGTTATATAAGTGTAGCATATTTTAGCCCAATGTTTATAAAAAATCTAATGTACTTCAAACTCAGACAGAAAAAGCTTACAGCACCTGGTATTCCCAGGCGGTCTCCCATCCAAGTACTAACCAGGCCCGACCCTGCTTAGCTTCCGAGATCAGACGAGATCGGGCGTTCTCAGGGTAGTGTGGCCGTAAGCGAGAGCTACACTGCGAATAGGCCTATTTGTAAGTCAGAGTCGGTAACAGTCTGTCATTTTACCCCCTGTTCAAAAATGAACACCACTCTGTTTCAGCAATAGAAGTAACTGAACTGCTAACACTGGTCGGCTAATATCAGTTAGCTAACTAATGTACACAAAGTGCAGTAACTTTCTCGGTTCTCTATTCATGATTCGGAAACCGAATTTCTTCCTACAGAATAGTGAAAGTGGCGTAAAAGAACCGTTTACACACTGCATTCCATTGTGTATTAAATTATTGTACCAAATGAGTGAGGAATGTTGACACTAACAGTGAATGAAACCGCATATGCCGGCCTGAGTGCTCACTCCTCGTTAGTATAGTGGACAGTATCTCCGCCTGTCACGCGGAAGACCGGGGTTCGATTCCCCGACGGGGAGAAAAATACAATTTTTAATTTTTTACCAGATTCAATAAAACATAAATCAACGAAACGACTTTGTATAGTACGGCAGCATTACAGATAACTCTAATAATGCCTAGTGTACTGAACACATTTATACTCGGCTTGCGTTTCCATGTTCCACGTGGAGAGCGCCTGTGAGAAGCGCCAGCTTCTTGTTCGAATTTTCCCGTTCCACCTTAAATGGTGCATTCTGGCGCCTGAAACGGAGCTGGAACATACAGTTCTATTGTTAACCATTTAAGGTGGAACAGAAAAACTCGAACACGAAAAAGAAGTCGACTTCATCTTCACCAGATTTGCTATGCCCGCCAAGTTTCCTTTTTAAAACCTTTAAACACGACACCAGCATCCAGATACAACTGTTCGTCGCCTCGACCACATCGTCGATAAGTCTAAATGCTTTACCTTCAGCGCCGAACCTTCATTCATGTCCAGACTTGTCCGGACTGACCGAGCACTAAAGCATCACTATAACGGATCACCTCGCATACGACTGTAACGTGACAGCTCAGTCTGCTTTACCCAAGCCGGCATTACTATCGCTACGGCTCACTTTCTCACCTGCTCGCTTTGGAGAACTGCTGATTCTTCCATGATGAAGTTTTGATAGCAGAGCTGTTAATCCCGTTGATGTTGTGCCTCCATATGCAGCTCCACACGCTCCTCTGTCCGTACAGGAATAAACTCTGGAATAAACCAACCTGCTGCGGGGATCAGAACTTCTGTCTGATTAAACTCCGCCCACTTTTAAGACCAGCCAATGAGATTCTCCTAAAGCAACACAGCAGAACGCCTTCTGTGGTTCTCAATCTCAGTCGTGGAGTAGCGCTGCCCCGCATGCACGCTCAGTTCAGCTCAGACAGGGCTTGTTCATTAGTCTCATCAGGTGTTTTAGGAGCAGAGGAAACTAAAATGTGCATTGCAGTGGAACTCCAAGACCAGGATTTAGGATCACTGGTCTAAGTTATTTGGAGTCTTATATTTACTCTGACTTCCGTTCTCTGAATCCATAGAAGCAGCATATGATACATGTGTAATAATAAATTCTGGTGTCCTCATTGCTATTAATACTCTATTTCCAAAATGCACCCTTATTTATTACACTGCTCTTCATAATTTATTTATCGAGCGTATGTCTCTTATTTATTACAATGCTGCCATCACAGTGTTAACCTAAAGTTATATATTTTCTCTTAAATAAGCAAAACAGCCTTTTGTTATTTAGCTAGAGAAGAAAAATTAAGATAAGTAAGCTACCCATCTGGCAGGAGGTTTACCCAAAAGTTATATGAAGTACATTATACAATTTTAATATGTTGCAGTCCATAAATAAAAGCAACTTTTTTCTGCATTTCCTGCTTTAAAAAGTTCAGGGTAGTGACATTTCAGGACCATGACTCAAAAACACTGACTGGCTATATTTGTGACTATCCGTTAGTAACAGCTATATAAAATACTTTTTCTCTTAAACAGTTTCCGTTACTAATTCAAGAACACTTTTAAAGGAGTAGTCCATTAGAAACATAAACACTGCTAACAGTGAATGAAAGTGAATATCCAATCATACTCCTTTTTTCTTCATTAGTATAGTGGACAGCATCTCTGCCTGTCATGTGGAAAACTGAAGTTCGATTTACTGATGGGGAGCTGGTGCTCATTTTAAACCAAGTCAGTAAAAAACAGGTCAACAAGAGACAACTCTTTAAAAACTTTTATTCAAGTGGAAACATCTTTGAACAGAACACTATCACCAGAGCACTGGGCGCGTTTACATTCATCTAATAATCCCATCATTATTGGATTTTGGCAGTTATCTGATTATTCAAGGTCATGTAAACAGCATACTCTGATTTCTTATATTAGATTAAGGCCTAGAAATCTGATTTAAAAATCCAACAAAGAGCTGGATTTTACATCAGTAATCAGATTTTCTCAGTGTATGTAGACGCTTACTCTGATTTCCTTCAGTTTTCTCAGTCTGTGCAGGTGTGAAAACAGAGCGCTGTACCAGAAACAGCAAGCAGCGTTTAACACAGGATGGCAACAAAACACTGTTCTTTGACTCAATCACATCAATATCAAAATGAGTTTCTCACCTGATCACTTTGAAACCCAGCTGATTTGAAGAATCTAATCAGAAGAATTCTTCCATGATGGGGTTTCGTTAGCAGAGGTGTGAAGCTGCTGATGCTCTAGCACCATGTATAATTCTCAACACTCCTCCACCTGTTGTAGAAGAATAAACTCTGGAATAAACCAACCTGGTGTGGGGAATGGAACTCCACTATGCTCCAGTTCCGCCCACTTTTAGGAAAAGCCAATGAGATTTTCACCTTCATAAAATAGCAGTATTTCTCATCAGTGAATAGCACAGCATATCATTCACTTAGGGACATAGTATCACATTTTGGCCCCCACGCAACCCCCCCCCCAACAAGCCCCCCACCAGCCCCCCACCGCAAGAAAATAGAGGAAGGTGAAAAAATATAATGTTTTTATTACGCTGTATTTCTTTATGAGGTTGTGTAGTATGCATTTAAGGGTTAAACAACTGATATTCAATAAGATAATGGTGCTTTGCATCTTCAATCTTGCTGTAGTTTAGTAAGAATTACACTTAGTCTCTGCTGAACACAATCAATATAATTAGAGGAACATTCAAAAGAAAAAATTAAAATCATTATAATGAGTCACAACTACAATCATTTTCACTGAAACTGCTCAACAAGTGGTATATTAGTTGGAGTGGGATCGTGGGGGGGGGGTTAATGGAAACAACAGGTATAGAAGCAGAACTTGAAAGATGATAATGGAAAATGTAGACTCATATTATTTATTTTTACAACATAGAGCATTAAAATCAGAAACCAAAACTAAGCTAATTTGCAAGGCTTTAGGAGGACCTCCCATTCAGAGAGGGCCCTGGTTTGTCAAGTCCACAATTACCCATGGTCTGATGCGTTCACACCCGAGTCTATAACATACATATACAAAAGTCAAGCTGCAAATACAAAAAAAAGCCTAATTTGAATTTATTGTTTTTGTGCTATCATAAAAAACAACTCATGTACATATTGCTGTTGTCAGAAGAAAACCTTGTATCTCTAAAATGGTAACTTTACAGGAGAAGGAAAAAACCTACTTCACTTTTAATGCAAGTTAATGGAACCAGACATTTTTCCAAGTCATTTTGGGTGATTTATTTCAGTCCATTCATCATGAAATTTGCATCCAATGTAAAAGGTAATGTAAGTATTTTCAAATTATGTTAAAAACTGACAACAGCGATATATATATATCTGCCTATTTACTACAGTGTGGCCTACAGTTTGGCCTGTCCATTCATGCTGAAGTTATAAAGAGTGTTTCAGCCTGGAACAATACAAGGCAGAACTGAGGTCATTTACATAAGTCAGTCTCAAAGATACAAATTTTAAAAACAGTCTGTTTTATTCTAAGGTATAATGAGAGGTTTGAAAATGGTTATGCAGAACTGAACTGTGACGCAAATGCCGTAACTGGACGTCAGGCGGAAAAATAATAAAACACAAGAAAAATGTAGGATGTGGGCCCTTTAACCGTTTTTGTTGTCATTACTCATTCATTAATCCATTCTCCAATTGCAGTGGTCCAGAGGGCTAAGCTAACACCTATGGAAAAAGTATAACACGGTAAAGAGTAGCCCACATAAAAGAACGGTGTAGTTATGATATTCAGGTTTGGAAAAAAGTACCAATCTTGTGGTCGCAGAGTCCTCTGCTACACAGCAGTGTGCTTTGTGAGGAAACATGTCCATTTTCCTTAGCCGAGAGTGCTAACGCCAGGCAGGGGGGAGGAAACCCAGCTCTGTGTGAGAAGTTTCTGAGCGCGTTCATGTGAAGCCCTACACACGTTCACGTTTGGCAGCTCCACGTCGACATTCCTTCAGAGAGGGAGCCGAGCCGGGGGTCCGAGCAGAAGGGTTTACTTCAGGCCAGAAAACTGGATAGGAAAGCGAGAAAGTGTGGGACACGCTAACGTAAGACGGCAAATGCTGTTTCACTGTCGCTTAGAAATCAAACAGTTACCAGTTTAGGTTTGCGGAGGAGTTGCAGTATGCGTGAAACTTCATGGAGGTATGGAGACTCCGCTATGTCTGCTGCAGTCACCTACCAGGTCGGTTATGGGCTTAATTTCTTCTAATTTAGTGTCTCTTAAAATACCTTTTTAGAAACAACATTCTTGAAAAGAGTTAACCTTTTACCTGTGGTAGACTTTAAGGCCTGGCTGAGTGTAATTTCTCTCTGTCAGCTCACCTGGTAGACTTTATTACTTCAGCTGTTTTCAGATAGCCAGTACACTCTATAATGCTCCCTGCACTGTCAGTAGTGAGTCAGGCTTTATTACTTCTAAATACAAAGGCTGTATGTAAACATTCATACCATTCTTGAACACGTTTTCTTGGCTGAATCCTTTGTTATGGAACAAAATAGCCCTCCATGGTTGTGATGCACCAAATGGGCTACTATATTGTAATAATTGTAATAGGGGGTATGCAGAAGACACGTCACCTCCTTCAAGCCAGGAGACTAAATGCCATATGTGTTATTTCCCAGGGCCTGAAAGACCCAGAAGTAGAGTGGACTACCATCCCAACCAATTGAACAAGAAATCACTGATTGAAGCCTACAACGATGTGTGCAAAACTTGATGTGATGCATAGACCACTTATTTCAATAATTACTACTGCGATGTGCTGTTGAATACACAAACATGCAGCAAGGCTCCTCGGGCAAAGTTCTGTGGTCCACTATGACTGTGTGAATGTGTGGTCAGTGCATTACAGAACTTTGCTTTAAGAGCTCCAGCCGTCCGGCAGATGGTGAGTTAAAAGCACAAGGCGACAAACATTTGGACTAGTTGACTTAGCCAATGTTGATATCATGCACTAAGCTGTGCTTCTTCAGACAACTGCCCTGGCTAACTGACAGCTGATTTGCTGCCAAACATACTGAATTATGCCTGAACAAGGTTAGTTACATTATTCCATATATTGTATTGGAATTCATTGTTGACAGTGGCCAGAACATTAAGGTTAAAATCCCTTCTTTCCTGCCAAATTTTCACAACTGTTTATCCCCCGTCCCTGCATAGGTATTGCTTTATATCTATATTTAAAATCTTAGCGCCCCCTCCTGGCCACAGGAGCATCTCCTGCTGAAATCACAGGCCAGGCCCAAACATGCTTAGCTTCACTGGATTGTTCTGGTCTGCATTGTGGTGAATTTCACGGTGGTATGGAAGCATTTGGCATTTTTCAGAGGGGTCAAACTGCATTCCTGAAGAGCCACAGAATTACACAGTGTAATGTTTTCCCTGCTTCAGCACACACAAATGAACTCCAGAAGAGCCTGACTGTGTTAATTAGCTATGTTAATACTGGGATACTGTGCTGGTGCTTTTCTTGTTACAAAACTGTAGATAAACTAACCTTACCCACATTATAGTATCCTTGTTATATAACTAAACTATATATCACCACTTTATTGGAACACTTCCTTTTTGGCACAGTGTAGCACAGGCCTTGCAGTGTATGGCCTTTGACAGAGTTACATTAAAACATGTTTGGTTAGCATATCAAAGGGTTTTGCTGCTGTTGCTGGAGATGCAATTGCAGATGCTGTAGAGTTAAATGTGGTGGAACAGGA